GACCAGGCAGATTCAAACAAGGCCAAAGTGGTGTCTTGCACCTGGCAGAAAACCGAGTATTTAAAGTATCTATCAATACTGACTGACAAGGACGTGGAGAAATGGACGGCAAATTGGTGGCCTCTTTTGGATGCAATTCAGCCATGTCAAATTTAATTAAAGATAGACTCATCCGAGTGCTCACCCATTCATCGCTGGGGAGAAACCAAGAGGAATTTACACTGGGGTGCAAGGACACTCGCTGTAATCTTAATTGAAATTCAAAACAACCTAAAATCCCATCAAATAGAGTCAGCTGTGGCTTATTTTACAGTGGAATAGTATATAGCTGTGAAAATAAACAAGGCAGGCCATAACTGTAGATTATACTCCAATTTCTGAAAAGACAAACAAAACTCTGTGTGTGTGAGAGAGAGAAAGAGAGAGAGAGAAAGAGATGACATAGAAAATGGTCTGAAATATCAACTCATATTATCTTTGAAGCAAGTACAAGATTTGGAAGGGCTACATTTAAAGCAAACTTACCTTTTTCTCTTTGCACACTGTCTTCAGCTGCTGGAATTTTCCTGGTTGTGATCCTCAAAGTGTTCTAAAGCTAAATCAGACCTCATTCCCCCAACATTCTCATGGCTCCTAACTGCCCTTGGGTGAAGTTTCAATGAGGCTTACAAGTAACTCACCACCTTCAAAGTCCACATTGAGCTGTGCAGGCTGTGTGCAGAGCATGTACTTAGTGCTCATGAAGCCCTGTGCTCCATCTCTAGCCAGCCAAAACCACACTGTGACTATTGGAATAGATGCAGTGCAGCTATGTGTACAATAACCTGTGTGCTTGCTCTGCATCAGTTAAAATAATAGAAAAATTGTCCCACGTTTTTGCCCCTGCCCACATCCATGCCCCTCTGCAGCTCAGATTCAATCCTTAGTCCTGAGCTGACCTTGGCCTCGCTTTGGACAATGGAATTACGGTGGGAGGGACGTGATGCCGGTCCCATTGCCCCGATTGTCTGCTGGAGACTGAGAGGCCCACAGCCCGTCCCTATCGCCCAGCCCATCGCCAGCCAGTCCCTAGCTGCCCTTCCATTAAGCACAGGTGCTTGAATGAGCCCGCAGAGGTCATGTGAGCTTGACCCAGATCAGCAGAGCCACCTGCTAGTGCTAGTCCATAGTGCTCTGAGTCCTGGGACTGTTTGTCACACAGAACTAGCTAACCAATGCACTTAAAGTAGAATGCCTTTTTTACCCCATCTACCTTCTCTGGAATCTTTTCCACTCATCCCTTGGCCTTGGTGTGGACACTTTCTTAGAAGAGCCTTCCTCGGGCCTGAGAAGGCTGCAGTGTCACTAAGTTCTCCAGATGTCCCCAGCAAGGAATGACAGCTCTGGCCCTAGCCCTGAGCTCTGGGTGGGGGGCTGGGTTGGTGGCACACCGCATGACACCTGTATACAGTAGGTGTCATTGCTGTGCAGCTGTGGGCATCCGGGAGCCTCAGCCCAGCTCAGCAGCATGGATGGAGGCCCCTAAACTGCCTGCAGGTGCTGAGCTAGCACAGGAAGCTGAGAGGCAAAGAGGCGAACGGGAGCTGGCGCAAACGGGGCCGCAGCTCTGATCACATCTGTGGGCGTTTCCAAGAACTGAGAAATACAGAACGCTTCGAGATGAAAACATTCCCACGAATGCTCTGTGCTGTGCCAGGATCCAGTTTTGCATTCGGAGCAGGGGGAGGGGGGGGAGAGATCTAAAATGCACTGTATGATCTAAAAATTCCTCTCAGGGTTTGCCGTTTTTCAGGGAAATGAGCACAACGTGTCTCGGTCGGCTTCTGAGAGCAGAGGCCCCCACGCTGCCTTCCTTGACTTCTTCCCCGAGGCTTCCGCTGAAAACTTTTCACTGCCTGGGAACCCAGGCTGCTGGCTTCCTCCCAGCCCTGAAGATCGCTGCTCTAAACTTTCTGAAGCACGTAGATGTGTGCTTTGTGCAAGCGGCCCTTGCACCAGTAGGTTATTTCTAGTGGCTCACATCTATAATCCTAGCTACTCAAAGGGCTGAGAGCTGAGGATCATGGTTCAAAGCCAGCCTAGGCAGGAAAAGCCATGAGACTCTTTATCACCAGGAAACTCTCCACCAGAAAACTGGAAGTGGAGCTGGAGCTCAAAGTGGTTGAGTGCTAGTCGAGCAAAAAGGGACAGTACCCAGGCCCTGAGTTCAAGCTCCACAACTAACCAAAAAAGAAAAAAACTCTCACAGATTTTTCTGCCCAGGCTGGCTATGAATCTCAGTCTCAGCTCTCAGCCTCCTGAGTAGCTAGGATTACAGGTGTGAACCACTAGCACCCAGCTCTGAGGCTGAGGGACACAGGAAGTGCCTCCCTCATGGCAAGGTGGGAAGGAGGCCTGGCCAGCCAGACTACATGCTTCATCGACTTGGTCTCATCCATCCATCCAATGGCTGCTGGTGGCTCTGTTCCTGCTCTCTCCTGCCCTCCTTCTTCTGGTAGCAATGCCCATGGTTTCTTTGCGGGAACTCCGGACACTTGGTGATCAGGGGTAGGGAATGCCTGGCCTCTGAACCACATAAGGTCCTTAAGTCCCTTGGCTGTCAAGGTAACTATAGTAAGACCTGAAATTCAATAAATCCGGGTGCATTTTTCTTTTCTTTTCCTTTTAAGAGCTTTATTCATAGCAACAACATACAACAAATGGCCCTTGGCAAAAACAGTTCCCCACCTCCTGGAAGTTGGGAGGTAGAGGTGGTGAGCATGTGACCTAGCAATGGCCAATCAGAAGATGAGTTTTCCCCTCTGACATTGTGATTGGTTTAGGAATGATCACGTGATCCAAGCCTGGCCAATCAGGAGATGAAGGCATTGTGATTGGCTTAGAGATGAATAGATGACATAGGTCTGGCCAATAAAGCTCTACCTGGGACCTTTGCTGTACTTAGGGGAAAGAGAAGCCCAGCCCCTATCACAGCTAGCTGACCCATTAGCTTCTGGGACTGTTTCTGCAGCCTATGGATGAAGCCAATAAAGGGGCGGGGGGCGGGGAACGTGTAGCCAGGAGGAGAGTCAGAGCTGATGGCATCATCTGAGCATGCACCTGGCGGTACCCTAAGCCCTTCTTTGTTTTGTATGTGAGCCAATAATGTCTCCCGTTGTTTCAGTTCATTTGAGTTGGATTTCTCACCTTGGAAGACAGCAAAGGTGGGATCCCTCAGGTCACCTGCTCCAGCCCACCAAGCTCTGAGACCTTCCGTCCCGACACCCGCTCCCCCCCCACCCCGTGCCCAGGCCCAGTGCCTCACTGTCTGCGGTGGGTTAGGAAGTGGGCTGGCCAATAAGCCCACAGTGGCAAACGAATGCCCTGAAGGTCAGCGCCAAGCTCCCTCTTGCTGATCAGGAAGCTTAGAGAGGTTGCGGAACTTGCTGGTGGTTCCCAAGGTCGCCTGGCTCTCTTTGATGTCCAAGTTGAGTTTTCCCTACTCCCAGGATTGTTTCCTCTCCACGCTCCCCCCCCCCCCCACGCACACATACTCCCACAGGGATCTGGGCTACTTGTTGCTGTGCATTGGCCCACCTAGCCATCTCCTGCCAGGGCTCAAGGGAAACTGCCAGGTTTCCATCCATCCTGTGGGCAAAAAGTTCGCCTCGGGTAGTTGCTGAGCTTTTAATGCCTCCATTTGCCTTGGTCTCCAGGCAGAGCTGGGAAAGCCGGAGCCAGCCGCAGCCTCCAGCTGTGGTTTCACGGAGCACAAGAGGCTCAGACTGAGACGGCTGAAGTCTGGAGCCCCAGAGTTCCTGCTAGCTTCAGAGCAGGGGCGCTGCAGGGTGGAGAACAAACTAGGTGGCTGCTGAAGACCCATCCAGCAGAGGAGCAGCCAGGAAGACCAAGACATCCCCAGGGAAGGGACCCAGCCACACCTCCCCTTTCTTTAACTACAGATGGCATCCACCAGCCCATAATTGAGTGTGGGCCAGCTAGTGTGTATTCCAGAACGCCATTGCTGGGGTGGGGTGGGGGCGGGGTAGAGACACGGCCACCCCCGTGCTGGGCTGGTGGAGATGTGACTTGCACAAGCCACGCAAAAGGCCGGAGTGTCCGCGGGCTGCCTGGAAAGGGGGAGCGGTGCGTCGGACCCACGGCCCCAGGACCCTGACGTCGTTTTCTCGGATGTGGTGACCGTACCCTGCGTTTTTGTCCAGTCCCAGCCCTGCTTTGCCTGGATGTTTGGCTCATTTTTAAAAGCCACACTGTGTCAATGCTGGGGCCTTATCCCACCCCCAAAATGGTTATTATCAAGCAGAGACAATCATGATAATTAATTGATTCTATTAACCAGTATTATCCATAGTGTTAACTGTCATCTGTACAGCCCTTGCAATGTACAAAGTGCACAGGCTCAAGTGCACACACACACACACACACACACACACACACACACACAGAATTTCTCTGGGGTTTGAAGCAGCGCCAGCTACCAGTGCCTGAGATCTGGGGTTTTCTCTCTATTTTAGGGGGAGGGAGGACAGTGAGTTCAAGGAAGGAAAAGACAGTCACTCAGAGACGCCAGCCAATGTGAGCAGCTGTGCTGTGAATAAAGCCTGGGGGGCAGACCCCCCCCCCGTCATCTCATCCATCCTCCACTCACTCCGCTCATCCCTCCCTTCACCCATCTAGCATGTATTAAGCACCTACTGTGTGCCCCGTTCTGTGCTAGACACTTAGCCCTAAGCTGGGACACTTCCAGAGAGCAAGAATTCTGGAATTCCGGGGAGACCAGTTATGGGGAGAAGGGGAACAGGTCCTGCCACCCCTGGGAGCGGGGGGTGGGGGGACCCCAGAAGAAGGGGTTTCGGTGGAAGTCCCTTCTCAGGCCACCCCTGCTGAGCGGGGAGCCTTGTTGTTTTTTCTCATTAATTCTAGAATGAACTCAGAGAGCCCGTGTGGGCTGGTGCCTGTGGGCGGGGCGGGGCGGGGCGGGAGGCTGCTCAGCCGGTGGCTTAGGCAGGGGCCACCTGGCTGGTCTCGGTCTTGGAGGCGGTGGTGGAGGCCTCGTCGTCGCCCAGTGGGTTCTTGCCGCAGCACAGGGTGGTGATCATGCAGTTCCGGAACTGGAGGGGGGAACGGGTCAGGACACCCTGCAGTGTGTGACCCCCCCCACGCCTGCCCTGTGCCAGGCCCGCCACCCCACCCCCGGGCGTGGCAGGGACTAACGCAGGCTCTGTCACCAACGCCATGCCACAGTGTCCTGAGTTGGCATCCTACAACCTCGAGTGCAACACAAGCGTTCGGAATTTTGCCCTTTCTAGGGAAGCCCAGAGAGGGAGTTAACTTGCCCAAGGTCACCCAGTGGAAAGGGTCAGTGCTGGCACTGGAATGCAGTGGGTCTCATTCCAGAGACCATGCCCCCTGCCCCCATGGGTCCCACAGAGATGTCACCCATGTTTGTTCAGGACGCTGTACCCTTTTAATCCTCAAAATAAGCCTGCTCCGTCCTGGCTCAGCTTTATGAAGATAGAACCGGCCCACCCCCCAGCTTGGAACTATTTACTTTTTTTTCCCCCTCTTTTGTCATCCTGGGGCTTGAACTCAGGGCCTGGGCGCTGTCCCTGAGCTTTTATTGCTCAAGGCTGGTGCTCTGCTACTTGAGCCACAGCACCACTTCCAGCCTTTTGGTGGTTCATCAGAGATCAGAGACTCACAGTCTTCCCTGCCTGGGCTGCCTTCGAACCGTGATTCTCAGATCTCAGCCTCCTGAGTAACTAGGATTGCAGGTGTGAGTACCAGCAACTTGGCTCTGTTTTACTCTTAACACGTTCCAGAACCATCTGGACCCTGCGGCTCAGGTGAGACAGGTCTGGGGGTGACCTCAGAGGCTGCGTTTGGCACAAGCTCCGGGGCAAGGCTGCCCGCCCTTGCTCCTGCCTGGGACCGCACCATGCCCCCTGACCTCACCACGCCCCCTGCCACCCCCCACCGCACATCTCCCGCCCGCCGCAGGCACCTGCTTGTTCATCATGATGTAGATGACCGGGTTGTAGATGGAGGAGCTTTTGGCGAAGAATGCCGGCAGAGTCATGAAGATGGGGCCGAAGTTGGAGCCCTGGTGGGTGAAGATGTACATGGCCACGCTGGCATAGGGCAGCCAGCAGACGAGGAAGAAAATGACCATGATGATGACCATGCGGGTCACTTCCTTCTCAGCCTTCTGGGTGGTGGCCGACTCCTGCTGCTGGGCGGCCGCCTGCGGGGGCACAGGGAGTTGTGTCCAGGCTGCGGCTCCAGTGCCCGGCCCCCACACGGTGCCAGGTCACCCGCCTGTGAGGGACCCTCGGGGTCCCGGGGCCCCCCGCCTGTACCTCCTTCACGGTGAAGACCAGCTGCCCGTAGCAGAAGAAGATGATGATCATGGGGATGGCGAAGTGGACCACGAACATGTAGATGACAAAGGACTCGTTGTTGACCTCGGGCTTGAGCGTGTAGTAGTCGATCCCGCACGAGCACTGCATGCCCTCGGGGATGTACCTGGGGGGGCACGGGGAGCCCTGCGGCACCTGCCCTGTTCAGCACCCCCCATCCCTTCCCCTCAGTAAAACACAGAGGGAAACATCTGCCGCGCTGGGCCTCGTGGGGCGTGTCCATCCCCCCGCTGTGGCCCCGTGAGAATGCCCGGGCTCCAAAACAGATGCCAGCTCTCAGCTGCCCAACTGCAGGCCCTTCTCTGCCAGGCCAGCTGCGCCCGGGTACGGGTGGAGGGCGCCGAGGACCAGGGGGCCTCCTACTCTGTGTGTGGCAGTTTGCAGAAATGAGGGCTTCCTAGCAAGACGGCATTGTCTAGACCAAGATGGGCATTATGAGGGATTATGCGCAGCCCCGAAGCCAGGCCCCAGGGTCTGGAGTCCAGGGTCTCCATAATTTCTATTTTTTTTTTCTTTTCTTGCCAATCCTGGGGCTTGAACTTGGGGCCTGGGCGCTGTCGCTGAGCTTCTTTTGCTCTAGGCTAGCACTCTACCACTTGAGCCACAGCGCCATTTCCGGCTTTTTCTGTGTATGTGGTACTGAGGAATCGAACCCAGGGCTTCACGTGTGCTAGACAGCACAGTACCACTAAGCCGCATTCCCAGCCTCTCCATGATTTCCTGCTTGACCCAGATTTTGCTGTGCCGATGGAGGCTGTGTGCAGCCAAGTGGCCAAAGAGGTGGGGAATGGAAGTGGGGTCCAAGAGGAACGGACCCCAGGAGAGCATGGGAGGAAGCAAGGACAGAGCAGGAAATCTCTGGTTCTGGCACCAGAGTTACGAATCTCCCCTCTCTGCAGCGTTTGGAGACGCGAGGGGAGGCTGGGTGGGCCTCAGACCCGGGCCGGGGTGTCTCCACACACACTAGCAAGGCCCCGACTTCCCCAAGGTCAGAGGGAGTTGGCTGTCGGAGGAACTCTGCGCCAAAGAGGATTGGGATGGGCCGGGGCTTAGTGGAGGATTAGGAGCTCGACCAAGGTGAGTGCTGCTGTGATTCTCCTTGACACCCGCGGGGGTCGTTCCACGGCCCTGGGGTTGCTTCTGCCTCCTCTGCCAGAACCCCAGCTCTGGGAAAGTCACCTGGGTGGGCTTGGGGTAGGGCCCTCTAGGTTGGTTCCTAGGACCAGACCTCACCAGATCTGAGTCCTGACCAGGCCAGCCGAGGGCCCTGCAGCCCCCTCTCCTCCTCCCGGAGCCTTACCTGGACCAGCCGGCCAGCGGGGGCGCGGCGCAGGCCATCGCCATGACCCAAGTGAAGGCCACGCCCATGATGGCATGGTTCTCCCCAAAACGGAAGTTGCTCATGGGCTTGCACACCACCACATAGCGCTCGATAGCCAGGACCACCAGGGACCACAGAGCAATTTCACCTGCAAGACAGCCGGTGGCCATCAGCCCACCTGCCACACCTCCGGGCTGGTCCAGAGAGATGGGGACGGGAGGCCCAGGAGCAGGACCGGAGAAGGGCTTGATGTGGGGAGGGGAGGGAGGAATAGAGGCGGCAGGAGCTGCCGGGAGCAGGCAGGGGAAAGCCGAGGATCCAGGAGCAGTGGGCTAGGATCAGATGGGGTCCGGGAAGAAATGATGGAAACCCACAGGTGGATGGCCTTCTCCCCCCTCCCCCCACTGAGGGAAAGAGGAGACGGGCTGTGGAGACAGTTCTGGCTGCGGGGCTGCGGGGCTGTGGAGCTGGAGGGCTGCGGGGCTGCGGGGCTGTGGAGCCAGTTCTGGCTGCAGGGCTGCGGGGCTCAGGGCTGAGGAGCTGGAGGGCTGCGGGGCTGCGGGGCTGTGGAGCCAGTTCTGGCTGCAGGGCTGCGGGGCTCAGGGCTGAGGAGCTGGAGGGCTGCGGGGCTGCGGGGCTGGACAGTGCTCGTTCCCCAGACATGGGGCAGGCACTGATACTCGCCTCTACCTGCCCCCAGGAAACTGAGTTGGGAGAGAATTAATCAGCCCCAAGGTCATTCTCCTAACACTGGCGGGAGACGATCAGGGCAGAGAAATGTCCACCTGCATGGCACCCCAAGTTCATGGGGCACCCCAAGTTCATGGGGCACCCCACCTGCTGCCCAAAGATGGGGCTCTGTAAGCACGGAACGCGATATGGCTTTGGCGACACCTGGAGACGCTTGGAGAGCCCTCCAGCCGCTTTGGACCTGAGCCGCTTGGGGCTGCCACCAAGCTCTGTCCACCACCCTGACTTTCCTGTCTCCTCCTGGGACCCGCAGGGAGATCGCTGATCTGAGCAGGGAGACTTAGACTTAGATCTCTGCCACATCTCAAAGCCATGCCTTCTCCATGTCTCGGGAATCCCTTATCCCTGGGGGCACCCCATCCATCCATCCACCAATCCATCCACCCATCCATCTATCCACCCATCAATCTATCTGCCCAACCATTATCCCACCCACCCATCCATCCACTCATCAATCCATCTATCCACGCATCTACCCAGACATCCACCCATCCACCCATCAGTCCATCCATCCACTCATCTACCCATCCATCCATCTGTCCACCCATCATTCCACCCAACCATCCATCCATCCACCCATCCACCTACCCACCCATCCATCCATCCACCCATCCACCCACCCACCCATCCATCCATCCAACCATCAATCCATCCATCCACCCATCCACCCACCCATCTACCCACCCATCCATCCATCCACCCATCCACCCACCCATCTACCCACCCATCCATCCATCTACCCACCCATCCATCCATCCACCCACCCATCCATCCATCCATCCATCCACCCATCCACCCACCCATCTACCCACCCATCCATCCACCCACCCATCCATCCATCCACCCATCCACCCACCCATCTACCCATCCATCCACCCACCCATCCATCCATCCACCCATCAATCCATCCATCTACCTACCCATCCACCCATCCATCCATGTGCCCAGCCAGCCAGTCATCCACTTTCCAGTCCCACTTTTCCCGTCAGGTGAAAGAAAATACTTGCTTTTCCCCACCCCACCCCCTGCCCCTGGGATGGAGCTCAAAGCCTTGCACTTGCTAGGCGAGCACTCTGACACATGAACCATAATTCTGTCCTCCTTTTCCATTGGTTATTTTCAAGATAGGGCTCTCTATGTCCAAACCGGCCTGGATGTCAGTCCTCCTACAGATGCTTCCCATGTCACGGGGATACGGTGCTGCCACCCGCCCTGCTGTGTGTCCGGTGGCTGGGATGGGGCGCATGCCACCACCTCCAGCCACTGGCTGAGAGGGTCTCATGAAGGCTTTTTTGGTTTGTTTAACCTGGGCTGGCCTGGAACTGCAACCTCCCATCTCTGCCTCCCAGGTAGCATGGGTTACAGGCTTGAGCTACTGTGCTTGCCTTGCATTTTGTTTTTTGAGATTGTCACACCAGCCTTGTCTGGGCTGGCCTCAAACTCTCAATCTTCCTGCCTATACCTTCTGAGAGACTGGGATTACAGGCATGTGCCACTATGCATGGCCAATGTTAGCATCTAGCCGAGTGTGGTGGTACATGCCTGTAATCCCAGCACTGAGGAGGCTGCTGAGACAGGAGAATTGAATATTCAAGGCCATCGTGGTCTGCATAGCAAGACCCTGCCTAAAGAAAAGAAAAAAGAGACAAAAGGAAAGGAACGGGGAGGGAGGGAAGGAAAAGGGAAGGGGAGGAAAAAAAGGGAAAGGAAGGGCAAGGAAGGGAAGGGAAAGGAAAGGAAAGGAAAAGAAAGGAAAGGAATGGAATTTTTTGAAGCTGCAACCTGGGTCTAACACCTCCCTGCTCAGAGACCCTGCACACCCAGCAGAGTCTGGGAGGCTAGAAAGAAGTCAGATCGATGCCACAGACTGAGCCCAAGCCCAGGAAAAGCCAAAGCCCAGAGGACGGCTTTGTGCATCTGGCTGGGCCCGCCCTAGAGGGCCGGCACCGGTCTTATTTAGCTCCCCCGTGGTGCCGGGCCTCAGCTTTGGTGTTCAGAACGTGGCCTCAAAGCCGGTTCCGTCCCGTACGTCACCTCCTCCGCCCCCCCACCCCGCAAGGCCCTTGGTGGCTTGGGCCCTGCGTTCATCTCTGCTGTACAATGAGCCCTGCTCCAAGTGAGATCAGGGCAGAGTTCCCCTGCCTGGCCCCAGACAAGCAGCCGTGTCGGTTGACTGAACACTGGTGTCGGGAGGAAGGGAGAGGGAAGAATGACATTGAAACCAGGGTGCCCGGGCCCTCCGGGGCCCCGCGCCTGCCCCAGCCCATGCCTCGTACCGCCCAGGGTGGCAAAGAAGCCTTCCACGTTGCATCCGGTGGGCCCGAAGACGAAGTAGCCGTGCAGCGAGGTGTAGAGCGTGGTGGTGAAGCCGCCGAACACCATGAAGAGGTCGGCCACGGCCAGGTTGAGCAGGATGTAGTTGAGGGGAGTGCGCAGCTTCTTGTGCTGCACGGTGACGTAGAGCGTGAGGAAGTTGATGGGGAAGCCCAGCACGATGAGCATGAACATGTAGGCCGCCAGCATGGAGAACTGCCACGGCTCCGCCAGGTAGTACTGCGGCTGCTCGAAGGGGCTGCGCACCACGCCCGTGGCGTTGGAGAAGGGCACGTAGAAGTTGGGGCCCTCTGTGCCGTTCATGGCTGCGGCCCTGGCCCTGGCGGCTGCCCCGACCGCCCGAGATGGAGACTTGTGCCGTGCGCCACGCGAGCTCGGCCACCCAGGACTCCCTCAGGACGACTCCTGGCCCCGACCCCCCCCCAGACCCTTATAAAGTGACCTTCCCCCCGCTAAGCCCCTGGCTGAATCAGCACCGGGGAGATCAGGGTGCTCATAATCATACTAATCTCCACCGCTGCTGCCGGGGGGCCTAATTGGCTTGCAGAAGCGCCAAGGTGACACCAGGCGGGAGCCAGGGCGCGGGAGGCGAAGGGTTGGGTGGGACTCAGAGAGAAGAGAGGGGAGCCCACCCTGCCTGCGCCAGGGCCTGCTGGGAATCCCCGCCCAGGCCTGGCATCGAGTCCCATGGCCGCTTCCCTGCTTCTCCACAGCTGACATTGTCTAGTCACGGGCCTGGCGCTCGCTCCTTTGGCCAGGGCCGCGTCCCCGGCCTGGCCTCCCCTGGCCGCCCATTCCTTACACTCAGGGCCCTGGGCAGGGCTGAGGCCTGAAGAGGTGGGATGGAGGGAGGGGGCATCTGAGCAGGGAGGGGCCGGAGGCCTCAGCTCCTGGACCCGGCGCAGGCTGAGTGAGGGTTCGTCTTGGCCTCCCGGAGACCCCAGCACGCACAGGGCCCCGCGTGGGGACACGTCAGCGTGCCCACCATGGGCCCGTGAAGCTGGTGCCAGGGCGCACCCTGGGGACAGTCGGTGGGGGTGGTGTACAGAGCGGATGCTGCCAGGGCCCCCACTCATCTGTGAAAGGGGCTCAGTGACACCCCAAAACAGAGAGGCTGAGTGACCCCGCTGCGGGGTGCCCCTGACCACTGCAGCCAGCCCGGGGACCACGGGGTCTTCCCATGAAAAGCCAGCATTTCTCTGGAGAGAATGGAGGTGGGCAGGTGTGGCAAAGCAGTGCAAACAGAAAAGTTTGGGGGTGACGTGCTCCCCACAAGCCAAATATTAGCCAGAGCAGCTGGGGAAGTCCTGGCTGGGAGGGTAAAGTGTGAGCTGGGAGCTGCATGATGGGAGGAGCCTTTGGAGCAAAGGTGTCTAGGCAGAGGGACAGCAAGTGCAAAGGCCCTGAGGTTGGGAGACACTGGCCAGACAAGAGTCCCTGTCTCTGAGACTTGGGCTCTTAAGCCCTCTGTGTCCAGTCTCTCTCCCCACATGGGATTTGTAGATCTGTCTGCCCCGCTTTCCTGCAGCCTCCCTGGGCCAGTCCCCTCCAGACACACGTGGGAGGGCAGGGCGGTTAGCCTGAGGTGTGGCTGGGCAGGGTGTGTGGGAATGTCACAGCTTTAAGATGCTTGGCCAGTGATTAGGCCGGTGTTAATGAGGTCAAGGTGGATAGTGTGATTCTGGCCGGAGCCGGGTGGTCAGGTGAGGGGGGGCAGCACACCCCTGCGGTTCATCACCAGCCCAAGGGGGGCTGGGCGGCTCCTTACCTGTGGGGGGCCAGCGTGGCACCTGGCACAGGGCAGTACTTTGTGGGGTTTTTGTTGGTGGTGATGGTGGTCGTGGGGCTTGAACTAAGGGCCTGGCGCTGTCCCTGGGTTCTTCTGCGCAAGGCAAGCACTCTACCCCTTTGAGCCACAGCCCCACTTTTGGCTTTCTGGTGGTTCATTGGAGATAAGAGTCTCATGGACTTTCCTGCCCAGGGAGGCTTTAAACAGAGATCCTCAGGTCCCAGCCTCCTGAGTAGCTAGGATGACAGGCGTGAGCCACCGGTGCCCAGCTAGCCCTTTGGTATAGTCTCTGCACCCGTTCAGGCCGCGTGCCTGGTGTGCAGTAGGGGCTCAGCACACCTGCGGCTGGATGAGCGGGTGGAGGCCTTGCCCCTGTCGAGTCTTGGGGTCCCCTGGGACTGTGACAATGGGGCGTGGAAGGTCACCTCGGCGGTGACAGGGCTCTGGTAGGTGTAAGAGGGGGACAGAGGGCTGGTTTTGCACATGCGTTGTTGGTGCGGGGACGCAAGCTCAGCCTGGGCTGGGAGGATGGTGAGGAGCCGCTGCTGTGACCGCATGCCGAGGCCGGAAGTCCAGGCTGCCGCCGGACACCGGAGCTGTGGCATGGACAGAAGCTGCTCGGGCTTTGGGGAGAAACTAGGTCCTCCCCACCCCTGTGCCCCATCGGACAGAGCTCAGGGAAGGGCGACCAGGCCCTGGCCCCGGCTCAGATGACTAGGGGGCCGTTCGCTGGGCCGGTGGAGAGGCCTGAGTCACACGGGCCCCAGGGGGAGCAGCGGTCACCCCAAGAGGAGGGTCCTGCGCCGCCAGGAGCCCTGGAAGTCCCACTTCCCAATCTGGGCCTCCATTGGCTGGTAACTGAGAAACCTCCACCCCACAGCCTCCACGTCCGTCTCCACCGGGGCCTGGCAGCAGGACCTGAACCCGAGCGTGAGCTGAGCTCGGGACCGTTGCACCCAGTGAGGCCCCATTCGCTGTCCTGCGCCATGACGGAGGAGTGGCACCAGCATCTGCGCTGGGGGCTGCTAGAAGGTTCTCCAGTGGTCCTGAGTGTCCGTCTTGTGTGCCCCCCACCACACTGGCTGCCCACGCCCACCCGCCAGCCCCCACGCCCTACACAGCCGGCCTCGGCCTTCTGCTCAAGGTGAGCACTCTACCACCTGAGCCACAGCGCCACTTCTGGTTTTCTGGTGGTTCATTGGTGCTGAGTCTCATGGGTTTTCCTGCCTGGGGCTGGCTTTGAACCGAGATCCTCCGATCTCAGCCTCCTGAGTAGCTAGGATGACAGACATGAGGCACCGCCGCCTGGCTGACTTGCTCACTTCTCAGGCCACCTTCTACAGCCAGGCCCCAGGGCCTGGCCATGCCACCTACAGGCCTGGGCCCCTCAACCTAAGTGGAAAGAGGAAGCCCCAGCCCCCCAGGCCCCCCGACCCTGCAGGCCGGGTGACCTGTGCCCACGTCCTGCCATGCAGGGTGAGCGCTGCCCAAGGGGCCTGGGTGGAGGCTTCCCCTCCTCCCCCCCCCCCCCCCCCGGGATTAGGGACTTAGCTGACAGCGCTAATAGTCCTTAAGCCTCAGCTGGGTCAGCAGCCCCCCCGCCCCGTTTTCCCCTGCTCCCCGCTGCCCTGTCTCAGCCCGCCTGGCAACATCCCCGTGGCTGTCACCCCAGCCGCTCGAGGCCTTGCGGTGCCACCACAGGCCGCCACGGGCCCTCAAAATCACCCGACGGGACAGAGCTGCACGCGTCTCCTCAGCTTCTCCTAAGCCCCCCCCCCCCCCCCAGCCCCCGGCCGTCTGTCTGTGCTGATAAACGTAATGATGCCAGAAGTACCCCGCGGCCTGCGGCAGAACGGAAGCTCCCTACCCTAAAAGCCGAGCGTGACAGGGAACAAGGGAAGGGAAAGATGCCTCTTCTTTGGTCCTTCTGCCCTCCCTCCCCCCTCCTCCTTTCTCCCTTTCCTTCCCTCCCTCCCCCTGTAACATCCATCCAACCTTCTCTAGGGCTGGGCCCCGGGCTGGACACTGAGGTCCTGGGTTGAATCCTGTGTAGTCTCAGGCTCAGGGCCTGTGGCTGGAAGCCCGGAGCATGAAGTAGGCCCCAGGGCAGCCAGGTCGCCCATAGCAGCCTTGGGCAAGCGGGCGACACCCGGGAAGATGCTGCAGAGTCTGGGTATAAGGAGTTTCAGAGCCCCGCACGAGCGCCTGGACCAGGGGAGGGGCAGGCCCGGCAGGGGCTCTCACCAAGGCTGGCACCTGCCCCCACTGGTCTCTGCCCACTGTGCAGATGGAGCCAGGAAGAGGTGGCTGATCAGAGCCTGTGCTCCTCAAAATTGTGGATACCAGGAGCACCGGGGGCCCCAAGCGGTGCTGTCCCCGCCCCCCGCCCACGTCCTGGTCAGATGGTCAGCATGGACAGACGGGGGAGGGGCGCGGGGGGCAGGCAGACACCCACCCCACTCGCAGCTTCAGGCTGAGTCTGGAGCCTGTGTCACTGTGGGGCGGCCCTTCTGTTCAAGGGAGACTGAGCCTTGGAGAAAGTGCTGAGCTCAGCCAAGACCTCGGTGAGGGCAGAGCAAGGTTCTTGTGCAAAGCTGCACCGGTGCGTGAGCCTTCCCGGTGCGTGAGCCTTCCCGGTGCGTGAGCCTTCCCGGTGCGTGAGCCTTCCCGGTGCGTGAGCCTTCCCGGTGCGTGAGCCTTCCCGGTGCGTGAGCCTTCCCGGTGCGTGAACCTTCTCGGTGTGTGAACCTTCCCGGTGTGTGAACCTTCTCGGTGTGTGAACCTTCTCGGTGTGTGAACCTTCCCGGTGTGTGAACCTTCTCGGTGTGTGAACCTTCTCGGTGTGTGAACCTGCTCAATCCGTCCCGGAGGGACGGGGCTAGCTGCGGCGGCACACACTAGACGCTGGCCACGCCGAGCAGACGCACACCGGACGCACACCGACCGACGCTGGGCCCAGGGAGCAGCCTCGGGCCCGGCCCCCAGAGCCTGGCTCTGGGGCAGCAGGTGGAGAGGATGCGTGCGGCGTCTTGGGCAGGGACCATCTGATCTGTTGCTGTGATTGACGCCTGTTAGGTATCTGGAGCTGTTTTCTCCCTCATCCCACTTTTTCCCAGCCATATGCAAATGAATTCAGTTCAAGTAACGCGCTAATGGAAATCCTAACACATTAATAAATGTTTAGCGCGAGAGAGAACATGCATGATCGTAAGCAATTACACACTCGACGGAGGAGTTCTGTTGGCACAACTGTCTGGCTTCTTTCTCTCCTCCTTCATCTCCAGAGATGCGGGGAGAGGAAGAGGAAGCAGGGGGAGGCATGGGGGGCCACGTTGGCTCCAGCCCCGGTGCGTGAGACCTGGGTAGCTGCACCCCAAGCCTCAGCTCCCCATCCTTCCGGGCCCTGCCTGTCTAAGATGATCCTCCACCGCCGTCCTGTGTTCAGCTGCTCTGAGAGCCATGCGTGGAGCCCGGTGCCACCGCTGGGCGTGGCACGCTGGAGGAAGTGGGCAGGGCCCTTGGACGGACAACTCCCAGCTTCTCCTCAGAGCTGGGGGGGCACAGGGAGCCGCACCTCCTGCTCTCCAGCCTGGACAGCTCTGAGCTGGAAACCACAACCCACCCACAGAGCTGCTGGGGTGGAAGCGACCCTGGGCATGGCTGGGCAGAAGTGGGCCCAGGCAATGAGGGCTCCCGCCAGCCCCAGGGGCAGGGCCCTCGGCAGTGGAGATTCCCCCTGAACCCCGCCCCAACTACAGGACGGGGGCAGTGGGGGGAGAGCCAAGACCTTCCACAGGGGAGGTGGAGGGTGGCTTACAGAAACTCTGGGAGAACCTGTATTTCAACCTTGCTCCTTTTTCTTTTCTCCCCAGCCAGGTATTCTATGTTATTGTCAAGACAAATCCTCATTGTGAAAATAAGCAACAACAAGACTACCCGCCCCTGCCCTTCCCACCCTGCCACCTCAGTTAGATTACACGTTCAGAGCAGTGCAAATGCCATGTGCCTTTCGGCTCAAATTAAAAACAGGTGCACTTTTGCATAAGGAAATTAAGTTGCAGACAATATGGAGATTTGCAACATGCAGACGCTGATGGAAACGAGTAGCCCTTTTATTTGTCGTTATCCAGGCTGCCGGTGGCGGAGTGTGCCGTCAGACAGCTCCTCTGACTCTCGCGGCCGGGGCCCCTAGCAAAGGGACAGACCCGTGTCCGTCCCCCCTCCACCCCGCCCCCGGTCTCCGGGTGCTGTTTACAAGGCTTGCCACGCCATTACAAGGCACGCCACGCCACGCCATACACAGGAGTTCTGTAGAGATCACCAGGCCCTGCCCGAGTTGCTCGCTCGGGCGGCGTTGGCGCTGGTCACGGGCCCGGCTCCTCGATGCGCCGGCGGCAGTAGGGGCAGCAGGCGTGCTGCAGCACCAGCAGCTCGTAGTCCTCCGAGTGGAACATCTGAGGGAGAGGCCCCGGTGAGGCCAGCGCCCGGCCCGAGGGCCTGGCTGGAGTCAGGGGTATGAGCAGGGAGGGGCAGGGGGGGCAGAGGCAGGGGGCGGGGGCGGGAAGAGGGGGCGGGGTACCTGGAAGCAGGAGGGGCACATGGTGATGGAGGCGTCGGGCAGCAGCGAGCGGAAGTACTGCCACTGCAGCGGGGGCGGCCAGCGCTTGATGAGGACGTCGCGGCGGCTCATGGAGCGCAGCACCGACCGGTTCACCACCACCGGCGCGAACTCCGAGCCGCCCTGCTGCAGGGGGCATCGCGGGGCCCTAACTAACGGTGTGGGCCACCATCCCAGAAGCCCCTGTGACAGGGCCACCCCTGCAGACCCACCGTGCCTCGGCCCCGAGTCCCCCTCTCACCCCCACATCTGGAAGCTGTGGCCGCTACCTGAGGTGCTGTGTGCTCCGGAGCCCCCGGCAGCCCTCCCCGGGACGCCTCACCTCGAAGCTCAGCTTGGCGGTGAACGGGTCGTCCGTGTCTCCCATGGGGTCCACGGTCTCGTCCAGCCTCAGCGCCTGGGAATCTGGAGGGTGTGGTCAAGGAAGGGTGCAGAGGAGGCCGGCAGGACCTCGGGGCGGCCAGCTGGCCGGCCCCCACACTGGTGGCTCGTGGAGGCTGGGATTGGGGGGTGAATGATGGCGCCTGGGCGCCGTGCGCCGGGCCGGCTCCTGCGGACAGCATGCAGGTGGGTGTCAGCGCAGGGACGAGGAGGCAGGCGCGTCCTGGAAGAAGGCAGGCCTGGGACACAGAGGCTGCTGGTGCTGGCTCAGGAACGGGGCTCGGGCACAGCCAGCCTGGGCCTCCAGTGGCACCTAGTAAGCCACGGGCACACATGGGGTGTTTTCCCTTCCTGGGCAAGGCAAGGGAGACAAAAACCTCAGCGGCTCTCCTGCCACTGCCAATTCTCCCGCAGGGCCCTGGCCAGGAATGCAGCCGCCCAGCGGACCCGCGTGGCGTGGTCGCGAGGCCCCGTGCGCTCCCCTCTCGAGGATACTGTTGCTCGAGATCTCCTGCCACTTGCTGCCCCGCTTGGGCCTGGGGGCCTCCAGGTCAATGAGCGAGACGGCTTCCTCGTCGGTGATGCCCTCCTCCAGGTAGAACTCCACCAGGTGCAGCACCTCTGGGGGCACGGGGTCGGGGTCAGCCCCCACAAGGCCGTGGGTGGGGACAGGGCCCTTGGTGGCGGGCGAGCTGCTCTCAGGCCTGATCTGCCCCTGGGAAGGGACCTCGGATCCCGAGTTGCCCTGGCACAGCTGGGGACCGAGAGCCAGTGCGGCCCCGTGGCTGCCTGGCTGGGGCAGGTCCTCGTCCGGGCAGCACCCGGCCCTGTCCCTGCGCGCCCTGACGTCTCCGTGTGTCCGGCAGCACGGCTGTCACGCACGCCGTGGCCGTGAGTTGCCCCCGGTGGCGCAGGGCGACTCACCGTAGGAGGAGGCGGAGAAGACGAAGGGCTGGCGGCAGTTGATGCACACGTTGCCGAGGTTGTTCAGCAAGGGGTTGTTGGTAGAGCAGCGGTAACACAGGGGTACCAGCTCCTGAGGAGCACGCATGCACCCGGCTGACCACCAGTGCCACACGCCTCACCTCCTGGGGCAGGGCTGGGTGCTCAGGAGGGGCAGCGGGGGGAGGCGGGGGGGGGGGGGGCGGGTGGAGACAAAGGCCTAGGCCAAGCTAGCAGGATGCTTCCTCTGGGAATGGAAGTTCTCAATGCCCGGGACGCGGCTAGGAGTTGGCATCAGGCACTGGCCAGGCTGGAGGAGACGCTGGCTGTGCACACTGGGTGGGCTTGCAGCGGCTGAGTTCCAGGCTGGGGAGGGGAGGGAACCCCAGAAGGAGGGTCAGCCCGAGCCAGGCCTGGGGCTGGGCACCTGCAGCCGGGAGCGGCCGCGGGTGGGGTGGAGAAGGAGGCGGCAGGCCAAGGCGCGGGAGGGCGGGGAGCGTGGCCGCCACCTTTCTCAGGCGTTGGGCAGTCTGGGGGGTGCGGGGCGGGGACGGGCCCCACCTCGCTGTCGTGGAAGGGCTTGGAGCGGATGGTCAGGCTGCCCAGCTCGATGGGCTTCTGGAAGCGCGCGGGGATCTGCAGGCCCTGCAGCTTGTCGTAGGCGTGCCGGGCCAGCTTGTAGGCCCCCAGGGCCTTGCTCTGCTTGGCCAGGGTGAAGAGCGTGTTTCTGCCGGCGCGGATTAAGGACAGTGGAGGCTGGGAGTGGCACCGCCTGGCCCTGGACTCAGCCCACCGTGGAGCCCCAGGCCCACCCTGCCTGTCCGCAGAGTGGAAGAGGGCCCTCGGCCAGGTCATCCTGGGAGCAGCCGCTCCACTCCATCTCCTCAGCCGGTACACGGCTGTCTCCTCCGCCACATAACGGCCCTGGCCACACCTGGCCTGAGCTGTGTTCTACTCTTGGGCAGATTGTACATGCCATGGAACTAGGTCCTGAATGCCTGTCACCTTCCCTACTAAGTGGCAACTCTGTCACCTGGGCCTGGACAGGTGCCTGGGGCCTGTGCACCTGAGCTGACACACTGTCTCCCCCAGGAGAGGGCCCACAAGCCCAAAGCGAGGCCTGCCTGGTTTCGCTCACGGCCTGGTCTGTGGTTTCAGGGAGGACTGGGGACATGGTGCTGGCCAGAAGCCTGGCCCAGGCAGAGCCCTGAAAGCTGATCTCTTGGCTGGCTGCTCAACCGCTCACCCACTGTGCAGAGACAGCCTTCTCCCTTCTGCCAGGAAAGTGCTCTGGGAAGAACTCGGGCCATTAGATGCAGGGAGGGCGAGGAGAGAGGATACACTTTAGAGATGCCCAAGGGGGCATCCTTGGTCAGGCTGTGCAGCAGGAACCTGGAGACGTTGAAGAGGGTTTCTGGAAGGTGGAAGCTGAAGGGCTCCTCCTGCGGGAAGAGAAGAGCGGACAGGGATGGATCTTGCTGGAAGCAGACATCGGACACTGAGCTACTGCAGCCCGTGTGCACTGGTGCCATCTAGCCTTTAACACACTCTGTGGGCTCTGTTTCTCTCTCTCTCTCTCTCTCTTTCTCTCTCACACACACACAACCACATACTCCTGAGGAAAGCGATGCCCTCAGGGAATACAGTATAGGCCAGGACCTAGCAAGCAGCACTCAGGACCCTGGCCTTCTGCACCTAGAAGCTGCTGGAGTGTGGTGCAGAAGACTGCAAAGAAGGTTTGACCGCAGGCTCTGCTCTGAAGGAGGCTGGCACGAGGGTGCAAACATGGAGGCGGTGATCTCTAACCACTCTGTTGTGACTCCTGCCCCTGTGCTGCACCAAACAGGCCACACGGACTTCCTGAGGCTGGCTGGGCCTTCGCACCATGGAGCTACCAAGTTTATCTCTTAGTTGGTCCAAATTCGTAAAGACTCACTTCTGCTGACTTGGTTCAGAGCCCAGCATCTTCTCGTGCATTCCCACTTACACTCGTACAGCTTCCATTAGCTGCTCCAAGAACCAGGAACACCTGAGACGCATCCTTTTTGGGATGCAAGCCAAGAGACGCCTGCCTCTGGCTCTACTACGCTAGGTGAGGAAGCGAAGCAATGTCCCTGGGGAGGGGCACTCAAGCTCAGCACCTCTTCCCTGGGAAAGAAACACACAGCCCCCACGTCTCCCTTCCCCGGCTTCCACGCTGCCCCGTGCAGAGCTGCTCTGCCAGGCCCTGGTGCAGACCCCAGACCCCCAGCGGCCTCCATGTCTGCACAGGCTGTGCCCTTCCCTCCCCTTCTTCGCTTGCTCCCTGCTTCCTTGTCTCCCACCTCAGCCGAGGCCCCAGCTCCAAGCAGTCTCCCCAGCACTGCCCTCGGGGGACTGTCCTGTTTCCTGAGCTACAGGTTGCTGGGGGAGAAACAAGATCTCAATCACCACCGTGTGTTGAATGTAGCCGCATGGCCAGGGTGACACCGGGGCCCTGGCTGCCACAAGGGCCTCCAGCTGAGCCCCACATGGATCTGCAGCAGGGCTGGCTGTCAGGGACAGGAGACCCCAGGATGGCGGGGAAGGGCAGGGGGCTGAGAGAGGTCAGGAACCAAGATCTGGGCTCCCGGTGGCTCAGACAAACCCAGGCTGGGCTGGGGCTCTGCCTCTCCACCCCACATGGAGTCTGGGCTCCTTGGTCTGTGGCCTCTCATCCATACAGAGATGTGGGGCCCTGAGGGGATCGCAGACAGGGGGAATCAACGACCACAAGAGGAGACGAGGCCTCTGGAGCCCCCGCACCCCTTAGGGAAGTGACAACGCCCACACCCAGGCTGGCCTGATGGGGTCTGGCCCCCAGGGGTCACGTCAGTGCAGGAGCCTGTAGGGAGGACGTGGGAGGCAGCTGGGGAGCAGCATCTGAGAGGCCAGCCTGAAGGCTGTGTACAGCTGACCGCCCGGGCCTCCACCAGGGGCTCCTCCCAGGACTTCCCATAGGAACTCACAGCAGGTACTGCCTCGGCCCCATTTCCCAAAGACAGAAGCTGAGGCACAGGGAGGGGGTCACACAGCACAGCTGGAACCAAGGCCTCGAGTTCACCAGGCCACGTTAGAGGGCGGGGGAGGCGGAGGCTGAGGGACCGAGGGGAGCCAATGCCTGCCTCCATTCTCTACTGCCAGGAGCCAGGAGGGAAGAATCGGGGGGGGGGGGGGGGGGGAGGGTCTGAGAAGAACCGCATGGCCTCTGTTCTCACCCCGTACCGTGTAACGCTGAATGGCATGGTAGCCGTGGTACAGCTCGGCCAGGTGCTGGAAGTGGTAGAACTTGTTGAGCATCGTATCCTTCTGGGCGGGATCTGCTGTGTGTGGCGGGAGGGGAGGCGTGTCAGATCTGTCCAGGGTGGTCAGTCAGCCACAGGTGGCAGCCTTCACAAGGAAGAGGGGCCCAGAGAGGCCGGATAGGAAGTGGCCCCCGCCCCCCCCCCATAACAGCTTATCTGGACTGTGGCACCTGGGCTGGACAGGGCTCTCCTGGTCACTAAGGGACGGGGCTCTCTGGGCTGCACGCTGCCCTACAGCACACCCAGCTAGGCAAGCACAGACCCACTGGAGGAACCTGGAGGGACAGCTGGCCAGGGAGCAGTTTCACTGGCCACCACCCTCACCGGTGTGTCTGCTCTTCATGCGGCTGTGACAGCACACACCACTGCCAGAACCAAGAAAGCCACTGGGCTCGACGGCCGAGGCTCTAAGCATGGTGCTGCGATGCTCAGATGAGCCGGGAAGGGAGCAGGGCAGGGACACCCCCGTGACAGGAGCACCCGGAGCTCAGGGGGAGGCCCCCAGCCTCCGTGGGCAGTGCTGTCCCCTCTGCGTGTGGGAAGACCGTCGCTCTCTGCTCCTCCAATCCAGGGCCCCCAGTGCTTCATGGGAAGTCTTGTGAAAGAAAGCAACTACAACTGTTTCCTGCCTGGGCTGAGAGCATCTGAAGCAGGCTACTGTGGGCAACCTCCCCTTCATCTTTCATGTAATTAAATTTCTTCAAGCTGGTGCTCACCGTACCCAGCTACGGGGTCTCAGGTAGCAGGGGAGAGAGGGCTCTGCATTAGCACTGGTTCTGCACTGGCAAAACCTCTCATCCGTAACCCCTGTGGGCCACCCTTCTGCTTCAGGGCAAACTAGAAAGAGATGACACCCCCAGATTGTGCCATGCCACAGGCTCCCGGACAATGCGGCCAGCAGACCAGCCTGGGGCTTTAATGAAACGTCCACTCTTCTGACTGTGTGGTGCCAGCATGGGCTGGCGGCTGTGTACTTACCTTGAGCTATGTCAAGGCACTGCATGGACAGCATCCAGTAATAATAGGCGGCGTCATTGAATCTGCTTTCCACCACGGCGTTGTGTGTGAGCTGCTCCAGCACCTTGACTGCTTCTTTCTGCCGCCCGGCCTTATGGAAGGCTGGAAGAGGAAAGCATGCATCACCCAGGGGGCCGGAAAGGGGCCGGGGCTGTGCAGGGTGGGTATGGGGTCAGTTTGGAAGTCAGACACCCATCAGAACATCTGCAGTGCTGGGTGCTAGGTGCTGCTGCTCAGGCCACCGGCTATAAATACCTGGGACTACGTCCTGGGGGGGGGGGGGGGGGAAGCACAGGGAGACGCACTCTGCTCCTCTTTGGCTGGGAAACAGCAACCTGCTTCAGCAAGGCATGGTAGAGAGAAGAGCCCAGGGTGCTGCTGGGGTCAGTGGGTCTCTGTCCCCACTTTCCAGGAAGCATTTGCTCTATTCCACATTGCTCCGTGACACCCAGGGCAACGCTGACAGAGCTCGCGCTTCCCTGGCTAGTTACACAAGAAGAAGGTTACAGCAGACTTTGGAGGAAGGGAGTTTGCTCCCTCGTCACGGATGAAGAGCTGGAGCTGGCCAGGTAAGACAATGTCATGCTCCAGTCACAGAATGAGCTGGGCCCAGGGCCGAGCGTGCCTTCCCTTGCAGAATGCTCTCTGGAGTCAACCTTGGAAGATCTGGCTCTGTTCCTCAAGCCAGACATTTGTGAAAATAAGCAATATATATATAATTAAAAAAAAATTATTCCTGCGTCTGCTTAACAGACATTTCCTGAGCATCCGCCCTGCCAACCTGGACCCCTGGAGATGCCGGGGGCTGCCAGTGAGGCCCACGCGTGGGCACGCTGGTGGCCCCGTCCCCTGCCTTGAGAAAAGGAAAGGGTCTGGCCTTTGTTCTACTCCCATCGCCGTCTCTTGTCTGAGTACCGTTACTATGGCGATGAATTCTTGGAAGGGCGATGCAGACAGATGGATAGGTTGATGTGTTTTGCCCAAACATGCAGATACTTCAGCAACTGGGTGCTGTGGAAGTGCTGTGCGGGCGAGAACGCACCGTCCTCCAGTGGGGTTTTCACGGAGGAGCTCCGGCAGGAGGCAGCGCTCGGCCGCGTGTCCGGAGGTGGCAACTGCTACCACATGGAAGCGTAACTGAGATGCCAGGGAGCAGACGCACTGGCTTCAGCGAGGAGGCCCTCGGAACAGGCAGCAGAATGGGCAGAAAACCAGATCTGGTCCAATCCTGGCTCTGCCACTCACTAGCTTTGTGACTCTGCACGGCACATTTAGCCTCTGTGTCCCTGCAGGGTGGCTGGCAGGATTCAAGGTTATGCGGGTTAAGTCCCCAGCCGGGGCACAGCGCAGGCAGGCAGGTTTGTAAGTCATGATTAACGTGCCCAGGCGAGGCTCTGCGCTTGCCTTGGCTCTACTTCAGATCTGCCATGCCTCATGCGTGGCCCATTCACCAAGGCAAACGCAGAGGAGCGGAGCCCCTGCCCCTGCCAGCCAAGATGGAAACAGCCCTGCACTCTGCTCTCAGCAGGAAAGCGTGGGTGTGGGACAAGGCAGGCCGCTCAGCGCAGCCTTCCGTTCGCCCTTGCCGCAGGCTGGCGCTTCCCAGCTATGGGACTTCACACTCCCTGAGCAACTTCAACCTCAGTTTTCTCATCTGTGGAGTGGGACCAGCAATACCACACCGTGGGACGTGATGAGAATCAAAGGGGAAGAGACACTGGGGTACATGACCCTGCTCACGAACCAGAGGCTTGGGAGGCCCTGCTGAAGGGCCCCCAGCACGTGGGTCAGGGGCCCGCGTGGGCAGGACCTAAGGCCCATGTCGTCCACTGCCCCGAACTCTTTTCTCTGCAGAGCCCTCCTATCTAAAGAAGAATCACCTGTCTTGGGGCCCGTGGAAGGGAGCGGCCCGGCAGGCCCCCTGAAGTGTGTGTCTTGGCGCTGACTTCTCCCCCTCTGCACAGTGCCATCTGCACGGCCTACCTTTCTGGGCTTCCTCAAAGCGATCGTTCTCTGCTAGCCACTGAGCGTAGGGCACGTAGATGTCATCCTTGAACTCGGGGTGCTTCTCGCCCAACGCAAAGGCCTGGAGACAGGAGCACAGGCCCTCTTAGTGAACTGCTCCCCACAGCCCCACAGAAACATGGCACCGAGATGTCATATTTTGCCAGCCTGACAACTCAGAGGGGGAGAGAGCCCACCCCCCACCCCCAGCAGCACAGAAACAAACCAGCTCTTTGAAAACAAAAGGCAATTAGCAGCAATATGCAACTGACTGGATTCAACAACAACACAGTCTGTTTCTGGACCACAGAAGCGGCACAGAATCGGAAACATTTTATTTTGAGGGTTTGCGTGGGCTCCTGTAGCGCTGCAAACAGATTTCTTTTAATTGCAGGCGACACCTACGGAAACGGGATTGACATTATCATCATCACTGCTTACGAGCTGTCAGAGATGACTGTGGACGTGGTGCTGATGGGACTCGGTGGCGGCTCCCCCCCCCCCCAACCAGGGCCCAGACCACCTGCTGGGCCCAGAGAACAGGACATGATGTCAGGGGGGAGGGAGAGGAGGGGGGCTCTGCCAGAACCCAGTGCTTCTGAGATGCAAGGACTCTGGTAAGTTTATCTTGTAGCCATTATTGCCCCTGGCCTCACTTTTTCTCCCCTGCGATCTTGTCACCTCAGACACTCAGGGTACCCAAGGGCCTTGTTATGGCTGACACTGCAGGGCACGGGGTGGGGGACCCTGCAGCTCTGATAGCCCGGCTGATTCTTTCCACGTGTCCCTCACACTAGAGTGGTCAAGGATGGGGGTCAGGGAGGGAGGAGAGAATGGCCCCTGAAACGGCTCTGGCAGCCTCTGCCTGAAAAATACAATTGGCATTTCTGCCCAAATGCTGCCCAGCAGGTTTTAAATGTCACATCCGTGCATTTTCACATTGGAGAGCACAGGACGCTGTGGTGCTGGTCAGAGGCAGCAGACCAACACCAACCGCAGCCCCGGACAGCCAGGCCGACACGCAAAGCCTGGCGCCTACCACGGGGCTGGCCCAGAGCTTCAGCCAATAAAGACATGCTGAGTGAATGCATGAATGAATGAATGAATGAATGAATGAATGGAAAGTTATTGTAGGGCAGCCCTCCAGGGGGCTCTGGTTTAGAGAATTCGGGGCTAAGTCTCCTGACTGCCAGGCAATGGTCCTTCCATCCAGAGGCAGCTGCTCTCCATCCCAACCAGACACCATCCCCTCGTCCCAGCGGTGGGCACCCTCCCCTCCCCTCCCTCTCCTTGTCCCGGCGGTGGGCACCCTCCCCTCCCCTCCCTCTCCTCGTCCCAGTGATGGGCACCCTCCTCTCCCCTCTCCTTGTCCCGGCGGTGGGCACCCTCCCCTCCCTCTCCTCATCCCAGAGGTGGGCACCCTCCCCTCCCTCTCCTTGTCCCAGCGGTGGGCACCCTCCCCTCCCCTCCCTCTCCTTATCCTGGTGGTGGGCACCCTCCCCTCCCCTCCCTCTCCTTGTCCCGGCGGTGGTCACCCTCCCCTCCCCTCCCTCTCCTCGTCCCAGCGGTGGGCACCCTCCCCTCCCTCTCCTCGTCCCAGCGGTGGGCACCCTCCCCTCCCTCTCCTTGTCCCGGTGGTGGGCACCCTCCCCTCCCTCTCCTTGTCCCGGTGGTGGGCACCCTCCTCTGCCCCCCCTCACCTCATCCCAGCGGTGGGTCTCCACGTGCAGCTGCACCAAGGACCGCAGGTCGCCGATCTTCAGGTAGGTCTCAGCGGCATAGCTGGGGTGGTCCAGTTTCTTGAAGTAGCGAGCACACATCAGCAGGGGCTCCCGCTCAGCCTTGTCCAGCTTCCGGGCAATGTCGATCAACCTGGAGGGAGGAACCCATGAGCGGCCGGACAGAAGGAAGCGGAGTAGCTTCCCATCTTCTCAAGGGCACACTCCATGTCTGTTCATTCTGCTGAGTCCTGTCTAACAGCGCCACGGTCCAGGGAGACGCCAGGTCATTAAGTGAAGGAACACATACTCCACAACCATTGTCAGGGACCCCAGGGCCGCCTCGGAAGACATGGTCTATACCTCATCTGTCTTTCACGTGAGTTACTACAGTGGTATCTGGGAATATACATAAACTGTGTACGGAACCCTGGTCAGGAACCAAGATGGCACCGTGAGCTTTCCGGGCGTGGCCTCACCGAATCCTCGTCACCCTTCTCTTAGTCCCGGTTTGCACATGAGATGACCTTAAGTCTGGGGGAGGGGGACGCTCGGCCCTGGGCTCTTCAGGCAGGAAGTGGCTCTGTGCTCTTCTTGCCATGTCAGATTTTCACAGGAAAGCAGAAGCCAGGGGTGAGCACTGCTCAGAGCCTGGCACTCTGTGGAAGAGGCCTGGGAGGAAGCTCTGTTTTCCTCCTGGCCAAGCTGCAGGCCGCAGGGTCCAGACGCTCCGGGGACATGGGCTGAATGGAATGCTCTGCGGGGTTCTGGGCAGCCCGGGGCTTGGAGTAAAACCAAGGCGGGGAAGGGGCTCTACCCAGCCGGCTCCACGTGAGGAAGGAGAAGCGGCGAACGCAGACAGGCAGGCTCGGGGCGGCCTGTGAGTCTGCACTTAAAATAATAATGGCATCTAAAAATAACTCGCTCTGCAGAGAGAGAATGTTTTCTGGGAAAGGTGGCACAGGCAGCCCCTTAGAGCCCCCACCCATCAAACCCACCTTCTACAGCCAGACCTGGAGAGGGGCAGCACACCCCCGCGCAACGCGTTAAGTGTCCCCAGAGTACTTGCACACCAATGCGCCCCGGGGCTCGCCAGTGGGCGTGGCCAGGACCCCGAGTGTGCCTGGCACTCATTTGTCATCTATTTTGTGGAAAGAAAACTTCAGGGGACATGATCAGCACCTCTTCTTGGCTTGAGAATGGAGTGGTGGGTTCCAGGTAAGGGCCCTTGGTGAGCCTGCAGCGCTCAGACGCAGCCTCGGGCGCCCACTCTCGCCTCCTGCCAGCTGTGGTGACGCACGCGTGCATGCACGCACGCGCGCGTGCACGTGAACTCCAGTCCTCCTTCGAGAGCCCGAGGCTGAGCCCTGCTGTCCCAGCACAGCCCCGCCCACCCCTCGCCCAGCTCTCTATCTGGTTAGCTGGCATGGCCCCGTGGCACAGAGTACCTCTCCTTCTAGTTCTTCATTTTCTCGTGCCCTCGGCCTACCATAGTCCATCCTGGTCTACTTGCTTGACTTTGCTCCACCCTAGTGGGGGGGTCTCCTGACCTTGTCCCAGAGCCTGCACCATGTGCCCACCCTTCCCCCGCTGGCTGCTCCAGGGCCCGCATGCTGTCCCTGTGTTCCTCCCGCCTGTGCTCCCCTGCTCCCCGCTTCCTCCCCACCACTACCTCAATGTTAATGGCTTCAGATCTGCTCCTCCAGGCCAGACATCCGTGGGCTCAATGGACCAGGATTCTTCCTGGTTCTCTTTGGTTCCTATCATTGTACGTGTGGTGGACACTGGAAGCACCCACACCAGTCGGGAGCTCTCTGCCAATCTCCCTGCTGCTCCCTCTTTGGTGGACACAGGTGTCCCCAGAGCCTCACTGTCTTCCTTCGCGGGACAGGTGCGGAGGCACCGACCCAGGGGTGGAGGGAGGACGCCAGGCCTGGGTGGCCGCCTCAGCCACACACAGCCTGGTCCCCGAGTGGCCTCGTCTCCACACCCTTGCCCAATGCCCCTCTCCAAAGGCGTGTCTGCCTTGCTCAGACTCGGTGCCACCCAGAACTGAGGTGCTTTTACAGTTGGCTCAGACACTTGAAGAAACACTGTGCTTTCTCCTGTCAATCAAACCTCAGAGCTGACATGAGGTGACAGGCTGCCGAACGCTCCCCGGGTGCGGCTCAGACCTACATGTCAACCCAGCCGTGGTCGCCGCTCAGCTCGATGGCCTTGGCGTGCTCCCCCGCGGAGACGTACATCTCCACGGCCGCTTTGGGCTCGTGGATATTCCTGGCCCAGTCAGCCTGCTTGGTGATTAGCATCTTTGTTTCTTTGGGGTCTCCAGATCCAAGGAAATCCTGAGGAAGCACAACAAACAAAAACACTCCGGATTAGGACTTCCTGTGCCAGCATGACGTCAGCTCCCGGAGCAGGGAAGGGCTCCGCTTGGCTGTGTGGGCAATCGGGGTGCAGGCTGGAGCCCAGCCCCACTCACCGAGTGGGGGCTAGGCCAGGTGTGTGGGAGGGACGCTCACGGGCCACCTGCAGATGTTCCAGGGGGAGGGGAGAGGACCATGTCCAGGACTGTGGCCGTCTGTTTCCTGCCCTTCATACACGGAGCTCAGCAGGGAACACCTGAACTCTGCAGGGCTGCGCCCAGTGCCGCGGGAGTGCAGGACCAACGTGCACGTGGCTGTTCCCGGACCATCTGTCCAGTGCTGACAGCCCTGTAATCTTTATTCACATAATAAGGGCGACACCACATTCCTCACGCTGGGGTTGAGCATGGGGTCTCCTAAACCTGACCCGTAAAATGATGTGCAGAGCTGTAGGCTTAGCCCTGGCTCTGAATGCCCACCGTCCCTGGCTAGCAACACACTTCAAGTGCTGTTCCCAGATGTTCCCCCATACACTGTCTGAATCTGGGAGGCCGCCACATTGGCGTGGCCTCCCGGGCACAGACTGGCCGAGGACAGACAACAAGCAAAACCTCCAAATGGCTTGTTCACTCTCAGCGGCCTCAGGTCCATCTTGAGATCAGCTCTGCCTAATGGACACTCCATGTACAGAGGGACGGCAGGCGCCCACAGAGGGCCTGAGGCAAGGGAAGAGAGGCCCGTGGCCCCAGAGGCTCAGATTGGGGTGTGGGGTCTGAGTTCCTGCCCGCCTCCCCCCGAGTAACACCTCCCTGGGAAGCAGCATCAGAAACCTGCTCTCAGGACGGAGCTGCTGCTGAGGCAGCCCTGGTGCCGACATTTGTGAAGGTGGGCCTTTAGCCTAGATCTGCATTACTGCTTAGAAACTTCGTCTCAGGAAGAACGTATCCTACCTGAGTGCTCTCAGCCTCCTAGCATAGAAACACACGCCGCTCCGGTGATTACCACTCACTTGTCAGGAAAGCACAGTCAATGTACGCTAAAAACCCACTTGAACAATTAGCTCATTTCTTTTTCCATTTGCTTTTAGGGCAATTATGTAGCCCCTGAAATCATATATTAGGTCTGCCCAAGAAAAGCAAATGCTTCTGGGAGGAGGGGAAACATCATTTTACCCCAATGCTGGGCACCCAGACCCCGTCAGGGCTGCCCTGGCTGGCCTTCGACCGCCCAGAGGGGCCAGGGCTACAGAGCAGCTGCTGAGTACGCCTGGCTAGGCGGCTCCTGCACGCCTGGTGGCCACGACTCCGTCAGACCCAAGCTGAGCACTGCCCACCTGGCTGCCTCAGTGAGGCTAGCGGTGGCTAGGATAGAAATGTCCTCCAAAGTGGCTGCTCAGAGGTCTTGGGGTGACTGAGAGAAGGGCTAGAGGCCCGGAGGGGGCCCTGAGCATGGGGCATCTCCCACCCGGGGACCGTGTGGGCTGTGGCTCGTGGCTGAAGGAGCCTCGTCTGCGGGGAGGGGCGCCGCCCCAGCCCGCGGTTCAGCTCAGGGGCTGCAGCTTAATTGAAGCTGAGTCTAAATGGTTCCTTCGAGGCTCAACAAAGTAGGTTTTCAAAAGCTCTTTGGTTCCAGGGAGCTAATTTACACGTTATCTGGGGGCCTTGGTGAAGACTTTGTCCTGAAGTGGACAGAAAGAGGCTGTGCTGAGTGATGAATGAGACTAAACAGGGCTCTCATGCTTGGTGATTTTGATAAGGACATACTACATAAGAGTTAAGAGCATTATAATTCCCTTTATCACCATATAAACATGTCACTTATCCGGAAAGCATACAATTTATTTGTACGTGGGAATGTAATTTAAAAATTTTCCGAAAACCAGATTGAATCTTGGGAAGCAATTTTCAAGTAAACAAAAACAAGCCATGTTAATAAGCACTGTGTCCCCCCCAACATAATATTAGTGTATGCACACATTTTCTCAAACGCAGACTACGGGGGTGCGGGGAGTGCCTGAAATGGAACCCACCTACTTAAAGCCCAACACAAGCCCTGAGAGTTACCTTCACGGAGACAGAGCAGATTGCCTCTGTGAAGGGGCTGCACTGCTGGATAGGAAACTCTAGGTGAAGCATGGGAAGGATGAAGGGTTCCCAGAGCAGGGACGGAGGGGCTGGCCCTCTGAGGGGGAAGTGCAGGCACCCGGGACCCCTGGGAAGGGACCCCTGACACACATTGCATTCTGGATGCCAACAAAAGCATTTCTGACTAAGCCACAGCTGCTGACTTGGGGAGACAGCAGCAGTTCGAGGCATTAGCCCCAAAGAACTAGCTAAGCCCAGCCAATATTGGTGTCTAAATTCTACCTCTGGGGAGCCATCCTTTTAGTTTAATGCTTTGTTCCCAGCTAAGAGGAGATCTACTGAGTTTGCTCTGTTGTTACATGTTTTATGCACTCCTGGTGGTGTGTGTGCGTGTGCGTGTGTGTGAAGGAATGGAAGATCTGGCGAAGGTGAAGCAGATGAAGAGAAGGCAGGGGAGCCGGAAGCCTCCGGATCTGGAGAGGAAGGGAAGAAGACCCCAGGCGGGCCCAGGCGCTTGGCCTCAACACGAACGAGCCCGACTCAAGCTACCAGATGGCGGAAGAGAGAAGAACCCGACCATCCTTAGGAACAGACAAGCAGAACAAATGCGGAGATCCTCCGTCTTCAACTTGTGAGCTGGACGATGACCATGAGTGGCTACAGCGTGGCTGTGGCTGGCGCCTGGCTTTCTACGCACCTGGGCCATGGGCGGGGACAGGTGGAGGGCGCCCATCCGCAGAGGAAGAGCTCGCTGCTGCGCAGGCCCTGGGTGGGTTCTCTGACCCATGCCATGCTGGTTTCAGGTTACATTTGGCTGCTGGCAATGTAGCTCAGCCTCGCCCTTACCTCCACGGACACCACCTCGGGGCTCCCTGCCTGCCTACCTCAGATCCAGAAGCTTCTGCTGCCTCTGTCTTTCCCTCTTCATTTTCCTACTCTGCCACCTTTCTACCCATGCTCCATGCTCACAGAGGAGCCGTGACGCCTGGCTGTCCCCGGCTCCCTAGGTGTGACTCTGTCTCACAGGTGCCGACAAAGAGATTAACCTTGAGGAAGACCCCAAGTGCAAACAGGGAGTCTCTACCATCTCCTCCCCCATGTGGAGCCACCAAACCCTCCTGGAACGGTGGGGCACACTGTGCAGTACAACAGGGCCCCGGGAGCGTGTCCCCTGCCTGGCTGAGGAGCTGGGGGGCCGCTGTGGGGATGGGGGGCCTTCGCAGGAGAAGGCCTTGCACTGCGGTAACTCAGCATCGCCCACGGCCGTTCTCCGACCCTCTGAGCTGCCCCTTCTATGCCAGCCTTCAAGGTCGGCTTTTGCTCGGTGTCAACAGTGCCCTGGAGGGTCCTTTGCTCACTGCTTTCCCGGTGCCCTTCCTGAGGCCACCGCGCCGCCAGCCGTGGCACACGGCGTGGACGATACAGGTGAGCGCCACGGGCTCAGGCGGCGGCCTGGCCCAGCGGGTGGTGGGTTACCTTGGCATAATCGAACATGCAGAGGTTGGTGTACATGTCCAGTGCGAGGCTCTCGTGCCCGCTCCTCCTGTACAGTTTGGCGGCCTCGTGGAACTTCCCCTGGTAGGCGAACACATCTGCCAGAAACAGGTCATTGTTGCTCTCGCCCCGCTTCTTCCTCTCCTGGAAAATCAGAAGCACGGGAAATGGCCTCCGCGGCCACAGGCAGGAAGCAGCCTGTACAAAGGCCGCTGCTGCTATTTCGAGCAAAGCCCTGGGCCTTCCAACTGGAGCCCACGCTTGGCTCCCACTGCTGTGTCCCCTACGCGTTTGTCGGGACACTGGACAACAAAGACAGACTAAAGTTTAAATTAAAAAACAAAAAGCAAACCTTTGTTTGATGGAAATTCCTCAGCTCTGCTTTGCTGCATATGCTTTCAAGGCACTGACTGGGCTGCTTGGACCGTGGGTCACTCAGACCACGTGCACTGTCCCCCCCCCCCCCCATGTCCCTAAGCCCCAAGGCCTCCTAGGCCTCCAAGCCTGGCTGGCAGAGTTGTGACCTAGGATGGTGACAGAGGAGAAAACCTACGGCTTCTCCCAAGGTGGTGATCATTAAGATAGTGGCGCAAGTGTTACCGTGTTTCTAGAGAGAAGGTTAAGAAAACTGGGGGGGCCAGACACCACTAGGTCCTGGACCCTACTTCACACACGCACTCTGGCTTTTAGTGACCTCAACATTGCCAAAGAACTCTAGTGAAGTTCAAGGCAAGGTATAGGTCAAGGTCAAACTGACATTTGGGCTCCCTTCTGCTTGTTTCCATAGCCCTGTGTTCAGAAGGACACACAGTCCCCAACAGCACAGCACCCCTGGGTGCGCATGTGTGTGGTGGCAGGTTGCCAGCATGCGCACACCGGGCTGCGCTGGGATGGAGGGAGGTGCCCGCACACCCCTTCCTCCCGTGTTGGAGAACACTCACTCATCTACAGCTCAAGTATCTGTAAACACTCCACGGCACCCGGCCCCTCACCCCAGCCGTTGCCTTGTGCTTGTTTTCCAGCAAGTGTATCAGAGTGGAGGAAGATGAGACACGGAACCAAACTCCTAGACAGGCCGCGGAACGCTTTAACAGCTGGAGGCAACAGGCTTTTCCACTGACAAATAATTAAACACATACACACACCCTTCACTCGGTTCTGCATAATCAGCCAAATAAACTACCTTCTAATAGCTAGAAATGAATTAAAATCTGGCAGTGGAAAAAAAAAAAAAAAAGGAGGATTCCGCAGGCCTAGCATGAGGCCGGCCACGCCGAGTGTGGCCGTGGTGGTGCTCAGCAGTAGATGGCCACCCGGCAGCTTCTCCTTAGCTCGCAGCGCCCTAGCAGCTCACCTAGCCAAAAGGAGCTCCTGAGGGACAGCGGCCCCCTAAGAAATGCTAAACACCCAGAAGTAAGCAGCCACAACCTCGGAGCAGACAGAGGGGCCACTGGAAGGTGCTTTGCTTTCTTCCAAGTGCCCGGCTCCCAGCAACCTGGAGGAGGCATTCTGAACTAGGAAATGATGAATGACGGGAGCGAGTCCTCACAAACGCCAACTACTGTGTAGAGAAAAATTACGTTCCACAGATCTGGCTCTAGACCCCTGGGCTCCCGGCCAGCTGATTTCCAAGTGCCAGGCCTGAGAGCAGACCCCACGAGGGGGGACAGCAGCCCCTCCTCACACAGGAAGACAAGCGGAGGGGATGGGAAACTCATGAATAGAAGCTGGGTGCCCCTGGGGAGGGGGCGTGGCCTCCCTGAGCCCCACCCCCTCAGCCTTTCCACTAGCAGTGATGCCCACTGGTAGCTGAGTGCGCATTTAGAGCAGCGCACACAGCTTAGTCCCATGACACGGGCCCACCCAACCAATGGAAGCTCCTCACCGCTCACAGGGGTGCGGGCGGGGTGCCCCTGCCAGCCTCTCCCCTGCTCAGCCCTTGCCTACCGGGCGGATGACAGGTGTTTATTATGCTGAACTGAATTAGAGGGACAAGACATTTGCTAATTTCCTCACTGCTTCCATCTGGGAATTCAAATGTGTCTCGCATTCCCTTAGCCTCACAATAAATCTGTTCGGGAGAAAAAAAATATATATGTAGGCCTTTTTACAGACAGTCAGACAGCACTGCGATACACAGAAATTAAAAATAGTGCCTACCATCACCCATAAATGGTGCGCTTAGAAACAGCTCCTCCAGCCCTACCAGGCCTCCTGGCTTGACAGACACGGGCCAGGCCGGCGTCCTCTGCGCAGGGGGACCTGGGAGAAGCCTCCTACCCCGCCTGGCTACTGGGTAGAGGGGGACAGAAACCAACTAACCACCGCCGCAGAGACACCAGCTTGGCACCTAGGGTCTACTTCACTCTTACAATCCTGGGGGGGGGGGGAGGCAGACCCACATCACAGTATACCAAATCCACCCTCCTCATCCGAGTGACAGGCCACACCCCTCCCTCCGCAGGGGTGCTGTCTCCCATGTGGTCACTCTGCCCCCCCACAGCCGACACCTGTGGGCTGTGTGCTGCTGGGCTCAGGGCACGGGCAGGAGCCCGTGGCTTTGCATTTACCTCGATGCTGCTGATCAGCTCTAAGTAGCGCAGGTCTTGGACTCTGGTGAAGGCCTGCGGGAAAGAAAGAATGGAATCAGCCGCCTTCTCTGTTTCAACAGTGGGCGACTGGCTGGGGCGGGACGCCAAGCTCCAGACAGGGAGCCAGCAAGGAGGGGAAGCAAGCATTGATTAATCATCTGTGTTTGGGAGGTTTGCCACCCAGCAGGCTCACTTTATCCTGAAGATTAGTCCATGCAAAGAACGGCAAGGAAGTTCTGGCTGCAGCCACCCTTTGGGATTGGGTGAAGTAAAACCCTGACACGGCGGCGGGCAGGGAAGGCTGGGAGGCCGGGGTCTGAGCCAGGGGCCGTGGCGGGAGTGGGTGAGACGCGCGGGTAGGGGCTGCACGTATATGGCTGGCGACTTGAAGAGGAAGCAAAGGACAACTCTCCTCCCGCGAGGGTGCCATGAACACAGGGCACAGAGCACACACAGCTCACAGGATGGATGGCAGGCGCGGGGCGGGGGAGGGAGCAAAAGAGGAAGAAAGCAAGAAGGCTGTTGAGGAGGGGGGATGGTAGGGAATGAATCACTCCAAGTCTGGAAGGCAAACTGTTACGCAAACCCAGCGGTGCAGCCGCGCTGTGCTTTAACCCCTGGCCTGCTAGCAGTTTCTATTTGCAGACTGACCGAAGCTGCTCTTGCCGCTTCAGGTCCCCCATGTGGCTTGCGGTCCCCCAGCTGGCCTTTCACACTGTCCCTATGAAAGTCTGCAATGCCTAGAGGCGGCAGCAGGCCCAGGAGCCCTGGGGATTCACATCCGGGCCCCTGAAGGCCTAACTTAGCTGCATGACACCCCCTACCAGCAGTGTGACTTCATCCTGGCCTTGCCCCATGGGGCCAGCCTCTGGGGGGGGGGGTTGGGGGAGGTGGGAGGAGGAGGCTCCGTGATGAATTCTGTGTGGCCTCTGTATCCCCCCGTCCAGGCTCAGGGCCCACAATGGAAAAGGGGAGCTTGGCAGATTAAACAGGTCACTAAGTCTCCCGAGCTTACAGCTATAGGAGCTTACAGCTATAGGAACGGAGCAGATTCCCTTGAGAAAATATATGCACTGGGGAGCCGGCAGGATTAAGTAAAGCATGCACAGCAGGGAGCCGGCAAGTGGGTTTCTTTTTCTTTCTTTTCTTCTTTTGCTGAAGACAGCTCTCATCATGTTCCCTGGGCTGGTTTCAAATTGGGCCAAGCAACGACCCTGCTGCTGGAACAACAGGCGTGTGCCACAGGGCCCAGTGAGTGGCAGACCCCGCAGCAGCAAGACTCCACTGTGGTCTTAAACCTGACCTCCTGGAGAGTGCTGCCATGACAGTAGCTGGCACTCAGGGTCCTGGCTCACTCTGAGGCTTTCTGGCCAGGAGCCCTGAACCTACTTCCTGCTTCTGGGCTCCGGCGGCCTCCTTGTGAACCCGGGAAGCGAGTGATGCCCCTTCCCAGGTCTTTCGATTCTGCTGTGCTGGGTTCTGGGACTGGAGAGATCCCCGTGAGAACTTTCCTTCTGTGCTCCTTTGGCCTGGCCACATCCGCGCGGCCAGGTGCCGGGCCAGCGGTCAGAGTCTCAGAGTCACAAGGTCTGTGGGTGAGGAGTGGGCGGCAGGGCAGCGGCCCAGGCCAGGCTGAGCAGCCCTCCTCCGCCATCTAGTGGCCATGCCCATCCCAGCCTGTGTGCAGAGGGACTGGTGCGGTGCAGAAAGAGGCTGGGAATTCAGAACTGAAATAGTCCCCAATCCTCAAATCCTTAGAATACACAAATAATTTCCATTTGTCAATTAAAACGTCGGCACTTTTCAAAATAATCGTGTGCTCTAACACAAGCTTTTCTATGCCTAGGGAGTGTTTCATGATACAGGATGGGGTGTGAATGAACGTAGGGTCATATTCTACTTATGTTTCCGTCCATTCAAACATCTCACCAGTGTCGGCCAGGCACTGTGCCAGGCAGTGTGGAGTGGTACCGACAGGGCTGGATTCCTAGGCCTCCTAAGGAGCTCACCATCATTCCACTTCATCCCCAGCTACAACAAACTACACACAGCCCACGAAGCCTGCTCTTCTTCTTTCCCCCTGGCATTTCCGGGCAGGGCAGATGCAGCTCCTCCAGGGAGAGGAGGCCTCCACTCTCCTCTGAATTCTTAAAGCTCTCTGCTATCACTCACACTTAGTCCCCTTTAGCAGCCCTGAAAACGCCACGTAGATAATTGTTGTACGTAATGACCATTTCCCTTTCTTGTGTTGGGGACAGAACCTGGAATCCAGGGCCTTGCACCTGTTAGGCAAGCTCTAGCACTGAACCACACTCCCTGTGCTTGTCAGAACGTGGCAAGCATTTGCACAGCCTTTCCCAGTTCCAGCTTCCTAGTGGTTAGGTCTCAGTAATTCTCAGGGCCTTTCACCACCGCTGTTTGAGAAGCTGCTTGCCTGGGCCTGGAGGGCGGAGCTGGCCCCAGCCTGATGCTGAGCCTTGCTCTTGTGCATTCTACGTTCTGCATTGCGTGTAAGTCTTGACCAGCCCCAGGTGGGACCACATACCTCTCTGGAGCTCTTTCTATACCAGTCCAGTAGCATGGGCAAAACAAGAGAGGAGGGGGAAGAGTGGAAAGCCATTCCTTCCTCTACCTCAGGTCCTAGATGAAAAGCCAGCTCAGAAATACACCTGGGCTTTTTCTAACATCCAGAGATGGATGGAATGTTTTTGGCCATTTGTAACTTTAACTGAACTACACCAGGAAATGATATAATGAACCAAGCGGTGAGCAGTGCGGGGAGAGCCCACACTGTTGTCGGAACCTCCACCACCACACTCACTGAGTGCTGTGAACAAGTGTGTAACGAATGGCCCGGTGTGTGCAGCGATCATAAAAGCTGCCCTCTATTGAATGCCTACCTCGCAGCAGGCTTTTATCTATATATTACATAAATAATAGCTAATAAAACTGACAGCCAGAGTCTACCAGATGCTTCTTCTGTGCCTGGCTTGACCAGCACTGTCAGTTTACATCATTACGACTTTGGGAGGATGGGGCCTGGCACCTCCAGACTCCTCCACGGAGGCCTTCTTAGAAAGCATGCGATCTGCCTCATCTCACAGTGAGGAGGGAGCTAAGCTGCGGTCAGAACCCAAGTGAGCCTAACGCTGCAGCCAGCCACCCGGCCATGTCGCCTGGACCCCTCCAAGGACCGAATTCCAGGTCAGTTAGCTGGATGCCTACCTTCTTTGCGGTTTCAAACTCTAGTCCTTCTAGAGCCTCCATGGCCAGCTCACGCCAGTCAGTGTCTGTCACACCCAAGCAGGCAATCTGGTAGGCTTCTTTGAACATTTTCTTTTCCAGGTACTGGTACATCGGAGCAGACTGCAGGATTTCATCAGAGGGAGAAGATGCTTTTCAGAGCCGTGGGAAACTGAGTCTACCTCCAGATGTGTGCAGGGATTGCCTGACAATGTCCTGCCTGGCCCTGCCACGGAGGTGCGCACCCCAGCCCACATGCACCACAGACTTCCTGTCCATCCTTCCCTCCTTCCCTCCCGCTGCCCCGTCCCAGGCTGCCCCGCCACAGGTGACCCCCTCCCTACCCTACAGAAAAATACCTTTCATGGCCCTGTTAAAACTGTCACTCGTCTGGAAACTTATATGGCCCCTCATTCTCCCACCCCAAAGGTTGGAATCTGAGCTTCTTCTCTTCTGTCTGGATTGGAGATACCCTTCTGCCTCCCCCACCCCCCACCCCCGCACTGTCAAGGCCCTGCACTGTGGGCTGTAGTGGGTGGTACTCACTTTCCCCAACAGGCCTTCAGTCCCTGTACTACATGAATGACTGACACTCTTGGGATGGAGTCTTCCCAGACAGCCACAGTCAGAGAATGGCAATCGATTTCTCCAGCTCACTCTGGAAGGCTCTGGAGAAAAGTCCCCTTGGTCTCTGGTGTCGTGGGCCCAACTCCCTCCAAGAAGGGCTGTCTTGTTAAATACGTGTGATTAGCTCCTAGTGACTTTTTTACTGTTTCAAATTGCCTTTGCATTTCTTTGAATAACCACGTGCAAGCCTGTTCCTACACCCTGAATCCAGACAGGGCACTGGGCTCAGGGAGGCCACCTGAGTTGCTGAGAACATCGAGCTGGCAGACGGGCAACCTGAGGCTGGAGTGAGAGGTGAGCTGATTCCAGGACCTGTGTGTGCGCATGCTCTCCCCATGTGTGTACACATGTGCGTGCAACACAGCAAGCCCGGGCTGGGCCCAGGAGTCTTTCATGAAAGGCCCTGTCCTGTTGGCTAATGTGCTTCAGGGACCTGTGTCTCCCCGCTGGACTCTCCGGCGGTGGACATCAATCAGTCGTTACCTCTGCGCTAATGGTTCCCAAATGTGGAGTTCAAGGGCTGTTTTCTCTATTTGGGGCCTTTGTCTTTGAAATTTCCGGTCCTACTTTTTTTAGCTTTAGAGCTGAAGGGAACTTTTTTTTGTCTTAAGCGGTCCATCCCGTGACGGCGGTGCGGGCAGCTCCGTGGCTGGCTTGTCTTTCCCACCGTGCCGCGCACCCTTTTCCGGGACGCAGCAGTGCATGGCAGCTGGGAGCAGCCAAGCTAGAGTGCCATCCTAGCCAGCTCCTTCTGGGTAAAGCCATTTCCTCCGTTTGGATGCCCTGCCCGCTCAGGCTACCAAGGGCAAAGGAGAAGCACTCTGAAAGTGACCAGGGCTAGGTCCAAAACAAGCACGATCCTTTCCTGTCTGTTCTCCATGCTGGCCTGCCCGCTCCGTAACTCTGGATCGCCCCCATCCGCCTGCTGCTGTGGCCTGTGCAGACCGGCCCCCTGGCCCCCGCCAGCCCCCAAGTCTTGGCCTCCCCCGCGCCCCCAGCTTTCTCTTCTAAACTCCGTTAGCAAGTACCCTTTGGTCCAATTTAGTCTCGCTATTTTATGGCCATCTGTAATAAGGAGAAATAATCATAGGAATCAGGACAGACAAAACCTGAAGATGGGTATAATTAGCTCCACTGCAAGCTGGACACATGATGCGGCCGGTGCGCGTAGCTGTTCTGGAGGCTGGCAATTTTGAGACCAGCGTGGGCAACATGGCAAGACTGTCTTAATAAACAAATATATACATATATATTATATATATATGTATATATAAAGCCCCATTTCACAGGGGAAAAAATGACGGGAGTGCTCGGGACACAGCTGGTTTAGGTGGCAGACTGTCCTGGGGTGGTGCCAGGCACGGGGCCAGGCACCCTGCAGCACCAGAACGGCCGACAGCTGCCACAGGACCTGCTTAGGGCCCCTCTGTGCGCCCCTTCCTCCACGTGTGAAGTCACCCCGCCCACAGAAGCTGGCGGCCTCGCTGCCCTACTTGGCAGCTCAGACCAACCAGTGCTTGCACAAGATGATGTCCATTTCAAAAGGAAACCAAAAATCCCAAGAGCCAGACTGGGTTCTTTCCTGGCTCTGGAGGCCCAAGCCACAGGATGGCTGGGGGCTGAGGCAACAGATAAACAGCCTTTGTCCTGAGATCGCCCTTCCTCACCCTTGGCCGCGGGGCCTGCTGCAGCAGCCGGAGGCTCTGGGCGGCCACGCCAAGCTCTGGCTGCTGGCAGAGGAAGCCCGGGGTCCCGTGGCTCCTCTAGGCCGGCTGAAGCCAGGGAGCAGAAAACTGCATTTGTGTTTGAGGTCAGGATGGCAGATTTGGGGAAAAGCCTGTCAATAAGCACAGCTCAGTCGGAGCGAGGCCTGGGCGGGATGCGGCTGGGAAAGGAGATTGGCCAGGAGACATCACAGGGTGCACTTGCCACCTGCCTCCGCTCCCCCAGGGGTCTCTCTCTCTCTCTCTCTGTCAGTCCTGGGGCTTGAACATAAGGCCTGGGCACTGTCCCTGAGCTTCTTTGGCTCAAGGCTAGCACTCTAGACTTGTGCCACTGTACCACTTCTGGCTTTTTCTGTGTATGTGGTACTGGGGAATCGAACCCAGGGCTTCACTCATGCTAGGAAAGCACTCCAGCCTGGGCAGGACAGTCCATGAGACTTTTTTTTTTCTTTTGTCATTTGTGGGTCTTGAACTCTGAGCCTGGGCGCTGTCCCTCAGCTCTTCAGCTCAAGGCAAGCGCTCCACCACTTGAGCCACAGTATCACTTCTGGTTTTCTGGTGGTTAATTAGAGATAAAAGTCTCACAGGCTTTTCTTGCTTCAGCTGGCTTGGAACGGAGATCCTCAGATCTCAACCTCCTGAGTAGCGAGGATTACTGGCGTGAGCCACCAGTGCCCAGCAGTCCATGAGACTCTATCTCCAATAAACTACTTAGAGAAAACCAGAAGTGGTACTGTGGCTGAAGTAGTAGAAAGCGCTCTACCACTAAGCCACATTTCCAACCTCCTGGTATCTCTTTTGCTTTCTCTTTCCCTCCTCTGTCTCCTCAAATTGGAACCCATGGCCATTGCTTCCATATCTGCTCTCGGACAGGCCCCGTAGAGGATAGGGCCCTAGCAATCCTGTAGAAAGCCAGTCAGGCCTCATGGCTCTTTGGGGGCTGGCCAGCTACGTGTACAGCATGTGACTGACTGGCAGCCAAGCGGAGGCAATCGGGATGTGTCACATCTCGAGCTGGACACAGCCTTTGTCCCAGCTACTTCACTTCTAGGATTTATGCCACAGAGCTCAGCGGAGACAGACGCAGAGCTGGCAGATGCTGGCTATGTATGAGAGCAGCTTAACTGGGCAGTAAGTGATGGTCAAGTAGGCCAAGGAACACCCTGTGACAGGACCCACAGCCGTCGATGCCCACAGAGCTGGGGTGGGAAGCAGGGGGAGGTCTCACAGAGCTGGGGTGGGAAGCAGGGGGAGGTCTCACAGAGCTGGGGTGGGAAGCAGGGGGAGGTCACACAGAGCTGGGGTGGGAAGCAGGGGGAGGTCTCACAGAGCTGGGGTGGGAAGCAGGGGGAGGTCTCACAGAGCTGGGGTGGGAAGCAGGGGGAGGTCTCACAGAGCTGGGGTGGGAAGCAGGGGGAGGTCACACAGAGCTGGGGTGGGAAGCAGGGGGAGGTCTCACAGAGCTGGGGTGGGAAGCAGGAGGAGGTCTCACAGAGCTGGGGTGGGAAGCAGGGGGAGGTCTCACAGAGCTGGGGTGGGAAGCAGGGGGAGGTCTCACAGAGCTGGGGTGGGAAGCAGGGGGAGGTCACACAGAGCTGGGGTGGGAAGCAGGGGGAGGTCACACAGAGCTGGGGTGGGAAGCAGGGGGAGGTCACACAGAGCTGGGGTGGGAAGCAGGGGGAGGTCTCACAGAGCTGGGGTGGGAAGCAGGAGGAGGGTCACACCAACAACTGCATCATCACAAGCTCTCCCTACCCCAACCCCACTCCTGGCAGAAACTGGGCAAAGTGCAAGGAAATCTCTGACATTTCTTACACATATACAAAGGTCTATAGTCAACTTCTGCTGACAAATGCTGGCAGTCCATTCATTGGCACAAGACCACGTATCTAGTAGATGGTTAGATGGAAAAGTCCAATACTGATTTACAGCCAATAATTTACAAAAAGGGATGGGTGTGTAATATCTCCATGTTGGGTTAAACTTGTGGCATTAAGGAAGGTGGATGAAAAGTCTCCATCTCTTGCTTAGGGTCCACCCAGGAAACTGGGTGGATAAAATCTGAGATTTTATCTTTGGGTAGAAATGCTTTTACAGATAAAAGTAAAAAAAAAAAGTCGTATTCTACTTCAGATTAGAAATGCCTAAAGTCACCAGGTACCAATGACTCACACCTGTAGTCCTAGCTACTCAGGAGGCTGACATCTGAGGATCATGGTTCAAAGCCTCCACAGGAAGAAAAGTTGGTAAGACTCTTATCTCCAACAAACTACTCAGAAAAAGCCAGAAGTGGCGCTGTGGCTCAAGTGGTAGAGTGCTAGCCTTGAGTACAAAGAGGCTTGACAACAGTATCCAGGCCCCGAGTTCAAGCCCCAGGACTGGCAAAAAAAAAAAAGAAAAGAAGAAAGGAGGGCTGGGAAGGTGGCTCAATGGTAGAGTGCTTGCCTTGCATGCATGAGGCCCTGGGTTCAATTCCTCAGCAACACATAAGCAGAAAAAGCCAAAGTGTTGCTATGGCTCAAATGGTAGAGCATTAGAGGCTTGAGCTGAAGAGCTGAGGGACAGTGTCCAGGCCCAGAGTTCAGGCCCCACGACCAGCAAAAAAAAAAAAAAAAGGAATTTAAAAAAAAAAAGGAAAAGAAGAAAGGAAGAGAAAGAGAAGGAGGGAGGGAGGGAGGGAGGGAGGAAAGAAAAGAAAGGAAAGGAAGAAGGAATGCCTAAAGTCGTAATTATAGATCATGCCTGTTACTTGTATCTGCAGACAAGCCTGAGTGGATACATTCCCAAACACTTAAGAATGATTCTCAGGTGTGGTGACCGCACACCTGCCATCCTAGCTCTTTACAGGCTAAGCCAAGAGGATCATGAGTTTAAAGCTAGCCTGTCTCAAAAAATAATTAATTAAAAAGATAAATAATTACATTAAAAATGATTCTTTGAGCCAGGAGCCAGTGGCTCACGCCTGTAATTCTAGCTACTTTGGAGGCTGAAATTTGAGGATCCCAGTTTGAAGCCAGAGGAGATCTTGTCTCCAATTAACTAGCAAACAGCCAAGCATGTGGGTGTAGCTCAAATGGTAGAGTGCCCGTCATGAGAGGAAAAAGCCAAGCAGAACCAGAAGCCAAGCAGCGCGTGCACGCGCACGCGCATATGTGCACGCACAGACACAGACACACACACACACACACACACACACACACACACACACACACAAAGGTTCTATAAGGATGAGATTCTGGGGTTCAAGCTTCTTTGTCCTCTGTGTTTGTCTGTTTTATGGTAGTTCTATGGCAAGCACCATTCACTGGAGACAGCTGGACTAGGCTAGCCACCAGGTAGGCTGTCACTCTGGGCTCTCCTGACTGTCTGTCTGTCTGTCTCTGGTCTATTACATGGTTCCATACTCCAGCCCAGGGAACTTGCTCAGGGTCCCATGCTCCCTTTTTGGCTCACAGACTTCAGCCTGGGCCCAAGCCCTTCTCTCTCTCTCTCTCTCTCTCTCTCTCTCTCTCTCTCTCTCTCTCTCTCTCTCTCTCACACACACACACACACACACACACACACACACACACAAACACACGCATGCATGTGCACCCCTTGCACCCATAAACCCGTGTGTTCAGGCATCCTCCAACTGGATGACTGCTGCCCGCTGAGCAGCGCCCCCTGCACCCGCTCCCAACCAGGAAGAGAATCAGAAGGAAACAGTGAACGCGAGCTGCTTGCTGGAGATGTGCAGGCTGCGTGGGGTGGTGGCAGCGTGACATCTCAGCTGCCGCTCTTCCCCCAGCACCAGGCCGGGGCCCAGCCTCCCTGTCCCGCTGCCCACCGCCAGAGGACGGCCAGGTGCCGGTTACCTGTGGCACTTCCACGGCAGTCATGGCGAAGACGTGCAGGCAGAAGATCTTGGAGCCGTTGTAGCCGACCACGAAGCCCTGCAGCTTCTGCTGGTGCACAGGGAAGTTGCTGGCCTTGATGTTGAGGTAGCCGCCTCCCGAGAAGCACAGCATGTCCTCACACTGGGTGTTCCAGGCCACGCTGTTGGCATTGGGTTCCTGAGGATGAGGATGGGGGGGGAAACGGGGACAGGGGGGAGGGGAGAGAGGGGGTGAGGACCACCCTGGGCACGGGCACCTCTCCCATACCCCAGTCAGGTCCCCTCCTGAAGACCAGAGATGCTGAAGGTGGGGTGCAGGAGGCAGAGGAGGCAGGGACAAGGAAGAACGGGGCGAGGCCCACTGCTCTAGACACTGGCCATGATGACGTTTCCAAATAAGCATGACTTCAAAAGTTCTTCTTCTTCCTCCATTGTGAGTGGAAAATCAGCAAAGTAGGATTCAGTGAAGGAATAAATAAAGCTCGGAGGTGACTCAGTGGCACAACACTTGCTTACCATGCCCAAGGCACTGGGTTCTGGCCCCAGCACCACAAGACTAAGCAAACAAACCAACAAACACCCCCACACATGAAGACAGTTGAAAGGGCTATACCCCAAAGTGACTATTTCTTTTTTTTTTGGTGGGGGAGTCCAGTCGTGGGCCTGAACTCTGGGCCTGGGCACCATCCCTCAACCCTTCAGCTCAAGGCTAGCACTCTACCACTTGAGCCACAGTGCCCTTCCGGCTTTTTTCCTTTTTGCTTCTGTGGTGCTGGGGAACCGAACCCAGGGCCTCAGGCATGCAAGGCAAGCGCTCTACCACTGAGCCACCTTCCCAGCCCCAAAGTGACTATTTCTGCGTGGATGGAATTACGGATGCTTTTATTTTTTTGTTTTTTGTTTGCCTAAATTTGTCACGAAGATCTGTTGGATTCTTTTTATAATAAGAACAAGATCAGGGAGTGCTTTTCAAAATTAGAAGATAATATGCCATGTGTACATTTACAATTCACATGCTAAATATCCAGCACCCTGGGTGGTGGCCCCCCGAGGCCAGCAGAGTCTCTGGATGCCCCGAGTCTCCTGCCCCGAGTCTCCTGCTGACTGCTAGGATGAAAAGGCGGCGAGGGTGGCTGGGCACGCTCCTGTCCCCGGACAAGGCCTGAGACTCACCTGCTCTCGTCTCTGCAGAGGCTGTGGGCACAGGGGAGCCACACGCCCTGCCACCCTCACAGAGTCCTAGGCCCAGAGCACCCCTAGAGCCCACTAGCTAGGGGTGCAGGCATCCCTGGGGCATCCCCAGGGCCAGCAAGAAGGCCCCTTTCATGCCCAGTACTGCGCCACCATTGAGGTATCTCACTTAATCCTGTAGCAATTCTGTGAGGGGACAATGACTAGTTTCATTTCAGGGAAAAGGAGCCATTGAGGCCTAGAATGGTTTATTAATGTGCTGAAGATCACACAGCAAATGGTGCAGGCAGGACGCAAGCCCAGGCCAGTTGAAAGGCAACCGACATGCCTTCTTTCCCTAAGCCACTCAGCTTCCTCTGTGATGGAGGCCAGAATGAGCTGAGAGTCACTTCTGGGGTAGCAGCCGCCGCCAGGTCACCTTGCCCCACTGCGGTGCCTCTACTCCAGGCCCCCTCCACCCTGAGAGGGGACCTGAATCTGCCTGACCTTGGAAACCTGCTGTGGAAGCCAGTACACACAGGGTCCAGCGGTGGAGAGCTTGCGTTAGGCAAGGCAGGCCTGACTCACAAAGCCCAAAGACTCCAAGGGTGGCCCTAACCCAGCAGACCCTGGGACCGGCCTCTGGACCTTCCTCCCCATGACACATGGCTAGCCACAGGTCCCAAAGACCGCACCAGCTCCCGCCGAGCCACCTCTATGGCTTCCTTGTGATACGAGTACGGGGGATTCCGTGCTTTCACATGATAAAGCTGACCGGGCCTCCTTGCTGGGCCTCCGGTCACACACACAATGGGCAGGCCTATAGAAGGGACCCTATGGCCCACTGGCCTGCCCGCTTGATTTCCACTTCATTTACTGCTCATTGTTGATGCAAGAAAGGGGCTACTTGCCCACTTACCCACAAAACAAAACAAAACAAACAAAAGAACACACAATGAGGCGGGGCTAGCCCAGCTGCTGCCAAGTCAGGGGGAGGCTACAGGCCAGGCCCAGCACTGGATCTGCAACTGTGGGAGCTGCAGCGCCCCCTGTAGGAACGGGGTCCCCGCTTCTAGGTGTCGGGAACTTCACCTGAAAAAGCAGCTCCTTGCTGTGGATGTCATACACCAGGCACGTGTCATTTTCGTCCACCACGGCCAGCTTTTTCCGGGTGGCACTCATGTCCAAGCAGCGCACGGCCGTGGCCTGCTTTAGCAGGACGACAGCAAAGAGATTGTCCACAAAGATCTTCAGGATCTGGTGAAATTTCAGAGGAAAAAAAAAAAAAGTGTGAGTCACCATGGCAACCAGACCCTGGCTCAGCGCCAGGCTGCTGGAGTCCCATGTGTTCTACCAGAACAACTCCCACTGACTCCCAGAAAGGACTCATTAGAAGGAAAAGAAAAAAGAGGTGGCGGAGGAGGGGCAGGCTTATCCTCAGGAGACCAGAAGTGTGGTTCATCAGAGGTCGCCCAAGGAACAGGCCCAAAATATGCCAAACTTCACTCCAGTGTCTACCCGGACTGGAGACTTGCTAATGATTTGACTCAAACTGCACGCTGCAGGGGACCACGGAGCAAAGCTCTGAGTCAAGGACTAACACAGAATGATGCCATAAGAAGCCCTGGTAGGGCATCTGGTATAAAACAATGATGATGCTGATGATGATGGTTACTGTCTATTGACATCCTTGCTCTTGAAAGTACTGTGAAAAGTATAGCATCCTCATTTGTAAAACCTGAGCCTCAGAGAGGCAAAATGACCTGCCCAGGGTCACACAGCTAGTCAGCAGCTAAGATACATGATCCTGTTCAACCTGACCCCTGAAGCCCCTGCTCACAGCTTTGCCTGAGACGCGAGAGCTGATGGAGGAAGAAGCAGGCCCTTCTTCACTCTGGTGGGAGTCTGACAGCTCCCACTGATCTCACGTTCTATAATGTCCGTCCCCAGCAAAGACCTGACAAGCCTCAGTCACAAGCCATCTGCTACACAGCTTGGCTCTTGGGCTAATGCAGTTATATTTTCACTTTCAGATTTCTATGAAGCCCACATAGAACTTTTTTTATTTTCAGCAAAGAACACACACACACACACACACACACACACACACACTGATTTAACTTCTTACAACCTAAATTTCCTGCATCTATAGGCCCAAAAGACCCTTTTACTTTTAGCATCAAGTAACATCCTGAGGACATAGTGCTGTCTAGGGCCAAGGCTGGAGCGCAAGGTAATCCAGCCCCAGCCCTAATAGCGATCTGACCTCAGTACCTGCTCTGTCTCCCTCTCCAGCAATCCACTAAAGCTGCAGCTTGCACAAATCCCCCCCCCCCCCAGGTGACCTTAAGCCACTAATCCATTCTACGTGCAGCCCAGGGGCCACGGATGGCAGAGCTCGGCCAGAATGGGAGCATGCAGCTGTTCTCAGAAAAGGCAACTCGGAGCAGCCTGGGGTGCAGCAAGCTTTTCTTTGGGTCATCACGAGGCAGGTCACCTGAGTCGGCAGGCACACGGGGGCCACCAGGGAGCACTCACCTGTCCATTCTTCAGGCCCACTAGCAGCCCTTCCCTTCTGGGAGGGCCTCCGATCACCTTGATGTACCGGATTAGAGACTCCATCTGCCACTCCCGCTCCTTCACTCCATTGAAGGTCAGAGACTGCAGCCGCCTCTCCTAGGAAGCAAACCGGGCTCAGCATGGACCTTCCATAGAATGGGGCTCCCAGTCCCCCGCCACACACCCGCCCCCCCCCCTCCGTCTGGAGGCTCAGCCAGCCCTGGTTTATCTCCACCACCACCATCTTTAACCCTCACACAAGGCTTTCCGTCTTCAATGCAGACTCCAGAGCAGCAACAAGTGTACACCAGTGACCATGTCAGCCACACCCGTGACACGAGAGTGACCACACCAGAGCGTGCCAGTGACACCTGCCCTCTAACTTGTGCTGAAATCTCTACACCTCCACATTCACATTTCACACCCAAAGAATTCATTCTACTTCATCTCTTCCAATAAGTCTCAGTGAACCCAAATCTACCTCTTGAAGGCTTTTCTCAAAGTCTTTCCAAATGCCTGCCATTGTTTCTTAGAAATCTATGTTGAGAATTTTTTTTCCTTGATATAAATTTTTGATACATATGTTTATCAAAGCAAATTTATCTTCATTTGTGGGACTTTAAATTTAAGTCATTAACATACAACTAGTCCCAGTATGGCAACTTCAATGCACCGAGTCTGATTCGTGCAATGCCAGTCTGTAGGTCAATGGGGCCAAGTTGGATGAGAAGGGATGGGTTTCCTCTTGACTTTTAAGACCATGAGGTGGGGACCGTTCCGGGGGGGGGGGGGCAGGAAGCAGATCAGCCCAGCCCCCCTCAGGCTGCCACCCACCTGGCAGAGGATGATGTGGTCGGCACAAACCACCAGGAGGTTGCACTCAAACTTCCTGACCATCTTCTCCTTCACCCGGTAATGCATGTCTGACGAGTCATCTGAGTACAACTCATAGATGAGGATTTTCTCTGGCAGTTGGATAGCTAATCGATTTTTGTAGATGGCAATTTTCTTGACAAGCTCTTTGCATTTAATCCGAACTGTCAGAGGGGAAAAGAAAAAAAAAAAGCAGGCTCTAGCAAAAGGTTGTTAAGTAAGGTGGAAGGCAGAGAAATTAAAAGCCCTCATTTACTTAATGTTCCTGGCAATTAAAGTGAGATGCTCTTATTAAAAAAGATCTTTACAGAGTGTCTCATATAGACAATCAACTCCACTGGGCACTGGGGTCCAGAGTTGTATACAACGTAACAGTTTTTTAGCAGACCTGGGGATTGAACTCAGGGCCTTGCACTTGCTGGCCCAGTACATCTCTATGGTCCAAATCCTACCCTTGAGGGTGGAAAGTGCAATGCTGAGGGCTAAGTCTCTACTCCTCTGTCCAGCCTGATGGCTCACCTAAGGGATGGCCACACACCCCTGCTTGACAACTGGGGCTATATGTGGTTTCTGCCCTGAAAAAATGGGAGGCTCATGTGAGCTCCTATTATCCTAGCTATTCAGGAGGCTGAGATCTGGAGGATCAAAGTTCAAGACCAGAGAAGTCTGTGAGCTTCCATCTCCAAACTAACCCCAAAATAACAGTGGGGCTGGAGGAATAGCTCAGCCAAGCAAGCCAAACAAGCACAAGATGCTGAGTTCAAACTCCTGTACCACCTAGAAAAATAAGCCCACAGAGACACATTTCTTGCCCTCTCACGTGCTGTCACCCAGGCCCGCCCCGACCTTTCTGCTCGGTGATCAGGTGCTGCACAATGACGTCGGTCATGCTGTCCCTGTAGGCGTAACGGTCCTTGTAGAGCCCATGGACTGTGCTGAAGACCAGCTGGTACAAGACAATGGTGCCATCCTGGCAGCCTATGGCCTGCAGGGAAGAGGGCTGTCGGTCACCCCCAGCTTTGAGGAGACATGGTCTGCCCTCCCACCCATCTGCAACAAGTGCCAGAGCCGGGACTGGCTGGCTCCCGCCTCTTCTGGGAAAGTCCCAACAGAGCGAGTCCTCCTCACCACATAGTTGGAGTCAGGCTTCACTTTACACGTCCACACCCAGGAGCTCTGCTCCCCGATCGTCCCAAGCCGTACTCCATCCTTGGTGAAAAGGGACACTTGTTTGTCTGACCCCCCCATCAAAATGTATTCTCCCTTTGTGAAATAGCTGATGCAGCAGGGGTCAAAGTTCAGTGGCCGATCCTTCCCAATCTGAGGAAAGAGAACACACACACCAGAGAAAGATCACTGGCGAAGGATAAGTCATTCCCCATGATGAGATCTCCCTACAGACTCAACAGGAGATGGTGAGAAGGTGGGAAGAGCCAGCTGGGCTCCTCCTGGGATGTACCGCATCGACACCGGCCTCGCTGCCTCTCCTCACCTACTCTTTCCCCTCCCTATGGCCAAACGTGCGACTCCCTCTAGCCATCAGTATCCGGAGTGGGCCTTCGCTCCTGGGTGGACCTGGAGGCCAGGAACGACCTTTCTCCTCCAGGCCTCCTCCTCCACCATCCCTGCCAGCGGCTGCTGCAGCTTCTTTCCTTCTCTCATCTGCTTTTGTTTTTAGGTATTTCACAAAGCTGAGTTTATTCTGTTTAAAACACCCTCCTTTATTCATTATTCAATTTATTAAGGAAATAACTCTAGAAAGGCTTTTCCCTACTTTTTTTTTTTTTGGTCCGGTCGTGGGGCCTGAACTCTGGGCCTGGGCGCTGTCCCTCAGCTCTTCAGCTCAAGGCTAGTGCTCTACCACTTGAGCCACAGTGCCACTTCCGGCTTTTTTCTTTTTGCTTATGTGGTGCTAAGGAATTGAACCCAGGGCCTCAGGCATGCAAGGCAAGCACTCTACCACTGAACCATCTTCCCAGCCCATCCCTACTTTTTTTTAGTACAATTTACAAATATTTTCCTTTTTAACATGAAGGTGGCTCTATTTAATGAATACAATGCTGTGCAGATTAAAAAGTGAGCTCCAGTTTCAGCTTAACTCCCTTCAACTAATTTAAACCACCATTATAAGTTTAATATGTTCGCTTTCCTTTCCTTTTTAGGAATTTCAACTGCCTAGCAACCAAAAGTTCTCCTAGTCCTTAATAAAGCTCAAACCAATAGCTTGGTGTGGTGGTGCATGCTGTCATCCTAGCTTTGTGGGAAGCTGAGATCAGACGATCACAGTTCCCGGTCAGCTGGGACAGAAAAGTCCAGGAGACTCCATCTCAATGGAAGAAGCCAGGCACGGTGGTGCATGCCTGTCATCCTATCTACATTAGGAAACTTAAAACAGGTAGACTGCCATCCAAGCTCATGTCCAGCACGAAGCAAGACCCTATCTCAAAAGTAACCAGTATGATGCTGGGTGCCAGTGGCTCATGCCTGTAATCCTACCTACTCGGGAGGCTCAGGCTGGGAGAACTGGGGTTGGAAGCTAGCTCAAGCAGAAAGGTTCTCAAGATCCCTTTTCAACCAAGAACTGGACATGGTGGCATGTACCATTGTCCTAACTATAGCAGGCTGACTGTGCCCAGACAGGAAGATCCTACTTCAAAATAGCTAGCCCGGGGCTGGGAAGGTGGCTCAGAGATGGAGCGCTTGCCTTGCATGCATGAGGCCCTGGGTTCAATTCCTCAGCACCACATAAGCAGATAAAGCCAGAAGTGGCGCTGTGGCTCAAGTGGTAGAGCGCTCGTCTTGAGCTGAAGAGCCCAGGCCGAGAGTTCAGGACCCACAACCGACAAAAAAAAAAAAAAACTAGCAAAAAAAGTGCTGGAGGCACAACTCAGTGGTAAGAGCACCTGCCTAGCAAGCACAAGACCCTGAGTTCAAACCTCAGTACAACCAAAAAGAAATAACCAGCACAAAAAAGGGCAGAGGTGTGTCTCAACACTAAAGTGCCTGCCTAGCAAGAATGTATAGGGTTCAAATCCTCGTATTGACAAAAAACTAAATAAGGATGCTGGGAAATCAGCCGTGGAAAACTGAGTAGCTCTTCATTATCAACTATACGGTCTTTTTTTCACTCAAATACTAAAGAAGGAATGGTGCAGCTGCCGACGTCATAGGCCTCACACAGCAGGGCTGTGTACATCGACGCTGCACTCTGCTGGGCCAGGGCCAGACCGAGGTGGTGCTCACATGTTAGAGGGATGAATGGCAGCGCAGGGAGGACAGGGGCTGTGACGGCACAGGACAGCACTGCGCGCTGTAAGCAAAAGCTAACACTGGCGCTCCAAGGGGCAAAGGGCACAAGTGTACCTGAGCTTAATTTTTGTGTGTGTGCGTGTTGGTCACGGGGCTTGAACTCAGGAACTGAGTGCCGTCCTGAGTTTTGTTTTTTCTTTTCAAGGCTAGCACTCTTGAGAACAGCTCAAGTGGCATTTGCTGGTTCATTGGAGACAAGAGTCTGACGGACTTTCCTGTGCAGGCTGGCTTCAAACTGCGATCCTCAGATCTCAGCCTTCTGAGGAGCTGGAATTACAGGCGTGAACCACTGGCGCCCAGCTCTTCCTGGTTTTCAACAGCGGTACATACCTGTTTCCCACTCAGCTGGTAGAAGGAAAGTTTCTGTCCCCAGTCAGCCACAGCCAGGATGTCATTGTGTTCCTCTCTAATCAACAGAAGACAAAAGAGGTTACGGGGGCCACGGCCTGCTGAGGAGTGCAACACTAACAGTTTAACAAACAGGAAAAGAAAGCTCTGGCCAGGCTGTCGAGGAGCCAAATGTACAGGCGAGGGCGACCTGTCCATCAGCCGCTGCACCCACTGCCGTCCTGAGCTGCAGGACACACGCTGCTGCCCGGGGAGCCCTCACCTCTGCTTCCCGGGGGTTGAGGAGGGCCGAGGGCAGATGGAGAGTGTGTCTCCCGTGCTGTGAAACGTGGGGGCGTAGGAGGGACTCCGCTCATGATGAGAAGGTGTGAACTATCTGGGTTTTGTTCTTGTTTTTCCTGTTGTTTTTTGATTTGGGGGTTCTTGGGGGGGGGACATTGAGATAGTCTATGTGTCCCAAGGTGGCCCAGAACTCACAACCCTCCTATCTCAGTATTCCAAGTGCTGAGATTAATAGGAGGGGCCACGATGCCCAGCACCAATCTGTTTATTTAATAGAGGAAAAATGGTCATCCATGGAGAGCGAGAATGAGCACTAAGGTCAGGTGTCTTCCAGCTGGGGACTGCTGCACGGGGAAAATGGTCTGACCGCATCCCATTGACAGGGCGACAGGACCAGGACCCAGAGACAGCCTTTGGCAAAGCTGTGGGCCTCAGTTCACCCAAGATTGCCTGGTCCTGAGTGATTCCAGCTTTGCAGGGCCCAGGGCCTGCCAGGCATGACTGGTGCTGTTTGGTTCAGAAACCCGGCTGGGAGTGACGGGAGGAAAGTGTCACAGGCCCCAATTCAGAACTAAGGGGAAAAAGAAGGGTTGAGAGGGAGGTGAGCAGGGGCCAGGAGGTGAACGTAGTAATGAAGTTCAAACACACTGCAAAAGCCCAGCCCTCATCAGGTGTTAGTGGCTCAGGCCTCTGATCCCAGCTACTCAGGAGACAGATGAGGATCATAGTTCAAAGCCAGCCTGGGCAGGAAGGTCTGTGAGACTCTGATCTCCAGTGAACCAGCCAAAAGCCAAAAGTGAAGCTGTGGCTGAAGTGGTAGAATGCAGCCTTCAACAAAAAAGGCTCAGGGATTGAATCCAGGCCCTAAGTTCAAGCCTCAAGACTGGCAGAAAATAAGAGAAAAGAAAAGAACAAAAAGAAAAGAAAAGAAAAAAGAAAAAGCCTAGTGCTCAGTGAACATTCTTGGGGAGGCGCAGCCGGCGCGGGCTGGTGGCGCTCAGCCCCCTCCGTCCCTAGCAATGAGGCTCTTTATCCAAACACACATGTAGAACAATGAAAGGTGAAGCCCACCCTTCCTCCTCCCTTTGCGCCCAGGTCCCTCCCCGTGACACTGGGCTTCTTGGAGGCATCCGAGCCTCAGGCCCCATGGGTGCAGTACGTGGTCAGCTGTCCCACCGGCCCGCCAGGCCATCCTAATGGACCGTGTGCTGAAGACTGGGGCAAGGCAGGGGCTTCCCCTCTGCCATGTGTCCCTGCCTTGGCGAGGAATGCCGAGGGAGGGGGAAGGAACGGGCCAGGGACTTGGGCAGTGTTAAGGACGGACACCCAGGTAGTGATACAAGACAGATGCAAGAAGTTATGTCTTTGGAAGAATTTCTAATGTTACTGGGAGGAGCTTGCTCGCTGTTATGGTTTAGATGACTGTAGATGTGCGCTGAGCTTGAGAACACAGATGCCTATGGGGGCTCTAGGGATGGGGTTTCACAGAGCAGCTGGGCCTTCTTCTCTGTCCTTTGCAACATTTCCAGGTCCTGGGGTGCCCTCGGTATGTATGCATGCTGGGGCCCTGCTCTGCCGGCCCCGGCGGGCTGCACAGGCCGGGGCCCTTCCAAGGAATTCCTTGCTCCTTGGGACACACTCACGAGTTGTCGTCCCTGGGACTGTCGTCTTCTTCCTCCGGCTCTTCCTCCTCTGCCTCACTACCCTGACTACTGTACTCTGCTGACTTCAGAGTGGAAGGGATTTCCTGAAAATAGCTGTTGACAATGACATCCTCAGCATCCTCCGTCTCTCTGCTCATCCAGAAATTCTCCCATCGGCTGCAGATAGTAAGTGGTGGTTCACAATCACATTGCCTACAACCTCTCTAGCACTATCATTTCAAACCCTGTCAAGGAGCCCCTGAACCCTGCCCGGAAGAGGACAGCCACCAGGTACACTGGGCATCCTGCTTCTCATGAATTAAAGATGGTGGCCCGAAGCCACACAGTCATCTGTGGCCACAAAATCAAACAGCAGGAACTCTGGGGTAGGCTAATAGCCTCCGGCAGCATTAGGTACGCATGATCCAACCTGGGCTGACAGAATTAGCCAGGAAGAAGCATAATGACCTGGTGTGGGAAAGGCAGCGGAATTAAATGGCCTCCTAAATCAAGTGGGCGCCCACCTGTAAAATGACACTGGGTTGGTAAACAAGTCCTTTCATTTACCTTCAGAGGACTCTGTGGGGGATAGAAAAGGTTTAATAATATTATGGGATTACACAAAGAGCCTGTAAGGTATTAATTCACCCTCAGAGTCACATGGGCATAGACGGCAAGAGTGTATGAGGTTTGAGCTGCCATGCTGGGCTTTAGAGATCCTTGTAAACTTAATTTTGACTTTTTTGGGCATGGGCAACAATGACGGCTCACTGAGGAGCAATTTATTAACAGGTGAGCACACACTTTGCCCAAATTTGCAGGGAACAGCTGAAAAAAAAATCTCAGCAACAATAAAAAAAAATGGTCCTACATTATACACACATGCGAGTACGCGTGCGCACACACACACACACACACACACACACACACATACACACACGCCACTCATGTATGCATTCACACGCACAACACTCACACATCCTCTTGTCTGGCCTACATAGCTCATCTGCTTAGCTAAATCTCTGGGATCTGTGCCAAAAACTCAAGATAGCTCTTTAAAAAATGATTTCAATGCAACAGATTCCAAAGAGACTGGTCAAGTGGAGGGAGAAGACTTTCAAACTACTGAGCCCCCAGGAAGAGTTTAGGAAGAAAGAACTCAGGCTGCCGAGCGTGCGCCGACCCCGTACCTGGACGGGCTCCAGCAGATGGACCACACGGGGGAGTAGACGCCCCCCGGCCGCTCGATCTTCACTTTCTCCTCACCGTTTTTGTTCCGTATGCTGATGACGCCGTTGAACAGCCCCAGAGCCAGGTACTGGCCATCATTTGTCCAGCTGGACACACGCCCAACAGAGGCGGGGAGGAGGGAGACATGGAAGGAAAAGCCAGTGAGACCAACACTCTGGTTTGGAGTACCACGTGTGCCACAGCGTGGTGAGGGCTGTGGCACCATCGCTCCTGCTGCTCAGACAGCCACGCTGCAAGCCCGCCTCTTTCTAGCATCAGCAGCGAGGTGCAAAGGACAAGGCCAGCCTCATGTTTCCAGACCCTCTGCTCAATACAGCTGCATGGTGAGGAGTCTGTGGCCAGCTACCTGAGGGAAGGCAACTTGGAGTCTGACTCATTGATCAAAGGCCTGGCTCTTTCTTTCCCATCAGACAGACAAAAAGAAAAAAGGAACAGCAGCCCCCTCTGCTGTGTGGAACGAGCACACGGTGCAGACCCCCTCTGCCTCTGCTGTGCGGAATGAGCGCACAGTGATGGGCCTGTTCAGAAGAGGAAGGAGCCAAAGCCTGACCTCGCAGCGGCCCGTAACTTACCTGCAGCAGGTGATCTTGCTGTTGGCTTTGTGCTTGGAGACAGACTTCTGTTCCGGAGACCACAGCCCTTCAATACAAGGTAAAAGATTGACAGTTGGAATACTACTCAACAACGAGAGGAATGGAGCATTGACACATACAACAACCTGGGGGGCCTCCAGAGTTTTATGCTGAGTGAAAAAAAAAGCCCATCTCCGAAGGCCGCATGCTCGCGACTCCATTCATAGAACATTCCAGATGCCACGATGGCAGCAGAGGACAGGTTCCTGGGCACCAGGGCTGGAGTAACGGGGGCTTGGGAGGGGGAGTGTGATGGTGAGAGGCGTCTGTGGGGTGACAGGATAGTTCTGTACGGCAGCAGTGGCAGCCACGTGCGACACAAGCGACAGAACCGCACGCACACACAGGGCCAGCCAGCGTCCTGGTTTAGGTACCGCACGACAGTTATACAGGCAGCGTCTCCTGGAGGAGGTGGGTAAAGGACACACGAGGCTGCCGCTTACTGGGAACCTGTAAGTATTTCCTCAGAGAAAGAAGGAAGACCGATGACGTTCTAGCCAGCTTTAGGATTCACGTCTCAAAGAAATATCCACCTGGACTCCTCCTGAGGAGGGCACAGCCACCAAGAGTCCATCACGCGTTTAAAGTCACGCCGGGCCTCCGCTACAGCACACGCCCAGTCCATGGAGGCTCGCGCCAGCCACTCCCCACTTGTGGCACAGTGGGCCCAGCCACAGGTGCATGACCAGACGCCACAAACAAACTCTCCTCTCTGCCTGGGCTGCGGAGCGCGCTCAAGCAGGGAAGTCTGGCGCACAAACGGAGTTCTACAGCCAGGTGCGAGGTCAGTGTGCTCCCTGGGCTCTCACCTCCTCACACTTCCAACCACACGCACGTCCTCTGAGCTCCGCGACGCCTGCCCTGAGCTCCAGCTGCAAGGCAGCCTCCCTATCTGCGTCCCCAAGCCATGCTTCCCAGAGCGGGGCTGGATGCAATCACCTAGCCTGGGTCTAAGCCTGGTGTCCTTGCTTGTCAGCTGTGAGAGTTTTAGTGATTCTTGAGCCCCCTTGTCAGTAGGGTGGGAATGAGCAGAACACCTCAGGAGCTGGCACAGAGATCAACTAGGAATTCATTTTCAAACCCTTACACAGTGCCTAGCGCACTGCTAGAAGCCCTGGCCCCAATGTTTTCACATATTCTACCTGCCCCCAACACCTCTAGCTGGAGGCGGGAGACATGCATCTCCCCCAAGTAAACTCAAAAACGAGGGCCTCACAGGGAGAAAACCGCTTAACGTCTTAAAAAAGCGACAGGCTCTTCCTAATTTAATGGCACAATGTGTTCTTGCTTAAATTCTTCCTTTTGGAAGCCTATACTCTACAGTGAGGAAGCTGAAATACTCACCCCGCACCCATGCCCAGTCTCTTGGTCCCACTGTCTCAGTGAAGGAGACACAACACACAGAGCTAGAAACCGGAATTGACTTTTTTGTTTTGGTTGGTGCTGCTGGGATTTGAATTTATTGAGTTTGTGAGGCAGGCATTATACCAGATGAGCCACCCTCCCCCCTCCGCCCCACCCTCCGCCTTTTCTGATTTGTTTTACTAACAGGAGCTTGCATTTATACCCAGGTCAGCCTAGACTTCCAGCTTCCTTTTTACACTTTTCTCATAGGTAGTAGGCGCACAGTAGGACACCTGGCTTTTCGACTGGGGGTGGAGGTCCTCACTAATTTGCCCAGACTGAGTAGCTGGGATTATAGGCATGAGCTATTGCATCTGGCCCAGAGTCAACTTTTTGTTGTTGTTATTGTTTAATGCTGCTCCTGGGGCTTAACTCGGGGTGATGAGCTCTAGTTCCATTGTTCCGCTCATGGCTGGCTATCTACCACTTGAACTATGCCTCCAGTCCAGTGTTTTGCTGGTTAATCACAGATAGAATCTTGTAGACTTTTCTGCCTGCACTGGCTTTGAATCTCGATTCTCAGATCTGAGCTTTCTGAGTAGCTAGGGTCACAGGCGTGAGTCACCAGTGTGGGGCAGAATCACCCTTCAATAGAGAGCGTCTACAAGCCTGCCTCCCTCCCTCCGTACACACGTCCCTGTCACCTCCTCTGAGCGGTGCCACAGTAGCCCATGTGATGCCAGGCGTGGCTGAGGCCGGCAGCCCTCGGGGAGCACAGCTACCGCCACCGGGACAGCCATCGCGACACTGCACCCGAAGCAGAGCTGAAACGGTGAATGGCGGTGAATACAACGTGGGCACGCTGACCTGTCCCTTGCTGGGTGGGTAGGGGCGTGCCCGTGGCACACCCCTGCCCTCCTACCGGCTCGCCATTTCCATCTGGCCCTCCTGTCAGCTCGTGTCTTGCCAAGTTCAAGGGCAGCATAATGCAGAGCATGGGCTCTCCGGCAAGTAAGGAGAAACTAAGGCCGCCCCTCAGACATGGGTGAGGGGGAACGAACTCTCAGGACAAGACATTGAGTCTCGAAGGGGTTTCCGCACGTGGGGCCCAGTATTTTGGTTACTGAGGATAGGACGTTTGGGAATGAGAACATACCGAAGTCACTGGAGGAACAAGACGCCAGCTGGTGAGTGACGGGGTTGTAGGAGACACACTGGATAGACTCGTTGTGCCTGCAAGGTAAGCAGCATGGGTCATTAGATGCAGACCACTGACGTCTCCGTCTCTGTGGCTTCTGCTGGAGATCTAACTCACTGCGCAGCCCTCTGCCAGTGAACAACAGAAAGCAGCGCTGTCCCTCTGTGGTCGCCACGCTGCACCGCCGATTTGAGTGCTGATACGCTAAAGAAAGAAAGGCTCCGGCCTGTGCCAGCTGCAGAGTAGGTGCTTGGGTTGTGGCTACTGCTGTTTCATGGCAGCCTAGTAATGCAGGATGGAGGCCAGCGAGCACGTGGAGGCCAAGATCTGGAAAGGCGAATCCTAAGACGGCAATCAAAGCTAAGGGGTCCTACGCCATCATCGCATGCCAGCCTAATTCCTCCTGTACTTTTGTGTAACACTGTACTTCTTCCCTCCCTCCCTCATTTCAAAATGGCTTCTTGAGCTGGGTACCAGTGGCTCATGCCTATAATCTTAGCTACTAGAGGCTGAGATCTGAGCATTGCAGTTTGAAGCTAGCATGACAGGAAAGTCTGTGAAACTCTTATCTCCAACTAACCAGAAAAGCTCAAGTGGAGCTCAAGTGATAGAACGCCAGTCTTGAGCCAAAAAAAAAAGTTCAGGGACAGAACCCAGGCCTTGAGTTTGAGTCCTCAGGCTGGCATAAATAATTGCTTATTGATTTGCACACCCGTGCTCAGAGCAGTATCAGCCCCCACGGCCAAGTGGTGGAATTAACCCACCTGTCCATCAAATGATGACAGTCAAGCAAAATGTGGCATCTGATACAATGGAATCACGAGGAAGCACAATACAGCACAACGTGGATGAACCATGCTGGGTGAAATGACGCAGTCTCAGGAGGATAAACACTGTGTGCTTCCACTTACACGAGGTGGCTAGGATATCAAGTTCATAGGGAAAGAAGGCAGAACGGTGGGTAGCGAAGACTGAGGGAGGGGCAGGAGGGGATTATTAGGTGTAGAGTTAAAGTTCTACAAGAAAAGAGTTCATAGCCAGGCGCCAGTGGCTCACGCCTGTAAGCCTAGCTACTCAGGAAGTTGAGATCTGAGGATCTCGGTTCAAAGCCAGCCCAGGAATCTGTGACTCTTATCTCCAATACACCACCAGAAAACCATAAGTGGCGCTGTGGCTCAAGTGGTAGGGCACCTGCCTTGGGTTGAAGAGCTGAGGGTCAGTGCCCAGGCCCAGAGTTCGAGTCCCACAAAAAACAGTTCTGCTAGGCCAGGTCGCTCAGGGCTGTCATCCTACCTACTTTGTCGTGAAGTTGCGTTGGATCACACTTAGAGGTCAGCCCAGGCAAAAGTTCAAAAGATTCCTTCTCAACCAATAGCTAGGCTCAGTGGCACACACCTACCATCCCAGCTACGGCGCGAGTATAAAATTGGAATATCACAGTCCAGGCCAGTCAGGCGGTGGGAGACTCTATCTAAAAAATAACCAGAGTCCAAAGGGCTGGATGTATAGCTTGGGCAGCAGAGAATCTACCGAGCAAGGGGAGAAGCCCTTGAGTTCAAATATATACATATACAAACAGGTCTGGGGATTTTCATTTCCAAAATTTAGATTGTAGAACAATGCGAATGTACTTACTCTATTGAACCTAAAATATGGGTAGGGTGGTACATTTTACATTTTGTGTGGGGGTTTTTTGTTTGTTTTTGGTTTTGGTTTTTTTTTTTGTTGTTCAAATGAAATGGCCTGTTGAATTCTTACTGTGGACCAGGCATGGTGTTAGGTGCCAGTAACACAAGAATTACCAAAATAGCATCTGCCCTTCAGGAGCTTTTGGGAGCTTTATTGATCAATCTCCAACATATAGGTGACATCCAACCATAAAAGATGCCACCGTGGGGAAGCACCGAGTCTGGGGGGACAGAGACACCTGCAGCCGAGAGAGGCGGACTGGCGCAGCAGCAATGGAGAATGCCAGCGAGCCCATGGGGAGAGGAGGCCTGGCACCTGCCCAGGTCCTCACTTTGACACCAGCTGGGTGCAAGGTTACGCCCTGACACAGAGACTCTGGAGGAAGACGGTTGGGGAGGAGGTGGAATGTGTGGCGGCAGAGGAACTGAAATGCATTCCATGAAAACGCCCAGCCCAGGGCTAGCAGGCCAGCAAGTGCTTGGCAGAAGCAGCCCTCCCCCTTCCCATGTGAAGTTCATTTTGGAAAAAAACATTATTTCCTTACATCTTTTCTTTTTTTTTTTTTTTTTTTTTTGGTCGGTCGTAGGGCTTGAACTCTGGGCCTGGGTGCAGTCCCTCAGCTCTTCAGCTCAAGGCAAGTGCCCTACTACCACTTGGGCCACAGCGCCACTTCCAGTTCTGGTGGTTTATTGGAGATAGAGTCTCATGGACTTCCCTTCCCAGGCTGGCTTTGAACTGCAATCCTCAGATCTCAGCCTCCTGAGTAGCTAGGATTACAGGCATGAGCCACCAGCGCCCAGCCCTCACATCTTTTCTAAGGAGCAATGGGTACAATTGTGGTGCATGCCTTCAATCTCAATTCTTAAAAGGCTGAGACAGGAGGATCTCAAGCTCCAGGCAAGCCTGGGATATATAGTTAGATTTTGTCTCAAAAAACCAACAAACAAGTAGTAAACTGCACCCAGGCAGTCACTTACGTGTACTTCAGAATGCCTTCCAGTTTTGATGTCCAGATAATAACACTTTTGTCAGCTGACCCAGAAGCAAAGCGTTTGCCTGTGTTAAGAAGAAAATTATCACACACACACACACACACATATATATATATATATTTTTTTTTTTTTTTTTTTGGTCATGGGGCTTAAACTCTGGATCTGGGCGCTGTCCCTCAGCTCTTCAGCTCAAGGCTAGCATCCTACCACTTGAGCCACAGCACCACTTCTGGCTTTTTCTGCTTATGTGGTGCTGAGGAATCGAACCCAGGGCCTTATGCATGCAAGGCAAGCACTCTACCACTGAGCCACTTTCCCAGCCCTGGTCACCAATATTTGGTACCAGCATTTCCCATAGTATTTCTTAGAAAACTATGTTTTTGTTGTTAGTGATGCTGCTATTGTTTTATCATGGTTTTACTATGTAGCCAGGCCTGGCCTCGAACTTGTGACCCTCCTGCCTCGGTAGCAGCCTGCTGCCTCAGTCTTCTGAGTGCAGGAACTACAGGCATGTGCCACCACGTTCCTAGGGAAGCTAGTTAAGTGTCACCTTCTCTATGAGTGCGTGCATGCGTGCATGTGTGCGTGTGCGTGTGCGTGTGTGTGTGTGTGTGTGTGTGTGTTACAGGGATGGAACCCACAGTTTTGCTCCTGCTGCACCACTGAGCACCCCACCCCTCTATGACTGCTCATCAGTACTACTCACAGGCAGCCTGGAGTCAGGAGGTCTGGACTCCAAGCCTGCTCTTCTGGCACTGAGTACACACAGACATACTAAAGACTGCTTCATGCACGCATGGTGCTCAAGGATAAGGGCTGAGCAGTGATTAAAGCACATCATCCAAACCTTCACACACTCCAGTAGAAGTAGTAAACACTAAATTAACACAGCACACACACACAATGTGATGAGAAAAACTGAATTAACTGGGAAATCTGATTTCTGTTTTTACTTGACAAATAATTGTATGGTTTTATGAAATACAATGTGAGGCTTTGCTATACATATACACTGCAAATGATTAAATCAAGCTAACTAACCTCTTGTACCCATCGCTTCAGATAGGTTTTGGTTTTTTTGGTCAGTCATGGGGCTTGAACTCTGGGCCTGGGCACTGTCCCTTAGCTCTTCAGCTCAAGGCAAATGCTCTACCACTTGAGCCATAGTGTCACTTACAGTTTTCTAGTGGTTTATTGAAGATAAGAGTCTCACAGACTTTCCTGCCCAGGCTGGCTTGAACCTCAATCCTCAGATCTCAGCTTCCTGAGTAGCTAGAATTATGCCTATAAGCCACTGGTGCCCGGCCGTATAGTTATTTATTTTTTGTAGTGACAACAGTTACAGTCTGCTCTTTCAGCAACTCTGAAATACACATTTTTATTGCCTGTGCTCACCACGCTGGACAGAATGTATTGGAAACCACTCCTCTTGTCCGAATGGACTTTTGTACTGTAGGCCATTATCTCCCCGGAAGCTTGAAGTTTGAGCAGAGCTTAGCCAAGTGCAAAGAAATGAGAAAGACACATCCACATGAACAAAACAGATATGCAAAGGCCCTTTGGCAGGGAAGGGCCAGGAGGGCTAAGAAGCAGTGTGGACACAGAGGGCAAGTGGTAAGGGGCAGTGGAAGGACCTCTTGGGTCTTTAGGGCCACAGTAGAATCTTGCCCTTTACCCGCAAGCAACAGCAGGGCTTTGAAGGAGAGAAAGGCTGGAAGCAGAGAGCGACAGGTCAGAAGGGACTGCCTACAAGCACATGGCGGGGCGGGGGGGGGGGGGGGGGGGGAGGGAATTAGGACCACCAATGCCGGGTGCCAACTTTACCCTTCCGGGCCTGTGGAAGGTGAACTTGGGCAAGTGACGGCTCTGGGCCGGGGGACACTTTCCTCTCTGGGGCGATCAACTAAGACTAAGACGCTATTTACAAAGCCACTACAGCAGGAGAGCTCAGGCCAGGCACCAGGCAGCACTGCAAATACCAAATCAACAGGGAGCTGCTGCCCTCTCCTTCCTGCCCTTACTTCCTCATCTGAAAAACAGAGACACAATCCCAGCACTCAGGAGGCCCAGGCCCAGGATTCAAGTTCAAGGCCAGCCTGGCTAGGGTGAGACCTTGTCTCATGGGAAAAAAATCACAACTGAACAACTCACTACTATATAATAATTTTATAGCTGTTTATAGTTAGAGGCTATATACGGTGTATAGTTATGTTGGAAACAAATTCCTATGCATAGTTGGTGCTCAATAAACATGAATAGATTGAAAAAAAACATGTATTTACCTCATAGTTCATGGGAAGACTAAGCGAGTGTGTGTGCTTGAGTGTACACACACACACATACACAAAGTGCTAAGAACACTGCCTGGGATAAAATTATGCTCAAAAAATTACTACTATTACCACTGTTGCTTCATACTGTTTTTCTTGAGCAAAGAAACGACATCTCAGGCACTTATGTACCATGGCTGCTCGTTATTTACTAATTAAACTTACAGGAAAAAAAATCATTAACTACTAATTACACTGACAGGAGAAATCAGAAAGGAGCAGACTAAGAGTAATTCAGCGCATCTCAATATTCAGATCTACACGAGGCAAGACTAGTTCCAAGGAATGAAAAGTCCTCTTACTCCTGGGTAAGCCGCACTGCAAGGCAGAATGATGTACTAGAAAGATCTAGGGCTCTGTGGTCATGGGACCTGCAGGCCCAGCTCTGTCGCTGTGCCTCACATTGCTCCAGGCTTTTCTCTCATCTGGGTTGCTGAGTGGTCAGAGTCTCGCTGGAAGATAAATGAGATAATGTGTGCCTGCAGAGTGCTGGGGAATGCCAAGTCACACTGACCTAAGCCAGTGCCATAACGGTGCTTCAGGGTAAAGGGCACACACAAAAAGCATGGCTGCAGTGGCAGAGCATGCCTGGCCAGGGAGCAAGAAAACCATGCTGTCTCCGGACGGGGAGGTATGGCTCAAGTGGTATAGCGCCAGCCTTGAGTGAAAAGGACAAGCAAGAATGCAAAGGCCCTGAGTTCAAGCGCACGCGTGCACGCACGCACGCACACACACACACACACACACACACACACACACATCTAGCTAGAAGTGTGGCTCAGTGACTGAGCTCCTGACCAGCGAGCATGAAACCCTGAATTCAAACCCAGTACTGCAGGGAAAAAAGTCTCACAAAATAAAGAACAGCAATTAAAAGAATAGGGAAGAAAGAAATGTGTGTTGTCTTTGAGTGAATTTGCTGCATGACCCGAGCAGGGCACTTTTCTTCTTGAGTCCTGCATGGATCTCAAGGGAAGTGGGACGTCGGAGGCAGACTCTGTCAGTCTCCGTGTCTTTCTAAAGAGGGTCTGCAGCTTTGATCTGCTTCTCTAAGAGGCCTTCCCACCAGACCGCTCCAAAGCGCTCCACGTCTCCTTCCAAGGCTAACATTCCAGTCTGTGACTCTGGGCCATGGTCAGTGAATGCTCTCTAGCCTCCTGTCAGCTCGACACAGGAAACTGAGGCTCAGCGACCATCACCAGTGGAACGCACAGCTTTTGTGCTGGGTGGGTTGGGACTGGGAGCTTCTTGCGCTGTGGGGTAGCATAAATTTATTTTTAACTTCCGATCTCAATTCCTTCCACGCATCCATCCTCTAACTGCCACCTCCCTTCTTCCCAACCCAGCTGGTATACTAATCCCAGCTACAGTGATCCATCCTCCCCACTCCCCTTGCTGGACGGTAACGCCTCTCCCCTGCTGGACCCATGACCCCAAACCTCTCCCCTGCCTGTCCCCATGACCTTGCCACCTTCTCCACCCTTGCACACAGCCCCACCTCCCTCACCGCTCAGACAGCATCACCAGGCTGATGTATCTAATGGCTCCTTTGCACACAGCCTGGGCTCCCTTGCCCTCTGGCCTTCACCTTGTCTGTAAAACCACCACTCTGACTAGATCCACTTCTTCCAGAAGCTGCTGGTCCTGTGCAGCTCTGAGCAGCAGGAGAAGAGGACGCAAGCACATCTTCAGTCTGCCATTCCCCGCTGCAAGTGTGCCCTTCCCGCCTTCCTTAGCGGGCCTCCCAGCTCCCCTCTCTCCTCTCTCCAGGCTGCCCTCGCTCCTCACCTCCTTCCCCATCTCACTCTCAGCTGGCTCGGCTCCCCACTTCCCTGAAAACACGGAAGGCGTCGATTCCCACTGCATGTCCCCACCCGCAGGTCCTCCCCACGGGAGGAGGGTCGCCGCACTCCGCATCCGGTGCCACTCACTGCCTGCAGGCAGCCATCTCCCCTCCACACACACACACCACCACCTTTCCTCCAATTCACATGTCCATAACCGAACTCCAGGCCTTCCTCGGTGAGCCCCTCCGCCTGCAGCTCCTCCCATTCAGTTGCTCAGGTAAAAAGCTGCGAGTCACCTCGCCTCCTCTTTTTCATGCCTCTCATGAAATCCTATTGGCTCCGCCCCTCCATGCAGAATACAGATCCCTTCTCACCTCCTCGGCCCCTCACTCAGTGCTCCCTGGAAGATGCTCCTGGCTCATCTCCCTGCCCCAATCTCATCTCCGCAGGCTGTTTCCAGTACAAAGGTAAAATGTGAGCATGATCACATCCCTCCTCCGCTGAAAGCCCGTCCACCGCTCATCACCTTATGAGAACCGAAGCTGCAGTTCTCATAATGGCCAACATGGCCTGGCACCTGGCTCCCCTCACTTCCCTGCTCCCCGAGCCTCTGTGCCTCAACTCCCAGGAGGCCTGGCACACTCCCAGCCACTGCCGGCTCTGCAGCAGCGCCCCCTCACCCCAGATCTCACTCTGGGGCTTCGTGGTCTGTACTCACCACTCACCAGTCCCATCTGAACGAGCCCATCCAACCCCTGCAGGCTCCCAACCCCTCATATCCTGCCTGCCTGTCCTCTTCCACAGCACTGCCCGTCCATCACTACGGCTTGGATCTCACTTCACGTGTGTCTGCCTCTCATTTCCCCACAGGACCTTGGTCCCTGGTTCTCTGGAGCATCTCCAGCACCTTGGACAGTACCTGCCACATGCATGACCTGCAATAAATCCTCCTTGACTTGAATGTCAGAATTTACAATGCAGAAACTGCCTATCTTCTGAGTTACAGAGTGTCTACGCACAAAAATGAGTAGCTATGAGGCCATGACAGAGACAGAACCCAGAGCAACCTCTTACCATCCTTTGCATATTCCACACAGTATACAGTGTCTTTGTGTCCCCGGAGGGGCTGAAGTAAGGTGCCATCAGAGGCGTCATAAACCTGTCAAAAAGAGACAAAAGTGAGCTAATTGCTGGTGGCTCACACCTGTAATTCTAACTCCATGGAGGCTGAGATTGAGAAGATCACAGTTCCAGGCAAGCCAAGGCAGAAAGTCTGCCAGTCTCCACATCTCCTGGAAGAAGCTGGATGTGGTGGAAAGAGCCCAGCCACAACCAGAAACCTAAAATAGCAGATCACGATCCAGGCATGTGCCTGGACAGGAAGCAAGAACCTATCCAGCTAAAAAAAAAAAAAAAGGCCTGGAGGTGTAGTTCACAGGCAGAGCACTGCCTAGCAAGCTCAAGACCCTGAGATCAAGCCTTAGAAACTTGAGAGAAACTTGAGAGACAGACAGACAGACAGACAAAGAGACAGAGGCAGTGAGACAAAGAGACAGAGACAGAGAGAAAGAAAGAGAGAGAATGGGGGGAAGAGGAGGAGAGAAATGTGTAGACTATCTATGTGACATCAATTATTCAGAATTCCTGTAGGACTGTTGCCATTATTTTCATTTTTATAACAAAACAGTTGTCAATGTTCTAAATTTGTATCCCAGAAAGACGACTGCAAAACCAGAAGGAACATGACTTAACACTAGGTAAGCAGGAAGTGGAAGTCCTGATTCTAAACCCTCTGAGACCAGGTACATAACATCCATCTTTTTTTTTTTTTTTTTTGGGTCTGGTCATGGGGCCTGAACTCTGGGCCTGGGCGCTGTCCCTGAGCTCTTCAGCTCAAGGCTAGCGCTCTACCACTTGATCCACAGCGCCACTTCCGGCTTTTTTCTTTTTGCTTATGTGGTGCTGAGGAATCGAACCCAGGGCCTTGAGCATGCAAAGCTAGCGCTCTACCACTGAGCCACCTTCTCAGCCCCATAACATCCATCTTTGAGAAACAAAAGCCACGGATAATCCCTACAACCTTCCCTCATTCTGCCACGGGCTTGGAACAGGACCAATCAAGCCAGGCCCACCTAAATAAAACCAGCATGCACAAAGGGCCAGCTTCCAACACGGTTCAACAGCACGGCCAGCATCACTCCTGACCACTGCAACATTGAGACGTTTCCTATCAGCTACCGAGACTGAAAAAGTCACAGACCGTCTGCTAGGTTTGCAAGTAGGAAGAAGTGTTATAAAACCCAGCTGTAATTCGGATTTAGGATATTTTATGGTTCTGTAACATGGATAAATAAGTGGAAATGTACAAAACACACCATCTGAGGAATCAGGGTAAAACTCCTACACAGTCAGAAGGAAATCTATGAGGAAAGCTGAAAGGACTGGATTGTTTACCCTGGAGAGAACAAGTCTGCAGAACAATTCAACCACGGTAAGGCTGCAGTGACCATACAGAGAACAGACATCAGTCAGTCTGCATATCTGGAGACAACAGTGAAGAGGAAGTGGACTTAACACATGGGTGGGAGGAAGGGAGATCACACAGGTTTTTAGGTCAAACAGAGTTCTCTCAGGAGGTTACTTTTGTCCACTGGGATGGGCTCCAGGGGGAGTTTATAACCTTTGAAAATACAAAAAGCCAGCACAGCATGCATATGGGAATGCTTAGGTGGGCCAGGGCCTAAAAGTCCAGGTCAGGGTACCTGGCTTCTCAAGGAGGAGGCCCCTTCAATCTTGTTGCTTAGATATTTCAGTACAAAATACTGACACCCACCCAGTTTCAAAGGCATTTTGATTCATTGTCTTCAACTATTTCGTGGTATCTCAAGCAAAAAGAGAAAGATGAATGACTCTAACAGCGGCATTGTTCACAAGCTCCTAGCTGACAGACAGTTTACTTACCAGTTTTAAATAGCCCATTTCCTTCCCCATTAAAAAGTAATGACTGGTTTTTCCTCCTTTGCCTTTTTTATCTCAAGAAAAAGGGTCAAATTTCAGAGTACTTACAAGTGGGAGGAGGAAAAAAAGAGCACTTAAAAAGGAAATTCAGACAAAATCCTACCAGTAATCTGCTTCCTGCAGCCACAATCAGTTGAGTTCCATCAGGCTTAAATGTGAGGTCATAGATACTAAACAGAAGACAAGACAAAAAGACAATTAGGAACCAAAATGATGAGGTCTGCTAATGACCAGGAAAGCCAATTTTTGTTTCTACTATCAACACTGTGTGTATGAGGAGAAAAATAACAGCAATGAATTGCATGTGTTTGCAAATTCCGTGCAGATTCCGTTGGTAGCTGTCCAGTCGTGATGGGCTCGGCCAGCTCTGCAGCCTGGTTTCCTCCTGTCCAGAGCCAGACGCCAGGAATGATTCAGAGGCACTTAACTCTTTGAATGATGCCATAAGGGCTAGACCCCTGGGAGCAAGTGTGAGAGTGAGGAAAGCCACACAGTCATGTGCTGACTGCCTGAGACGCTAGGTACCCACAGGTGGTACAAGGTGTGCAGGTCTGAGTCCCTTCCTGCCCTCCAGGAAGTCCCCACTAGAGGGAAGGTGCGAATTAGACACGTTCACCAAGAATTCTGCACCTCCACTTCTTCGCATGTTAGTGTCTCTGAGTTTGGGATGTATCTTGCAATTAATTGGTGACTTGTCAATTTAACTGATAGCAATTTTATTTTTTTTATTTCAATGATATTTTATGATCAAAGACCTCTTAGATTGGGCGAAATACAGAGGAAAGGGGTGTTTTTAATCAATAAATAATGTACAATGTGATGTTTTTATCTATGTATGTATTATGCAAAGCGAGTTAACATCTCCATTTCCTCAACAATGTAATCATTTTAGTGTAGTGAGAATGCTGCTGATCTATTCGTTGAGCCATGTATTAGCTGCGGTCACTGCAATGCAAGGGAGACTCACCTTCCCCATCCCTTCCTCTGACTCCACACCCGGGCAGACACTTCCCTTGAACAAGAAGTCTTCACATTTCCTCAACAGGTAGGAGCCAACCCTCTCTTGCACCTCATTTTGACATCATGGATGGATGGGGCAGGCATCATCAACCCGTTTTTAAAGATGAGGGAACTAGAGAGAGGCAAGCTGACTGCAGTCCCATAGCTGGCGGAGAGAAGCTGGCCGTGGGCCGCTTCCCTGCTTTGCAGCTGGGCGCACAGGACAAAAGCAACGCTGGGCCCCTGGTCCTTCCGCTTCCTTCCTCACTGCTTGGTGGCACTTCCAGAACTTTCTATCTCTGAGTGCAGGTATCTCAACACATTTCACACTCTGAGAAGCAGATGAAAGAGACAAAAATAGGGGGGAACAGGGGCCAGAAAAGCTGCCCTCCTTTTCATCCACAAAACAAGGCTAGGCGGCTCCCTCTTACCGTGCAGGGGCCCTGCCGGCCTCTGCAAAGCACAGATGCCCGCGAGCTGCCGGGACAGGACAGTGGGGCTTGGAGGGGGGCTGCATCTCTCCGGGATAACGCCAAGAGTGTGGCTTTCTGCTGCAAACACTTTGAGGCCTCTGCTTCAGCAGTGTTATTTCAGGCTGGGTTAGCAAATTATTAAGGATCTCACACAGTCTAATCCTGAACCACCTTCTTCTCTGAACTTTTTTGAAATTTTCCTCTCAAAAATACCACCGTTAGACATACATCACATATCACATGTAGTGCACATAACATGTATTACCCAAATAACACGTGCCCAACTTAAACTAGTGCTGTAAAAAAAAAAAAGTACAATTCAATTTTGCTCTCCGTTATATAGCCTCTTATATTCTCTGCTTCCAGGTACTGTCTTTTTAGCTGTGCTCCTATGAATGCAAGAGAGATGGTCTTGTTTTACCTTATACATCCGTGGACCCACAATGCACGGCACTCAACATAACTGAGCATCAGACAAGATTTCATTTGAATCGTGGAATCAGGGAAGCTCAGAATTGGAAAGGACTCTAGACATTGTGTAGTCTGTCGCCCCCACCAGGGCAAAAGCCCCTCCGTGTGGCCAAGCAGCCCTGCCTGCACCCTGCTCGCCCTTCCCAGGCACACTGTGCTGTCCCCTTCGATGAAGACGACAAACTGTCAAAACATGTCACTGGATTCCACTTCAGAGAGATGGAGGCTAAGTCTGACCCACTGTCCTTGGCCAGATGTTTTAGGAGTCTCTAAATCTGACTCATACCAGCCCACTTGCTCTGTGTGTGTGTATGTGTGTGTGTGAGTGTGTGCGTGTGTGAGTGTGTGCATGTACGTCCCTAGCCCCCTCATGAAACTTCAATTTCTTCATCTGAATGGAATAATAATTCAAACGTGCTCAGTAAACAGGAGCTGGGGGCGGGGGCAGCAGGCTGCAGCCAGGCACGCGAGCCCTGCAAGGCCTCGAGGTTGGGATGGGCAGCAGCCATGCCTCTGAGGAGGAGAATGAGGAGAAAGCAAGACCACATGGGAAGGATCTTGGTAGGGAAATGGAGTCTTTGGCTGAACTCCAAAGCATAAATTTCAATGTCAGCACGGCTACAGAGAAGACAGCAGGAGGACCACCTAGCAAAGCCATCATATGGCAACTGGGAGTCATGGTGGATTTATGAGAGGAGGGAGATACGTCAGAGCAGAGACCTGGGAGTTCTGATGCAATGCAAAGTTTATTCCAGAAGCCAAAGGGCAGAGCAGGGCCAGCAGGGGTTGGGGAGGGCTGGTCAGTCACAGTGACATCCGGGAACTTTTGAGTTCTGCTATCTAGTTCCCATAGCTCTCACTGTGCCTGTTTCACGCTGGGCTATCAGCTGCTGTGGGGCTGTCAGCAGAGCTGGTCTTTAGAACCCCATGCCTCCTATTCTAACAGGCTGTCCCAAATCTGTAACGGGCCGAGTCCCTGATAACCAACCTTCATTCATTCACTTGGGCATGCATCTACCCAGCAAACACTAACCACCACCAGTGACTCCACTGGGCACGGGCGCCATCTGAAAATAAAGACGACAGAGCCATTGCCTTTTGTTTTTTCTTAAGGTTTATAGACTTCTGGGATAAACAGGTTAAAAAATAACTCTTACATGTGACACACTCAAGTACCAGTAGAAAGGAATGAGCAAAATTCTGTGCCAAGGGTTGAGAACAGAGCAAGTCAGGCTGCATTTGGCCAGCAAATGTTTTGTTGGGCCCACGGGCTGGTTTACTGTGTCTTTTTTCCCCTCATTAATACCAGCATTTTAAAATTAGGATATTAAAAACTCAGATTCCTATATTTTGATAAAAACAGGCCAAATTGGTGCTGGCAGGAGCAGAGCACAGATGCCCCTCCACGCACAGCACAAGTTCTCTGCTTTGCCACAGTCCCTGCCACTCCCTTACTCTCTGACATAAATGACAAATGCTCAATTGCCAGTTATCATCAACCTATGCTATGCAGAGAAATGTAAACATTTAAAGTTTTGCTTTTTACTCAATGTCTATCAAAAGTTACAAGGAGCTGGGCACCTGTGGCCTATCATCCTAGCTGCTCAGGAGGCTGAGATCAAAGGATGGTGGGTCAAAGCCAGTCCAGGAAGGGAGACCTCATCCCCAATTAACCAGCAAAATGCCAGACTGGAAGTTTGGCTTACGTGATAAGAGCACCAGCTATAAGCAAGCAAACTGAGCAAAAGTGCAAGGACTGAGTTCAACCCCAGTACCGGCACGTGTGTGCATACGTGCACACGCACACACACACACACACACAAAAATAAGGCAATGTAATAAAATAGAACAGGGCATTAAATAACACTGAATTAATTATTAAAATATGTCATTCCCTTTCGGTTCTCAAACTTTCTAATTAGGAGAACGCCTTGATCTGATGCTCATCTTTAGGCTGACCTTACCTGGGAATGTCCAGCTTGAGACACAGCCGGACTTCCGTTGGAAAGGTGCCGTAGCAACTGTCTCTACCTGCCACCTTTTCACTCTTGTGTCTCCACGCTTGAAGTTTTACTTATCTTGCACTTGCAGCAAACCATACTGACTTATTTTTTTTCGTTCGCGTAGAAATCACGATGCTATGTAAGACCTAAACCATATTCATGCGAAAACTGGTGAAGCAGAAGTTGTCTAAGGACGGGAAGGAGGTGAGGATGCACAGCCCGCACCCCAACAGGGCACTATGGCCGGGCCCGGCCCTGGGCCCCCTCTTCAAGCCTCAGCCGCGGCACCCCCGGGCGGTGGAGGCTCACCGTGCAGCCCACAGGGCCGCGTCCAGCCCCCGACCCCAGGCCCACGTCCAGGCCCCAGGCCCCAGGCCCCAGGCCCACGTCCAGGCCCCAGGCCCCAGGCCACGTCCAGGCCCCAGGCCCCAGGCCCCAGGCCCACGTCCAGGCCCCAAGCCGCAGGCCGGTTGTCCTGGCAACCACGGAAGTCACGTAACCCTAGGCTCCCGCCGTCCTGGGCCTCGCGTCCCACTTGTTCCCGCCTGTCCCACTCCTCACCATTGATCGCTTTTATCTTTCCACGTCACCACGGTCCTCATCGCAGCGTCCCTCACGCCCGGGGCTCCTCCTCCCGGCCTCGGCAACAGGCTACACCGCGCCAGCCACTTTGGCTACCTACGCTACCCCTGGCAACGCACATGCGCAGTAAGCTGCTCGCGCGTGTAGCTCCCGAGTGCGCATGTCTGAAAGGGAGGGCGCGCTAAGGGGCCGAAGCACAAAAAGAGCAGGAGCCCAGAAGCTCATGCTCGATTGGTCGAGGAGGATGGATGGGCGGTGCAACTTCGCAAGGGAGGATCTGATTGGCAGAGCCGTGTAAACGCGGCTTTCCGAGGGGAGCCCCGGTGGTTCTGAGGGGCTCTTCCTGCCGCGGGGCTCAGGCTCCGGCTTGGCGCTGTGAACCGGTGTCCTCGTCTAACTCTGCCCGCAGCGGGGCGCGGCGCCTCCCGGCCCCGTGCCGCAGCCGGACGCCACTCTACGGGCACCGCTGGGATGTCGCGTCGGAGCCCGGGGGTCGGCCGAGCCGCCCCGTCGGACCCCTGTGGGGACCGCCTCGGTGATCTCGGGCAAGTTCCTTCCCCTCCCGGGCCTCAGCTTCTCCCCTGTGCCGGGGAAGCGGGGGAGGCCGTGTGGGCCTGGAGGCCTGCGGGCTCTGTCCCCGGGAGCAGCCCTGGGGAGGGGCCGGGGGAGCAGGGGAGGGGGGGGCTGTGTCTGAGGTCTGCTTGGATGGGGCGGGGTGGAGGTGGGGGGTCCCTGGGAAGACCAAGCTGATTTCCCTGATTGCTGTCAAAAGTTAGCCCTCCAAACTTCCTTTACGAAATGATATTGCCTCCTTTCTACGAACTTTAAAGCTCCCCCATCGTAATCGGAATATTCTCTTTGGTTCCTGCATTGTGCTGGATTGAAGCTGAATAAGCAGAGGAAAAGAAATTTTGAATGAGTTCGTCACTGCGTGTCTTGTTTTTCCAGTGAGGAAGTGGAATCGGGAAAAGTGGAAGGAGGTGAAATTCAAGTGGCCATAAAGAGCAGCGGTGAGGGCAGCCCCACAGAAAACATCGCTGCCACTCGTTTTGGGGGTACCACAGTGACAGCCAGCCGTCCGCCTGTCCCTTGTGGATGGGAAAGAGTTGTGAAGCAAAGATTGTCTGGGAAAACAGCAGGAAGATTTGATGTATACTTTATCAGGTAAGCAAACAAGGTGGTAAGTAAAACTAGTACCGGCAAATAATTACTTTCTAGACAGCTAGTGGGAAAGTATAGCAGGAATCTTGGCTTATTATCTTAATAACCATGGTGGAGCCAGGTGCCAGTGGCTCATTTGTAACCCTAGCTGCTCAGGAGGCTGAGATCATGATGCAAGTTCAAAGTCTTCCCAGGCAGGAGAGTCTATGAGATTCTTAACTCTAGTTAACCACCAAAAAGCTGGAAGTGGAGCAGTAGCTCAAGTGGTAGAGTGCCAGCCTTGAATGAAAAAGCTAAGACATAGCACCCAGGCCTTGAGTTCAAGCCCCAGCACCATTACCAAAAACAACTAATCAGTGTTACTGGTTAGTTACAGTAATGGATTTAGGTTCAGTTACATGCATTTTGATACTTTCAGTAGTGTGAATGATTAAAGGTGCACTTGCCCTTTGATTGTATTTGTAAGTTTTATGCTATCATAGGGGAATCCATTTAAGAAGGCCCTTTACAGTTACTCAGGAGGCAGAGATTTGGAAGTTGGTGGTTCAAGGCCAGCCTAGAAAGTCTTAGGCCTTCATTTGCAGCAGTAAGTGCAATAAGCAATAAGCACATCTATAACCCTAGATACACCAAAGGAGGGCCGTAGGTAGGAGGATCAAAGTCCAATGCCAGTGCAAGGCAAAAATGAGACCTTATTCCAAATACGTCTAATGCAAAAAAGTACTAAGGTGTGGCTCACATGGTGTAGAGCCTGCCCAACAAGCACAATGTCCTGAGTTCAAGTCCTAGTACCAGTAGGTAAATGCTTTTTTTAATCACTTTTTAAACGTCCAAATGGCAAACATCTGTAGCAACCTGTGGAAATTATCAGTTAGAAATTTGAAATGTGGATCCATTCTTTTTAAAAGTCTCACATTTTCTTTAACATTATTTTTAAGCCCACAAGGACAGAAGTTCCGATCCAGAAGGTCACTTGTTAATTACCTTCACAAAAACGGAGAGACTTCTCTTAAACCAGAAGCTTTCGATTTTACTGTACTGTCTAAAAGAGTCATCAAGTCAGAACATAAAGACTTCAGCCTTGCAGCTCTGACTGCCCAGCTACAAAAGGAAAGTGATGCTTCAAACCAGAACCTCAGGACACGAAGCAGGAGGAAAAGAAATGCTTCTTGTGCTGGTTCAGAGTTGCAAGATAGCAGAGCACTATCAACCTCTAACCCCATCCCTTTGCTCTTGAAAGAAGATGAAGTTGTTCATGAGGTTAAGCTCAGGAAGGTCAGGAAGTCCAAAAGAAAGATGACTATGTTGAAAGAAATTCCAGTTAAGAAAATCAAAAAACAGCGCAGGAAGTGTCTGCCTGGTTCTGTTCAAAGTAAGAGAAAAACAGGATCTGTACCTCATCAAACAGGTGCTGAAAATGAGCCTGTTGCACAAGAAAGTCAACCTGACTCCATTTCAGATAGCAGAGCAAGCGACCAGCCCCTCAGTGTGACCAGTGCAGAAAGGAGCCTTGTAAAAGAGACATCTCTGAGTTCGGGATCAGATTCTCATTTTGAACAAATCACCTCTGGCATCACAAACCAATCATGTCCAACCGCAGAAGCAGATGACAAGACACGTGAAGAGATCAGAACAGAAGTAGCCGATGGGGACAGGAAGCATCATTTGCATACTGACATTTTAAAATGTGGTTCTGAAATGCGCAACTGCTCTCAAGCCAAGAGTGACCTTATTTCTGAGAAAATGTTCCAAGGTATTCTGAACACTTTGGCCCTGTTAAATGTAGGGGTTCACACTCCCAGGTCTTGGGTTTCATGCCTGTCCATGGTTATGGCAGATTCATTCTCCCAGTTGATCCTAAAACTGTCTCCCATCACGGCACAGAGAGGCCCAGCTGGTCACTGTCAGGATCTGCCACCGTCTCCCTGGAGCCACAGCTGGGGCTTGCCTCAGGCCTCCTCTCTCTCCCCAGCCTTTCCCCAGACAGCAATCTTAATGTATTAAGGGAAATTGAAAGGCTTCCCTTGTGAAAAATGTGGAGAAGGTTCTTTTTCTGTAGGACTGACTGAGAATAGTGTGTGTTCACACTCCTCCTGTTGCTTAGTCCTGACGTGTGACTTCGTTTAATTTTGTATCTATCACAGTCATTTGTATCTTCTATTATCACATAATGCTTTGCTAACAGGCCTGAGAGCTCTAAATAATTCAAAAGAGTAATCATGTAGTTCATGTATTATTTGTAATATGCTCTTAATACAGATTCCAGGCTTGGCAATTTTGCCTTTATAATACCTCAGTGAATAATTGATTTTAAAAAAAGGAGACCTTTTGGGCAGCTCTATATTAGTCATTCATTATGCCATTATGATATAATGAATAACTCTTATAAAGAATAGTAATTTTACTTAAAACCCTTTGGGGAAATTGCCTGGACAAAATTGGTAGAAACAGGAGGTTAGACTTAATTCCTGCGCTCAGTCTTACCCTAATTTTAAGACCTTTCTGTGCCTGGAATCTACCTTTAATAAAAAATGGCCACATGTCCCTAGCAAATGTATAAGAATTCTTCAAGTCTGTTCTAGGTTTTGGAACTTCTTAAAGAAAGCATTTATGTAGATTTATTGCCGATGTAATGGACGAATTAAATATTTAGAGCATCCTTTGGTGACTAAGATGGAAATACTCTGTTCATCCTGTACTTACAGAAGTCTAGTTCTCTGTGCAATGAAGTGCCCTGCCTATTTCTCACTCCCCCATTGGCCTCACCAGAAAGGGAGGCAGCGAGTGCTTAGTTACAGGAATCCATGGACCAGGATTCCAAGATCCTCCTAAGGGCAGTTTTCTTGATACTTACTTTGTTGGGCTTTACTTAAGCAAACTCGAATGGCAAATGGCACTGGCTATGAGGATTCTTGTACTCTCAACCCAGCATCATTTGGGGACATTGTTTAATTTCTAAGTCTTAGTTTCTCTGTAAAATGGATGTAGTAACCCACTAGTCCCATTTTCACGTTAAGAATATTGTAAAGTGAAGCTGCTCATGGTGGAGCATGCTTGTAATCCCAGGATTTAGGGGACAAAGGCAGGAGAATCATGAATTCAGTGTAGCCTAGGCTACAATGGGAGACCGTGTCTCAAAAAAAAAAAAAGTATTGTAAGATAAGAAGTGAAAATAATGGCTTCACACTGTATAAATGCAAGGTATTTTTAGCTGGCATTCAAATTCATAGCATGTGGCTGAAACAAGCACTAAATAGGACAACCAGAAAACGGGCTAAGTGACACTGCTTCCCTTCATTCAGGGGGCGCTCCAGTCCAGAGCTTAGCTTTTGTTGCAGTTTCTGATTTGTCTGTAACCATTACGTTGCTAAGTATTTACACATTCAGTGCAGAGATTTTGGAAAGTTTATAACATAAAAGTTACCACTCACCAACAACTATTATAATGCTTTGGTTTGTTTCATGTATATGCTATATGTGAGCATATACATACATAGATTGTTTTTTTTTGGTCCGGTTGTGGAGCCTGAACTCTGGGCCTGGGCACTGTCCCTCAGCTCTTCAGCTCAAGGCTAGTGCTCTACCACCTGAGCCACAGCGCCACTTCCGGCTTTTTTCTTTTTGCTTATGTAGTGCTGAGGAATCGAACCCAGGGCCTCAGGCATGCAAGGCAAGCGCTCTACCCCTGAGCCACCTTCCCAGCCCCCAAGTGCTGGTCTTAAAAGTGTGTGCCATAACTACCACCATCACCGTAGATTCTGTAAACAGTGCTCACTCTTCCTTTTCAGAAAATGCCATCCCACGGGCACAAATAGAAAAAAGGAAAACAAGCCTGTATTTTTCTAGCAAGTATAACAAAGAAGGTAAGATCCTCAGAGGGAGCATGGGGCTGTCCTTGTCTTGGAAGGACACCTTTCTGATGCTGTGTATCCATTCAGCTCTCAGCCCCCCACGACGCAAAGCCTTTAAGAAATGGACTCCTCCTCGGTCACCTTTTAATCTTGTTCAAGAAACCCTTTTCCATGACCCATGGAAGCTCCTCATTGCAACTATATTTCTCAACCGCACCTCAGGTTTGTGGATTATTTTCACTTGTGTCTTAGAGACTAGAGAGGAGAAAGAATCAGATGGAGTTGTTTTAGAGACCTAGGTTCAAGGTCTATTTCAAGGCTGTGATATTGGCTAAGCTTTCCTCTCAGCTCTCAAACACTTCACCTATAAGAAAGGCTACATGCCAAGTGCTAGTGGCTCACGCCTGTCATCCTAGCTACTCAGGAGGCTGAGATCTGAGGATTGAGGTACAAAGCCAGCACAGGAGTCTGTGAGACTCTTATTTCCAGCAAACTACCAAAAAAGCTGGAAGTGGAGCCGTGTCTCAAGTGGTACAGTGCTAGCCTTGAGCAAAGACAGATAAGGGACAGCACCCAGCCTTGAGTTCAAGCCTCCAGACTGGCACAAAAATAAATAAAGACAAAAGGCTATCCCAAGTCCTTATGATCATTGGGGGGCAGATTGACACTTTCTTCCTACTTGCAGACTAGCTTTGATAATCAGTGAAAATTAACATTCCTATGCCCCCTGTGAGCATTTCTTTTTCATTGTATATACCTTGTGTTCTGAGAGAGGACTGTGTATGGGTCAGTACTGGGACTTGAACTCCAGGCCTTGCATTCTCCTTTGCTCATGGCTGGTACTCTACTATTTGAGCCATGTTTCTAGTTCCATATCTCATGTTCTAAATTGCTAGTGACCTGATTATTTAAAGCTAATTCTGTGCAAGATCAGTTTTAGTGTAACTTGCCTATTAACCAGATGAATTTGCATTGCTGTTATTTGACTTTGAAAGTGCTGGTTCAAAGAAATGGTTTCTTGTCCATGATTGAACAAATAAAACTTCTATATGAAAAGTTCTAGGGGAGGGGGGAGGCTGGGAAGGGATGTGAAGGGTAAACCAAAGGAGGAGGCTACAATGCTTGGTAAGAAATGTACGCATTATCCTGCCCATGTAATTGTAACCCCTCTGTACAGTATGTTCACAAATAAATTAAAAAAAAAAAAAAAAGTTCTAGATGAAGCTGGGCACTGGTGGCTCACACCTGTAATCCTAGCTACTCAGGAGCTAAGATCTGAGGGTTGAGGTTCAAAACCAGCCCAGACAAAAAAGTCCCCATGAGACTCTTATCTTCAATTAACTACTCAAAAACTGGAAATGGTGCTGTGGCTCAAGTGGTAGAAAGCTATCCTTGAGCACAAAGAGGTTCAGGAAGAGTGCCAGGCCATGAGTTCAAGCCCCACAACCAACAACAACAAAAAAATGTTAGACAAGAAACTGCCTGACCAGGAAACCAGCCCTTCTGGAGGCTGATAATGACAGGCTGTTTGCACTTCCCAGGCAAAATGGCAATTCCTGTGCTCTGGGAGTTTCTAGAGAAGTACCCCTCAGCTGATGTCGCAAGAGCTGCAGACTGGAGAGACGTGTCAGAACTTCTTCGGCCTCTTGGTCTCTACGATCTCCGTGCAAAAACCATTATCAAGTTCTCAGGTACGGTTCTCTGCTCCCAAAGGGGGAAAATGGTGCCTATTTAATGAAAGCCACATCTTTTTTTTTTTTTTTTTAAGTTTTAGTAAAAATTTATTTCAGGCTGGGAATGTAGCTTACTGGTAGAGTGCTTGCCTAGCATGCATGAGGCTCTGGGTTTTCTGGGGGTTTTTTGTTTGTTTGTTTTTTGGGGTCTGGTCGTGGTGCCTGGACCTGGGCGCTGTCCCTCAGCTCTTCAGCTCAAGGCTAGCGCTCTACCACTTGAGCCACAGCGCCACTTCCGGCTTTTTTCTTTTTGCTTATGTGGTGCTGAGGAATCGAACCCAGGGCCTCAGGCATGCAAGGCAAGAGCTCTACCACTGAGCCACCTTTCCAGCCCGAGGGCTTGGGTTTGATTTCCCAGTACCACATAAACAGAAAAAGTCTTAAGTAGAGCTGTGGCTCAAGTGGTAGAATGCTAGCCTTGAGCAAAAGCAGCTCAGGGACAGCACCCAGGCCCTGAGTTCAAAAGCCCCAGGACTGACAAAAAGAAAAAAAAGAATTTAGTATTAACAGACTTAGAAATAGAAAAGAGGAACATCACATTTTCAGCTCCCCACGCAGGAAATGGGAGTTAAAGTCTCTGAGCCACACCTTAAATTTTTAATTCCTCTGTGCTACATTAATAGAAATTCAGCTCAAGAAAGAAAGATATATTTTGTTTGTTTGTTTGCCAGTACTGGGGCTTGAACTCAGGGCCTGGGCACTATCCCATAGATTTTTTGATCAAGGATAGCACTCTACCTCTTGAGCTATCCAGCTCTGCTTCCAAATTTTTGGTGGGTAATTGGAAATGTTGGGGCTGACTTCCAACTGAGAACCTCAGCTCTCCTGAGTAGCTATTACAGACTTGAGCACCAAAACCCTGCATGATGAAGGCATTTTTAAACTTTCTACCTACCTAATAGTAACTCCTTTATATGACTACCTAAAGAAAATAAAAATATATTTTAAAACAAAAGCTGTCTACTTGCTCCAAACCTCAATTTCCCATTGACACAGCTCTGGGTCTATTTAGGCAGAATTCAAAAGCCATTGCCTCAGTTCAGTTGGCACAAAAGGGTTAGGGAGAGGCAGGTGATGAGGGTGCTGTGAGTCTCAGCAGGAAGAACCATCGCTAGAGGGATGTTTAGAAGGCACCTGTCCTGTCCTGCCCTCTCCCCCTCCTGCCTCCACCACCCCCTGTTGATAACCTCCCGTGCGGGGTGTTGTGTTCTTCAGATGAGTATCTGACAAAGCAGTGGAAGTATCCCATCGAGCTCCACGGTATCGGGAAATATGGCAATGACTCTTACCGGATCTTTTGTGTCAATGAGTGGAAGCAGGTAAGGCCCACCTCTAGCCCCTGACATATCCTACACATAGTCTGGGACACACTAAGTCCACCATTACAGCTGAGACCACTTATTGAACACAAGTCTTGCCATCCCTGCTCCAGCAGCAGCCGGTGGTGTAGTGGATCCTCGGACACTCCCAGGTTCACAGAGACAATTTGCTGTGGTCTCAGACTGATCCCTAGCATTTGTCACCCTTGGCTCTGCTCCTGTCTTCCCCAGTCTCTAAGCCTGGCGTGGTTTTTCTCCTGTCAAAAGGACACCACCAAAGGGAAGCAGGCGTGTTTGAGCTTGTTGAGGTTTCTCCTAGCATCTCACTCTGTGGTAGCACCACAGCTACCCATTCAGCTGTGTGTACCCAGCACACCCTGGGGCACCCTCCTGGCTAGCTAGCAGGTAGCCTGGTACAAGGCCCTCAGCTTGTGACGGCCCTCAGCATTCAGCCATGCTTGGGCTGACCTGCCCCTGTTCCACCAGAGTAATCCATTGTGACTTAAGCAGCTCATTTAACCTCTTGGCCCAGAACCTTCTATAGAAAATGGAATGTTAAGGCTTAACTCATGTTTTCACCGTCCATTGCAGATCTGGGTCAGTTCTGAATTGAGGAGTATTTTGTAACTGTACAGGATTGCCTTCACGTAAAGTACAATTTTAAACACTGGTGAACACTGCTAGGTTGAAGGGTATTATATATTTCAGGTGAATAGTATAAAGTCCTGTTCCTCACCAAACTTTTAAAATGTATTTATGACTAATTTACATGAGGTCTCTGTCTTCTAATGTGTTCTGTTTCTTCCAGGTACACCCTGAAGACCACAAATTAAATAAATATCATGACTGGCTTTGGGAAAATCATGAAAAATTAAGTCTGTCTTGAGCCTTTTGAAGTTTTTTTTAACTTGTCTTTTATGCATGGCTTTGTAGTTTTTAAGAGCTCCAAGCTATTCAATGAGCTGTTTATCCAGACATACAGGTTCTAAAGCTGTTTCCATGGGTGGATCTTTATTGCTGAAGGTTCTAGAACATATTTTGAGATTTAAATTTTCTTTTGGCAACACTGGAGTTTGAACTCAAGACCTCACCCTTGCTAGCTAGGCTGGCACTTATCCTTTGAGCCATTTCTTTAGCTGGGCTTTTTGTTGGTTATTTTGGAGATGGAGTCTAGTGAGAACTTTTCTGCCTGGGCTGGCCTCAAACCAAAATCCTCTGGATCCCTGCCTCCTTTGTAGCTAGGATTACAGGTGTGAGCTACCAGTGCCCAGCTCAAGATTCATTTTTCATAAATTATTATGAAATAATAATTTTAAAACTAGAGGCTGGGAAGGTGGCTCAGTGGTAGAGTGCTTGCCTCGCATGCATGAGGCCCTGGGTTCGATTCCTCAGCACCACATAAGCAGAAAAAGCTGGAAGTGGCGCTGTGGCTCAAGTGGTAGAGTGCTAGCCTTCAGCTGAAGAGCTGAGAGACAGCACCCAGGCCCAGAGTTCAGGCCCCACAACCAACAAAAAAAATAATAATAATTTTGAAACTATATGACTTTTCTAGTAATGAAATGTGAACAGGGAAATGCTTTTATAAACTACCAGTAGTACAGAGTGAGTAAATGTTACCGCTGCTAGAAGACAGATCAGACTTTCTGTTCATAAACTATTACTTTATGTAATTGTTAAGTGAACAGTCAGAAAGTTTGCATTTTATTGTAGTTTCATAATATTATAGTTCAGATACCGATACATTTATGCTAGACAGAAATCACTAAACAAAAAGATCCTAACTTATTAAGTCATGTGTTACCAATTGCCATTTTAAGGTGTTATTAGAAAATTAAATTATACCTTCTCCCCAAGGCAAACATCCACTCATAATGCCCAATCTCATTTCCATTTAACAAAGTATGTTCTAGAACATTCAGCATCAAAGGTCCAGTGAGCACATTAAGAAAATATACCCTGAGCAGGGCTGGTTGGTAGGGAGGCTCAAGTGACAGAGCACTTGCTTAGGAAGTGCATGTTCAAATCCCAGTACCAATTCTAGTTGAACTAATTAGAATCCCTGTGTCTAGAATGGTGGCTGGTTATGCTTAACATAGCTCTTAAAAACAAGCACAAAGTAATAAAAGGTTTTACGGTGTGATAGTGAACAATTAATAAAAAATATATACCTTACAAAAAGCTTACTTAAAAAAATAGTATTTCTTTGGCATCATGTTTTCTTTTTTCTTTTTTTAATTTTGTTGGTGGTGGTGGTTATGGGGCTTGAACTCAGGGCCTGGGCACTGTCCCTGAGCTTCTTTGTGCTCAAGGCTAGCGCTCTACCACTGGAGCCACAGCGCCACTTGCTAGCGCCATGTATTCTTGATTCCACTCCGGATCTTTAAATTGTGGATGTGACCCCAGCTTCCGCGTGATAATGTGAATGTCTACCTATGGCTCCACTTGAGCTCAGCTCATGCCCTCGACCTTGACTCCCTTGGTGAGATGCTTGTCTCATCTTCCAGTTAAAGAATGGGATCCTTTTTGTTTTACGCCATTTTATGACAGGTATCATAAAGCATTTACCTTAGAACAAACTCCTCAAACAAAACAAAATTCTAAATTAATTGTCCTAATTTCTAATTACCATTGTAAGGCTTAACTTGGAAACTAAGTTGGCTGAATAAAGGAAAAATGAATCAGTTGTTTGGGAAAGTGCCTTTTCGTAGATTGGTATTTGAACAGAACCAGATGCAGTATGATGCAGGCTAGTTAGTTCCCTTTGGTGAGCAAGTGTCAGTCTGGGAGGAGGGAGGGATTTAGACCGGAAAACAGGAACACTGGCCCCCGCCTCCCCTCCCCAGACAAACGCTGGCTTTGTAATAACCCCTCACATTTTTATCTAGTGCAGAGCCCTGTGCTGGGGAGGGGTGCAAAGATGAGCACCTCCTGGAAGAGAGAATGGCACACAAGTGACAAGCAAAGTAAAAGGGGTGAGGTGTCAGGAAGCACCCACCCGCGCATGGCAGCTGTAAAAGCTCAGAGGCGTCTGAAGCCCTGGCCAACACCAGTTGGACACTAAGAATCTGATATAAATGATCGTTGGATGGCAGGACCCCCCTCCATCAAGAGTGGGGACAAAGGGGTAGGGGTGCGGGGGGCAGAGCAGTGCAGGTCTCAACCCAGCTGCTTAGGTTCCAGGCCTGGCCCTTCCCCCTCTGCTGCAGGTGAGGATGCGTGACCTGCATCTGTTCCCTCATCTCCAGATGGAATAGCGTAGCCTGGCTAAGATCGCCACTCTAAGTTCCTACACAGCAGTGCTGAAATAATGCCTGCCTTCAAGATATGTTCAGGTGGCTCCAGGGCACCGTGTGGTAGCCTCAAGTTGTTACAGCATCTTACTAAAGGGGTAACTGCAGAAGTGGTGCTGTGGCTCAAGTGGTAATTTGAGCTGAAGAGTTGAGGGACAGCTCCCAGGCCAGAGTTCAAGACCCACGACCAACAGAAGAAAAAAAAAACGGGGGTGGTAACTGCTGGGCTGGGAAGGTGGCTCAGTGGTAGAGCACTTGCCTTGCATGCATGAGGCCCTGGGTTCGATTCCTCAGCACCACATAAGCCAAAAGAAAAAAGCCGGAAGTGGCTCTGTGGCTCAAGTGGTAGAGCGCTAGCCTTGAGCTGAAGAGCTGAGGGACAGTGCCCAGGCCCAGAGTTCAGGCCCCATGACTGGACCCCCCCCCCCCAAAAAAAGGGGTGGGGAGTAACTGTGAGGTTTTTGTGTTTTGTTGGTTTTGGGGGTTTGTTTTTTTGTTGTCATTTCTTTTTTTTTTTTTTGCTTATGTGGTGCTGAGGAATCGAACCCAGGGCCTCAAGCATGCAAGACAAGCGCTCTACCACTGAGCCACCTTCCCAGCCCCTTGTTGTTTCTTGAGGCAGTCTTGCTATGTAGCCCAGGCTGGCCTAGAACTCAACGTCCTCCTGCTTCAGCCTCTTGAATGCTAGGATTGTAGTCCTGTGCCCTGTACTATGCCTGTGTATCTGTGTGTGTGTGCGCGTGTGCGTGTGTTCGTGTGTGTGTGCACACGCGTATGTGCGCACGCGCGTATGCACGTGCTGTTACTGAAACTTGAGCTCAGGGCCTTGCTCTCTTATTTGGTTTTTTCACTCCAATTTAAAAGCTCTACCACTTGAGCCACACCTCCCCTTCTGATGTTTTGCTGGTTAATTGGAAATAAGAGTCTCACAAACTTTTCTGTCCCAGTTGGCTTCAAACCACAGTCCTCAGAACTGAGCCTGCATAGGCTGGACTGGATGCGTAACTTTAGTGAGATGAGATTCACAAATCATAAAATTCAACATTTTAGAGCCAGGGAGTAGCTCAGTGGTAGAGTACTTGCCCAGCCTGCACAAAGCTGGGGTTCCATCCCCAGCAATTCAGGGTTTTTTTGTGCATGTACATTGTTGTGCAACCATTACCACTGATTCCTGATCATACCTATCATCCCCCAAAGAAACCCCAGGCCTGCCAGCAGTTCATCGTAACCCACTGTACCCATTCGTCCTACCTTGGTAATCTTTCTGTGTGTAGATTTACCTGTTCTGGGCACTTTGCAGAAATAGAACCAATCACATGTAGCTGCCTTTAGTTTCCTGAGCAGCATGTAGCTGCTCTAGTTTCTTCCATTTTGCATGCACATTGTCACAGGTATCGTGGGAATAGACCGTGTTCTCTTCCTTGATGGATATCTCAAGAGTTTATTAATGCACTGGTTCTTGGGTGCTGAAATTCTCTTGTCAGAGGGGACAAAGCATACTAAATGCCCTGCCTCTATTTGTGACTTGCTTGCCTTCTTAAAACCCTCTTGTGTGTGCAGGGCCTGTTCTTTGGATGAGAAAGCTGAGGCCTAATGATTGGTTGATGTGCTGAGATCTTACAGTTTATGGTGGGGAAATGGGATTGGTCAGTCCATTGATTGACTGATTGCTTTTACTTCCAATTTGGGACCTCTGGGCATGAATGTGTGGACAAAAAGCAAAGTGTCTGGGATCCTGGTCTCCGCTGCCAGCCCTTCCCTCTATCCCCACCTCCTCCCAGCACGTGGCTGCGCTCAACCAATCATCCTGGTATCCATAGCCATGGCCACAGATCGCTTCGCTCTGCAAGTTAAGTGCCTAAAGCAAAGCTTGGAGCTACTGTGTCACAGATGCTCCCATGGTGCGTTGCGCACACACACACACACATTCCTAGAACCCGGCCACGGACCATGCCTGTGAAATGACTCCAGTCTGCCCTTGGTTCTGCTGGACAGGTTGAGGGCAACGCCTGCCAGGCACCAAGCTGCAGAAGGAGAAATTGGGGGTCACACTGCACATCTCCCCTGGGGTGAGGGCAGGTGATGCACCTTTGGAGGAGTGGGCCTGGTTGCTGTCTTGGAGCTCCTGTGCCTGGAGCCCTCCGCTCCACTCTGCCACTTTCTCCAAACACTAGCGGGCTCCACACTGAAGACACATGGGAACTTGAGTCTCCAAGTTTCTGTCGGCAGTCTGCCAGGTGCCAGGGACTTGGCAAAGTGCTCCAGCTTCAGAGGTGAATCCCTTTGACTCTGTCGAAGGGATAATAACAGAATAAGAAATGGTGAGTGGCTGGCATCTGGGGGTCCTGCTTGTGAATCCTAGCTGCTAGGAAGTAGGAGGCAGGAGCATCAGTGATTAAGACCAGCCCAGGCCAATCAGCTCTCAACCACTGTCTCGGCACCGTGGGGGAAGCTATCGTAACCACAAGGGAACGTGAAAATAGGAGGCGTGAGGTCTAGGCTGGCCCTGGGCAGCTGGCCCTGGAGGCTGGAGGTGAAGGGGATTCCACCTGAGAAAGTGCGTGAAGCCCTCAGCTTGGCACACGGGGGTACACGTCCCGCATTGACGTGATGTTCCTCGTTTCATTACTGCCAGTTCATCACGGAGCCTCACATCAGATGCTAAGGCATCTTTCCTTCCTGACTTTCCAGTCCTCTTCACCGCCTCTCCCTCTTCTCCCCAGGGTTCTACCAGCCCGATGCTTCAGAAGACGAGGATGATTCTCACAAGGGCCCCACCTTCAACCCTGAGCGGGTCACTGCGCACTGCTTCCAGCAGTTCAAGCGGAAGGACTTCCACCTGCCACAGAGCCGCCGGAGGATCATCATCCTGCCGCCCAAGAAAGGCTGGACACCTGGTGGTCCCCCGGCCCAGCCCCCCTCTCCCCCACAGCCCCTCTCCAGCTACAAAACCTTGGAACCTGAAAATATCCAGGAGCAGCCAGTGGACAGGGCGACCTGGCTCAGCCAGAGGTTGAAGCTACGGAAACAGCTGGAGTCGATGGGCAACATGAAGCGGTGGTTGGATGGAAAGGCTGACGTCACGCCTTCAGAGAGCAAGATCTTACAGGACATCCAGGAGCTGCACAACGCCCGGATCATGAGACGCTTGAACCGCCTCAGGACCGCCATGGTGAGCAGCCCTGCTGGCCGGATGAAGATGCTCAAAGTCTTGGGGGTCTGTTGTCCCTTGGGTGACACAGGACAGGGCTGGTCTACCCATTTCACAGAAGGAACGATAGGAGTCTCCGGCCTAGCTGTGCATCTGAAGACTTGGGCTAGACAGGAAAAGCAGGTTCCAAGCTGGGTCACCCACATGGCTATTCTGGAGACCCCCAAGGCCTCCCCTAGGTGCACAGCGGGGGCGGGGGTGGGGGGAGGTGGAGGGGGAATCCTCAGGCAGATGCAGAGTCAGCACCAGCTCCTTTGCCTCGGCCACATTTCCTTGCTGTACAAAATACTTGAAACTCCCGGTACAGGTCAAGCTGGGATAAGAGGTCAAATGACTTGTTTAAACACATTTATGATCTCTGGGCTTCAGCTTCCTCACCTATAAAACGAGGAGAAGACAGGTGTATTAGTGTATGTCTGTAGTACTCGCTACTCAAGAGGCTGAGTAGGGAGGGTCCTGAGCTCCAGGATAGCAGCATAGAAAATCCTGTCTTAAAAACAGATAAATAAGCCTGGGGCTGGTGGCTCGCACCTGTAATCCTAGCTACTCAGGAGGCTGATATCTGAGGATCGTGGTTCAAAGCCAGCCCCAGCAGTAAAGTCCATGAGACTCTTATCTCCAATGAACCACCTGAAAACCGGAAGTGGCACTGTGGCTCAAGTGGTAGAGTGCTGGCCTTGGGCAAAAGAGCTCAGGGTCAGTGCCCAGGCCAACAAAAATAAATAAATACTAAAACTAATACTAAAGTAAACTAATCATTGTGCCTTTCTCCTGGGGTCACTGTGATGTTGAAATAAATTACACCAAGTGCCTTGGCTAGTGCTGAGCATATGGGAAATATTCATACAGTGACCAACATTTTTACCATTATTACAATCTCACTGGTGCCCAGAACCCTTCAGACCAGTCCCCTATCATCCTTGCCAAAACCCCGCAGCACATTGTCTATGGGCTTGGCCAGAAGGCCAGCCCTACTACTGTGTGTTCCGTGATCTTATGCAGGTAGCTTCACCTTTCTGTCCCTGATTCTTCATGTATAAGTAGACCAGCCCTTATTTCCCAGCATCCTTTATTCTAGCAGCCAACAATTCCTGTGTCCCTGCCCAGGGCCTGGGGCCTTGAGCAGTATAAGGACAGGAGATGGGAAGTGTGGCCACAGAAGACACGATCTTACACATGGGGTTCGTGCAGAAGTAGGGGTGCAGACACATCAGAATGTGACAGGAAGGTTTCCTGCAGGCCCCGCACAGAGGCAGATCCCATCCACGGGGGCACAGAGCAGCAGCACGCTGCGGGCAGGGAGGCCTGGGTAAACTTCCAGTCTACACCATGGCCGGGAAGCATTCAGAATTGGAGGCTGAGTTGGGCCCAGGTAAGTATGAAAAAGGAAAGGACATCAGTCAGGAAGTCCAGGAGGAGCAGAGGCCAAGAGACAGCTCTGCCTGGCGCCAGCAGGGGTGCACATTTGGATTACGGAAGGCCACACTGAGGTTTCGGCCTCAGCATCTGAGCCTCTCACTTCTGAAGAGAGAAACCAAGGCCAGAAGCAGCGACTTCTTGAGTTGTGCAGCAAAAGCCAGTTGTCTCCACCCATCGGTGCACTCTGCCTTCAGCCTGGCGTTCCCTTCACAGCCGCCCTGCTCCTCTCCAGCGCTGAAAGGCTGCCACCTACTGGCTGCCTGCCTTGACTTCCTCCCTACTCCCCTTTCTCTTCCAGAAAAGACCCATGCGAGTCGTGCACCACCCAGTGCCCAAGCTCCGGCTGCCCAAGCCCCCCTCCCTGTCCGTCCTGTACTCCTTCCTGCGCAATCACAGGATCAAGATTGGGGACATATTTGAGAACTCGGACCACAACGAGAGCCAGAAGATCTCCAGGGAGGAGTTCATTATGACGCTGAAGGCAGTAAGCTCCCTTCCCAGGTTCTGATCCACTAAAAGACAGACACGGAGATCAGGCCATCCGCCTTACATCAGTAGAGACAGACGAGAAGTAGTGGGGTGAGGACCATGGTCAAACCAGATCTTTAGCCCACGTCTGCATCATCTGACCTTAGAAGACCTGTAGGGCTGGGGTACAGTGCAGTAGTAGGCGGGGCCTGGCTCACATAGGCCCTGGGTTCCATGCTCAGAGCCGGGGAGCAGGGGAAAGGCTATACGAGTGGAAGGCCTGAAGAGCCAACCTCAAAACAACCCAGCTATGGAAAGAATCTTCAAAACTGAGCCCAGGCTGGGAATGTGGCTCGGTGGTAGAGTGCTTGCCTAGCATGCGTGAAACCCCAGAATCTATTCCTCGCTACCACATAAACAGAAAAAGCCATAAGCAGTGCTGTGGCTCAAGTGGTAGAGTGCTAGCCTTGAACAAAAGCAGCTCAGGAACAATGCTCAGGTCCTGAGTTCAAGCCCAGGACTGGAAAAACAAAAAACACAAACAAGAACTGAGCCCAGAGAGAGATAGGCTTTTAGTTCCACTTCTAGAGCCTTCTAGAGCTTCTCCAGCTGGCACTGGCATTTGAATCCTGTGTGAGCCTTCTGACTCCGTATCTCTGTGCAATGCCCAAGATGCTACATTTTCAATAAGCTCCTACTGGTACCAGGGGGTACCGGAACTATTTTACTGGTGAGTTAATACTGACAATTGACTATAAGTAAATAAAAGTAAAAATGCAGGGGCTGGGAAGGTGGCTCAGTGGTAGAGCACTTGCCTTGCATGCTCGAGGCCCTAGGTTCGAGTCCTCAGCACCACATAAGAAAAAAGCCGGAAGTGGCGCTGTGGCTCAAGTGGTAGAGTGCTAGCCTTGAGCTGAAGAGCTGAGGGACAGCGCCCAGGCCCAGAGTTCAGGCCCCACGACCGGACCCAAAAAAAAAGAAAAAGTAAAAATGCAATCTGTCCAGGTACCAGCGGTTCATGCCTGTAATCCTAGCTACTCGGGAGGCTGAGATCTGAGGATTGCAGTTAGAAGCCAGCCAGGGCAGGAAAGTCTGTGAGATTATTTCCAATTAACTACCAAGAAGCCAGGAGTGGGATGGGAATGCAGCTTGGTGGTAGAGTGCTTGCCTAGCATGCATGAAGCCCCATTTGGATGGCCTCTCTCCTCTCCTCAGATCGGTGTCGGCCTGAAGACCCAGGAGGTAGAAGACTTGGTAGTCTACCTCAGCTCTCTTGGGAAACAGAATGCCATCACCACAGACATCTTGAACAGCACCTACAGGCAATGGCTCACAAGCCAGCCGAAGTTCTCGAAGGCCCAGAGTGCGTGTTCTACCACCTAGGGCCTTGCCCCTGTGGCAGTCCTAAGTGTGTGCTCCTATTCTGGTTGGCTATCTGTTAGCCAACACTGGCTTTTCCAGACCCACAGATCAACTTAGAAGCAGATAGTTTCTCAAGGACTCAGCTACCCTTGTGTCCATGTAAAGCCAAATGAGAGCCGGGTCCCAGTGGCTCACGCCTATAATCCTAGCTACTCAGGTGGCGGAGACAGAGGATCATGGTTTCAAGCCAGCATGGGCAGAAAAGTCCGTGAGACTCCATCTCAATGGAAAAATGCTGGGTGTGGCTTATGTACCTGTTAGTCTAGGCATGTGCCTAGGCAGGAAGCAAGACTCAATCTCAAGAATAACCAGGCAAAGGAGGGTTGGAGATGTGGATCAGAGGTAAGGGTGTCTATCTGGCAAACATGAAGATCTGAGTCCAAAACTAGGAGCACACATCTATGACCCCAGTACTGGGGGGGGCTGAAGGAGGACTGCACACAATGTACTTTGATCATTTTCCCTCCCTAACCCCACCCTCTTTAACTTGCTTTAAAAAAATTTAAGTTTTTTTTAACCATACTGGGGTTTGAACTCAAGTCAGGTGCTCTGCCACTGAGCCATGCCTACAGACCTGCTTTTTGCTGGTTTCAAGACAGGTCTTGCTTCCTGTCTGGACATCCCATGGTAGCTGGGATGGCAGGCGTATGTTGTCAAACCCAGCTCCTTCCCATTGTGATGGCCTCTCGAACCACGATATCTTAGGAAGATGGGCCCATACCACTGCATCCAGCTATAAGTTGAGAAAGGATATAAACTTTTCTACCCAAGCTAGCCTCCAACCGCAGTCCTCCCTTTTTTCAGCCTCCAAATTTGTTAGGATTTCCGTGGTGGCTGTAGTAGGGTCTAAGTGTTCCCACCTGCCTGTCCTTGCTGGCATTTGTTATTTATTTTCTTGATGTCTCGCAGATTTGGATTTCATCTTAGCTCCACCGAAGGTGGGAAGGTGGAGGCAATCCGGCCAACATTTGGCCAAGATTCTAGTTGCCACTTAGTGGAGGCTTGAGAATGGCAGCCGGGGTCGTGGGGATGGAGGGCAGCGCTCGGGGCCTCCTCAGAACCAGCTGGGTAGCGTGGGCTCACTGTGGCCAGGCGCCCTCCCTCACTCCTCCCTCTAACTCTAGTTCTGGACTTGCCTGTGTGCAAAGCTTCCCCAAAGAGGCCTGCCAAGAAGCCCGTGATGGTCTCACACCATGAGCCCCCTAAGATGGACCTGCTGCAGGTGCCCAAGATTGACACAAGGGTGGAGTTCCGTCCTCTGACGCTGGAGGAGATGGAGGACGTGGGCAAGCGCTACCGGGAGCGGAGGCGGCACCGAAAGGTACCTCAGCCTGTGGGGAGGGGGGGGGGGGCGGGGGGGGGCAGGGGGGATGGCGATGGCGGGGCGGGGGGGGGGTGGCTGTGTGTGGCAGAAGACAGGGAATTCCCTCTGCCACTCTTGTCACTGCCCGCGGGGACCAGGGCTGTCTCCCCATCACAGCCCCAGTGGAAGGGCCTGTCCATCAGTCCATCACTTCGCCTGGCTGCCAGAGGCCCAAAATCCAAGGAATTTGTGACCAAAGTGAATCCAGAGGTTTCAGACCCCACAAAGTCCAGCAGCTGGACGTGTCGGCCTGCCGCTTGTCCCTACGTGCCAAACGACGGGACATGGCGAAGGGCAGAGAAAGGAGATTTATTGCCTCTCCCCCTCCCCGTGGGCACGCTGGAGGAAGACAGTCCTCAGCTCTCTTTGGAGTACAGACATTGGTTTTAGGTTACATGGGGAAAGCTGGGGCTAGGGGTGGGAAGGTATGTCACATAGTCCCCGCCTCTCCTGGGCCCAAGGTGACCGCAGAGTGACCGCAGACACACACAGAATAGAGGGGGGTGTGGTGTGTTTCTTCTGTCTTGAGTTAGGGGTCAGTGCTCTTCAGCAGAAGCAGCTTTTAAGCACATGTTACAGAAGAAAGGGCCAACCTCGAGAAGTAGTTCATCCAGTAAATAACGCCTGTAATCCTAGCGCCTGGGAAAAGACGAAAGAATCCAGCCAGGCACCTGAGCCTCCTGCCTACTAGCTTAGCTACTCAGGAGGCTGCAATCAGAGGCTAAAACCAGCCTGGGCAGACAAGTCCAATAGGTTTATCTCCAATGAGCCAGCAAAAAGCTAGAGGTGGAGGTGTGGCTCAAGTGGTAGAGCACCAACCTTGAGTGAAAAGCTAAGGGACAGTGCCCTGGCCATGAGTTCAGCCCCACGACCAACAAAAAAAAAAAGAGAGAGAGAGAGAGGGAGCCAGTAAGCATGAATACGAAGTCATTCCCAGCAGGACACCCTGGCGTGCGGCCCCTGCTGCGCAGTCCCATGCGCACTCAGAGCACGCGCGCACACGGAAACCACTGACTGTGGGACCTAAGCTGTAGCCCCACTGTACCTGCTCTGCCCCAGCCCCTCCTGGGGCCTCTGGCAGCCAGGTGAAGTGATGGACTGATGGACAAGCCCCCCTCTCCACTCTCCCCCAGATCCCCATCCCCTCCATCCAGTACTCGGAGTGCTGCCGCCTGGTGCGCTGCGGGAAGAAGCAGTTTGATGAGCACTGCCTGCCGTCCACCATCGCCGGGGACATGAAGGAGTTCATCAACAAGGCCCGCAGGGACGCCTTCCTTGTCTACCTGGGGTGCTGGAAGGAGTGCGAGGCCTACGGCCTCCCCCTGACAGAGGACATCCTCATGAGAGGTGAGCGCCCTCAGCCAGGCTCCCCCAGACACCACAGACAGACAGACAGACAGCCCAGCCGCTGCGGGCTGCGAGGGCGCTGAGAGGATGGAGGGCAGGCGCAGCCTCCCCTCCCTCCTTCCTCCTCCCCCTCCCCCTCCTTCTCCTCCCCTCCTCCCCCTCCCCCTCTCCTCCCCCTCCTTCTCCTCCTCCCCCTCCTCCTCCCTTCCTCCTCCCCCTTCCCCTCCTCCTCTTCTCCCTCCCCCTCCTTCTCCTCCCCCTCCTCCCCCTCCCCCTCTCCTCCCCCTCCTTCTCCTCCCCCTCCTCCTCCCCCTCCTCCTCCTCCCCCTCCTCCTCCCCTCCTCCTCCCCTCCTCCTCCCCCTCCCCCTCCCCCTCCTTTTCCCCCTCCTCCCTTCCTCCTCCCCCTCCTCCTCCCTTCCTCCTCCCCCTTCCCCTCCTCCTCTTCTCCCTCCCCCTCCTTCTCCTCCCCCTCCCCCTCCTCCCCCTCTCCTCCCCCTCCTTCTCCTCCCCCTCCTCCTCCCCCTCCTCCTCCTCCCTCTCCTCCTCCCCTCCTCCTCCCCTCCTCCTCCCCCTCCCCCTCCCCCTCCTTTTCCCCCTCCTCCCTTCCTCCTCCCCCTCCTCCTCCCTTCCTCCTCCCCCTTCCCCTCCTCCTCTTCTCCCTCCCCCTCCTTCTCCTCCCCCTCCTCCCCCTCCCCCTCTCCTCCCCCTCCTTCTCCTCCCCCTCCTTCTTCTCCCCCTCCTCCTCCTCCTCCTCCTCCTCTTCTTCTTCCTTTTCCTTTGCCTCCTTCTTTTCCTTCTTCTTCCTTTTCTGAGGCTTTAACTCAGAGGCTGGGTGCTGTTCCTGAGCTTTTTCTCTCAAGGGTAGGCTAGCACATTCTGTCACTTGAGACACAGCTCCACCTCCAGCTTGTTTGGTGGTTAATTGGAGGTAAGAGTCTCACAGACTCTCCTGTCCAGGCTGACTCTGAACCAGAATCCTCAGATCTCAGCCTCCAGAGTTACTAGGATCACAAGCTTGAGCCACTGGTACCCAGACTCAATCATTTCTTTAAAAACATAAAAATTAATATCCCCCTTAGCTTGAGTTGGTTACTACTGATATTTTAATAAACATCTCCTCACAAATCTATTTTTTCTTTTCTTTTCTTTTCTTTTTTTTTTTTTTTGTCAGTCATGGGGCTTAAACTGTGGGTCTGGGCACTGTTCCTCAGTTCTTCAGCTCAAGGCGAGAGCTCTACCACTTGAGCCACAGCGCCACTTCTGGTTTTCTTGTGGTTTATTGGAGATAAGAGTTTCATGGACTTTCCTGCCTGGGCTGGCTTTGAACCATGATTCTCAGATCTCAGCCTCCTGAGTAGCTAGGATGACAGACGTGAGCCACCGGTGCCGGGCACAAATCTATTTCTTGTATGTAAAATTACTTATTATTTTAACAATGTACATTAAATGTGTAAACATTTACAAATCAGGCATGTCCCACCCTGCCTTCCCCTATACAGCCTCCTGTGCCCCACAGAAGCAACAGTATCAAAACTTGGAGCACAGCCAGGCGCTGGTGGCGCACACCTGTAACCCCAGCTGCTCAGGATCGCTGTTCAAAGCCAGCTTGTGCAGGAAAGTCCCTGAGACTCTTATCTCTAGTTATCTAACAAAAAGCCAGAAGCGAAGGTGTGGTTCAAGGGATAGAGTGCCAGCCTTGAGTGGAAAGGCCAAGTGAGACTGTGAGGCCCTGATTCAAACCCCGGCGCTGGGCTGGCGCACAGGTGCTCAGCACGTGCGCGCTCAGAGCCTTGAGGAGATCTTGGGTAACCAGTGTGCTGGTTTCTCTCCTGCCACTCCCAGCGCTGCTGTACCCCGGAGACAAGATTGTTTACCAGGATGAGCAAGTGATCCCCATCCGGCAGCCTGGAGGATACTACAAGGACTGGCTCCTCTACCCTCTGAGTGCGGCTGTCCTCAAGGCCCAGGACCTCTGCAAGGCCAAGAGGATGGACAAGCTGAGTGTCTGGGCAGCGGGCTCCCGCCCCTGGCCTCCCCGCCCCTGGCCTCCCCGCCCCTGGCCTCCCCGCCCCTGGCCTCCCCGCCCGCCCCTTGCTGCCCCTTCCACTGCAGACACTGACGCTGGCAGCCACCGGGTGTCACGTGTTTCCCAGGCTGCCGCTTTGGATCGGCTGGTCAGTAGTGTCACCTTGGATGCCGGCCTTAGGACCAGGGCAAACCCGGGGTGACCACACCCGCACCTCTGCAGGCCCCAGAGTGAGCGCCATCCTGAGTCCCCCACGGGGGTGCTGCGGAGGACAGCGGGGCAGTCCTGCCTCTGCTGGGTGGCTCTGCCTCTGGAAGGAGGAAACATTGCCCTGGGCCTTACCCTGACCCTTGGCCAACCCAAGTCTTCTTTAAAAACTGTGGCCTCCTGGGGTGCGGCAGGCCTGCGCCAGCGGCAGAGTGACTGCTGACTGTGGATGTGAGGCCAAGGTGGCGGCTGGGTGGAGGGGAGCCCCGGGCCTGCCCAGCGCTTGCGACCACTGCCAGCTGCCCGGGGCAGTGTGGCAGAAGGCTCTATGGACACAGACAAGCCTTTTGCTTAACGTACCTCGTACCCGCTGCTGCTGCCGTGAGCTCGGTGTCTTCATGGATGTGCGTGCGCAGTGGGTAGAGCACAGACAGCACTGGTCAGGTCAGGGAGTGCGTCCGTGAGTCTACTCTGCCCTGGTCCAGGTGTTCCCACGTACTTCAGTGGGCCAGACCTGCTGCCGGTGCCGGCTGTGAAGACCTGAGCTTCAGTGCGAGCCGGGCAAGCAGTTAGCACAGAGCCTTTCAGGTCACCTGGTGACCGTCTTCCATCCCGAGGGGGTCTGGCACTAATTCCCGAGCTCTGTGAACCCAGGAAGTGGCTAGGGACCTGGGAAAGGGATCTTCGCCTGCACTTGGCCAGCCGTAGCTCCAAGGGGGAAAGGTCTCCTCGTTCAAGGAACGACATTGGCTCTCTCTGGCTACCTAAGATTAAGTGGGAGATCCTAAGGCTGTGCTACTATGGGCGGCTCAGGGATTAGAGCACATGTTTAGTGTGAGTTCCATCCCATGCATCAAAACAGAGCTAAAGAAACACCCCAGAGGGGCTGGGAAGGTGATTCAGTGGTAGAGCGCTTGCCTAGCATGCATGAAGCCCTGGGTTCCATTCCTCAGCACCATCTAAACAGAAAAAGCCGAAGTGGTGCTATGTCTCAAGGGGTAGAGCACTAGCCTTGAGCTGAAGAGCTTAGGGACAGCGCCCAGGCTCAGAGTTCAGAAAGAGAAAAGAAAGAAAGAAGACTCAGAAACGCTCTGGCTCTGTGCTGGTGGCTGGCTACTTCAGGGGGTGAGGCTTGGAAGCCAGTAGGGGTGGGGGAGACATTCCTCAGACCTATCTCCAATTACCTAGCTAGAAGCTGAGGCTGGAAATGTGGCTCAAGTGGTAGAGTGCTAGCTGTAAGCAGAAATCTGAACCAATCAACCAAAGCTTTGACTTCAAGCCCCCCCCCTCCCAATAATGAAAAGAAACCAGTCTCCTATTACCTCCAGTTTCCCTTAGCCTAGATTTCCCCCTCTAACAAAATGTCCTCTTTCTCTTCCCCTAGGAAAACACCAAAAAAGATGAAGAAAATGGACTTCAAAGAGTTTGAAGACTTTGCGGGGTTTGTAGCATCTCACCCCATTAGGAAGGAGGCGGGAGGGCAGGCTGGCCTCACTCCAGCTCCAGGGAGGTTCTGTGGGGGCTCCTAGCCCAGTCCAGCGGCCGCTCCCCCCTCCCCGCCCCCAGCCAGCGCCCAGAGGCCGGCACCAGGCAGGCGCTGCTTGTATGATTCCCAGGAGTGAGATCATGTGACCTCTCAGCATCCCATTTTCCAGAAGTGAAACTGGCAAATGGCCAGCCAGCGAGGCTGGGTCCAGAGGCTAGACTCCACACAGCACAAGAAAATGCTTCTAGAGTTTGGGAGTGGTCAAATCCGAGTTACTCAGAAGGCAGAGATGGGAAAGACCCAAGTTCAAGGCTAGCCTAGACAAAAAGTTGGAAAGATCCAGTGGGCTTAGGTCAAGGTTTGAAGCCAGCCAAGGCAACAAAGTATATGAGACTTTTCTCCAATTCACCAACAAAATACCAGACTGGAGGTGTAGCTCAAGTGGCAGAATCCAGACATGAGCAAAACAGCCAAGTGGGCCGGGTGCAGTGGCTCCCACCTGTAATCCTTGCTACTTAAGAGGAGGAGGTCTAAGGATTGCAGTTCAAAGCCAGCCCAGCCAAGGAAGTCCTTAAGACTCTTTTCTCCAATTAACCACCAGAAGACTGGAAGTGGAGCTGTGGCTCAAAGTAGAAAGAGTTCAGGGACAGCACTCAGACCCTGAGTTCAAACTGACAATAAAAGAAGGGGAAAAAAAGCCAAGTGAGAACTCCAGGCCCTGAGACCAAACTCTGGTACACACACACACACACACACACACAGCTGGGCAGAATGGTGGACACCTGGCATTCTAGGTATAGCAGGAAGTGTGACTAAGAAGAGTCTTAGTTTAGGCTAGCTCAGACAAAAAAATCAAGACCCTATCTCAAAAAATAACCAGAGCAAAGGCTAGGAAGGTGGCTCAGTGGTAGAGTGCTTGCCTTGCATGCATGAGGCCCTGGGTTTGAATCCTCAGCACCACATAAACAGAAAAGGGTAGAAGTGGCACTGTAGCTCAAGTGGTAGAGGAGCTGAAGGACAGTGCCCAAGCCCAGAGTTCAAGTCCCACAATTGACAACAACAACAACAATAATAACTCCAGAGTCCTGAGTTCAAACTCCAGAGCACACTGAGGCAGGCCGTGGGTTTGGGCATTGGAGGCTGCTTCTGGGGGTCACACCTGCCCTCACCTGCATCCCCAGGGCCACGGCCGCCTCTCCAGACCTCGGGTCCTCATCAGCGGCCCACTGATCAGCACACAGGGCCCCAGCTGATGTGACCCATCTTCCCTGTGTCTTCTCTCTTTCCAGGAAATTAAAGAAGAGGACCGACCATCGTCAGCTCACCCACCCCAACTCCTTTTGGCCTGGTCATCTGCTAGATAAGCTTCGCCTCTACCTGCCGCTTATGGCCAAGGAAGATGGAAGGCTGGCGATCTTCAGCTGTGTCCAAGAAAAGCGTCCCACTTACCCTGCCAGCCACCACTCTGACCGCTGGTGGCCGCTGAAGGACAGAAATTACATTACCTATGGCCATCATGATGCTACGAAAGTATATTTCATCAACTAGAGAGGCTGTACCCCATCATCCAGGCCAGAGGTGGGGTACCCTGCCCCATAATGCTAGACCCATGAGTCAAAGAGTCAGACCACAGAAGTTGTTTTGTGGTTGCTCTGGGGCCAGCTCCCCCTGAGCACCCCTAAAATGTCTCGATAGATCCAGGGAAGGACACACAGGTTTTCATGGCTTCCCTCTCCTTTCACAATAAACTATGGTGGCATTTTTCTCGTGTGGCTGGTGCGTTGTCTTCCTCGGGGCTCTGGCTGGGGAGCATCTGGGCCTCCTGAATCTATGGAGCTTCAGCAGGCGGTGGCCGGGGACACTGGCAGGGAGTCCTGGGCCCTCCTCTGTAGAATGAGTTGGCATGAGCTCCTTATCTCTGATGACTGAGCCATGGAGTTACCGCTCTCAAATCTCTCGGGTCTTTAGGAAATGAAGTCAGGTTCTCAGGTTCCTAAGCCTTGACTCCGTCAAAACCTTTCCCTTGACAGCATCTTGTGGGTTTCCATTAACAACAGGCTTCCATACTCCATGTCCCATTCTTGAAGTAGAGGGTAGTCCCAGACCAGACGGAGTTCAGATCCCAACCCTTCTGCTTGCCAGCGACACCACCTCAAGCCCAAGTCTCCATATGCAGTGGCCAATAGGCACTGCCCTCCCCTCTCCCCACATCCCACTCACACATGAAATGTGTTTTCTTTAACATAGTCTAGTCAGCTTCCAGAACATAGTAACCATCTGGGCAAGTGGGCAAAGGTCAGAGAGAGAAAGAGAGCTGTAGCTCCTCAAGGGATGAATGAAATTTAAGACAGCACAGTTTGTGCTTTCAGTCAAGCTAGTCACGAATAGCTTGAATAGCTGAATGCTTGGCTCCTTCTCCCAGCCCTCCTTTTCTGGTCTCATGACCATTCTGCTAAACTGCCTAGTTTAAAACTTATTCTTGCCAGGTACAGGTGGCTCACGCCTGTTATCCAAGCTACTCAGGAGCCTGAGATCTGAGAATTGTACTTTGAAACCAGCCCAGTCTACAAGTCTGGCACAACCCGGCTGCCACTTCACAGCAGTTCAGGAGAGACAGCGCTGGGCGCTGAGTGGCACTTCTTGGGTGGAGGCAGAAGGTAGGGGGCTCAAGTGTCAGAGGCTTGACAAGTGTACAGGCCCTGAAGTCAAACCCGAGTACACCCCCCCAACCCCCCAAAAAACAGAAAATATTCGAAGAAACTCTTAGCTGTCTTAATCATGTACGGGCTCTTCTGGTCATCTAAACAGCACAGGGTGACACCTTACATTAGACATGGTAACTAATCTAGAACCGCTTTAACGACACAGGAGGATGAGGGAGGCCCTGTGCATGCAGAGGCGAGGGAGGCCGTTTTACAGTAAGCTCTGAGCCTCAGGAGAGGCTGAGGGAGGACTGGAAGTTCACGGCAGGCCCAGCCAGGAAGCCTGTCGTTTTCCCTCCCGGCCACCAGGAGGCGCACGTGGAGGAGGCGATGCCCCCGGACATAAGCCAAAAGCGGGACTGGGCCTCCACTCCTGGCGGAAGTGCGCTCCCTTCCTCCCGCCGATTCGTCCCATCAGCCCTTGCGCGCCGCCCGCCCCTTCCTCTTCCTCGGCGCTGCCTCCGGAGGTGGCTGCCCTCTCTTGTTCGGTGAGTCTCCATCGCTGGCCATCCGCCCTCCTGCGGGCCCTGTGGGGTCCGCGCCCCCGGAGAGGAGGCCTCGCGGTCTTGCGCCGGCTGCCCCGCGGCTTCTGTGGCCGTCGGCTTGCCGGGACGCGCGTGGGAGCTGGGAAGCGGGCGGCGGCCTGGGGCCCGGCCGCGCCTGTCGGGCCGTTTGCCTTTCTACGGCGGCCGCCTGGGGCCAGTCGGAGCGGCAGACCTGTGGCCTGACGCCCGGAGGGCCGTGGCGCTGCCTCAGGCCGGCCCACGGGGGTCTGGAGACCCCCAGTACCGGCATGTTCGGGGGAACCGGGGTGGCCGGCGAGACCACCCGAGGAAGGGTACGGGTCGTGGGGTCTGAACTCACGGCCTGGACCCTGTCCCTGAGTTCCACTTCGAGCCACCACCCCACATCCGGGGGAGATGAGAGGCTGGCGGTGTCCCTGCTTGAGGCGGGGTTTTGGAGTGAGTGCTCCCAGGTGGGAGGCCGCGCAGCGAGGCGGCAGGGATCAGCAGTGAGCCACTGCCCTGTGCCTCCATCCTGTAGACATCTCGCCCTGTGCCGCCCTGTTCTAGAGCCGGGAGACAACTGAGCGGAAAGGGCCACTGGGCTGGGAGTCTTGTCTTGGTGCCCCCCCCCCCCAGGTTTGCCCCTCGGGGATTTGGAGTGGGAAGGTGACGGGAACCTCCTGGGATCGCGTCTGGAGAGTGGCTAGTATTCTGCCAGCTTCGGAAACAGGAGGGAAAGCAAGCTGGCAGAGACACCCATTCCATTCCCAGCTGGCTCAGTAGCTGGTGATTGGAAGACACTCTGCGACATAGCTGACTCCCGCCCTGGCAGGAAGCCTCCCTTCTAGTCCTCCACTCGCTCACCTGCCTCTGTCCCTCTTCCAGTGGCATCATGGCCGCCCTCAGACCTCTGGTGAAGCCCAAGATCGTCAAAAAGAGGACCAAGAAGTTCATCCGCCACCAGTCTGACCGATATGTCAAGATTAAGGTAGGCATGTCTAGGTGAAGAAAGTTCTGCACTCTGGCGTTCCTGACATCCCACCAAGTCTGAACCTGTGAATTGGGACTCAAGAGCTGCCTTGGGGTGGTTACAGGGGAGAGAGAGCTCTGTTGCTGATGGCCTTGGGATGATACTCATCTTACAGGTTCAAGAACTCTGGCTGTGCCGGGCTCTGGTGGCTCACGCCTGTAATCCTAGCTACTCAGGAGGCTGAGATCTGAGGATCGCAGTTCAAAGCCAGCCCGGGCAGGAGAGACAGTGAGACTCCTATCTCCAATAAACCACCAGAAAACCGGGTGGCGCTGTAGCTCAAGTGGTAGAGCGCTCGCTTTGAGCTGAAGAGCTGAGGGACAGTGCCCAGGCCCAGAGTTCAAGCCCCACGACCGACAAAAAAAAAAAAAAAGAACTCTGGCTGTGGGAGGTGCATTCAGAGCCCTGCCCTGGCATCCCACCCGCTTCTACTTCCCATTCTGAGGAGTGAATTCGAGGCTGTGCTTTCTTCTGGTTAGAGCCAGGAGCTTCTTATTTGTGTGTGTGTACGCTGGTCCTGGGACTTCTCTGTCCCAGAGCTGCTTTTGCTCAAGGCTAGTGCTCTACCACTTGAGCCACAGTGTCACTTTCAGCTTTTTCTAAGTAGTTTACTGGAGAGAAGAGTCAGGCTTGTCTGCCTGGGCTAGCTTTGAATGGCAATCCTCGGACCTCAGCCTCCTCAGTACCTAGGATTGCAGGTGTGAGCCAGGTGCCTTCCTCCGCCGCCCTCCCCCCCAAAAAAGAAGCCTACCTGGCTGTAGGAAGCCCTGTTGTTGAGGACAGCTGCTGCTTGGTATTTTCCCCTTTCACTCGGTCCTTTTTCCCCTTCCTGAAAGCAACAGTTGACAGCTTGCAGAGACCAAACCACCTGTGTGTTTGCTTTCAGCGTAACTGGCGGAAACCCAGGGGCATTGACAACAGGGTGCGGAGGAGATTCAAGGGCCAGATCTTGATGCCCAACATTGGTTATGGGAGCAACAAGAAAACAAAGCACATGCTGCCCAGTGGATTCCGGAAGTTCCTGGTCCACAACGTCAAGGAGCTGGAAGTGCTGCTCATGTGCAACAAGTGAGTCAGCGGCTCTGGGCTCACGGGTGTTCGTTGGGGGTCAAGATGCTTCCTCTGCTTGAGAAGGGACAAAGTAGAAGTCCAGGTGCGGAAGACAAGGACTTCATTTGACACGTTGAATCCTGCAGTACTCTTTGGCGCAGCCTTTGACACTTTCTGTGGGGAGGAGAGATGCCAGTCTCATACCTCAGGGACCCAGTTCTGTGCTGGGCAGGGGCACCTGCAGGCTGCCACCCCAGGGTTGGCTGTGGGGCTCGGTACAGTCTGAGGCTGGTGGAAAGCGCGACCTCCGTGGATGCAGAGATGGTGGGTGAGAGCATGTGTGCGTCACAGTAGAACACAGTGAGCTCCCAGTGTGCCCGGGTCAAGAGCATGTGTGCGTCACAGTAGAACACAGTAAGTTCCCAGTGTGCCCGGGTCAGGCCCCAGCAGTGCAATGAAGAGGGGGAGGAGGTGTTTTCTTCCCTTTCTGCTACGCAGGGACATGGCTCATGGCCTCATGGTGTGTTTGCTGGGATCTCTTCTTCCTCAGGCAGTACAGACGCAAGTAGTACAGTGAGGGAAGACTGCTCTCAGATTTTAGATTGAACACTTAACCAGGCATGCAAACACTAGAAATTTTTGAAAGGGTGAGTGTAGAAATCAATGGCAAATCAAAAGCAGAATTCTCAGATGTACAACTCAGTACTTGTGTGGCGGCATCGTTGCTAACATTTCTTTTGCATGTGAACATGTCTGGAAGGCAGGAGAGCAGCGTGGATGGTGGCTCGTGGGTGGTAGAGTGCCACCACAGTGATGATGGTGCTGCAGTATGGAGTGGCTGTGTTTCAGATGTGGCTCTCACGCGGCTGGGATGCATAGTGCAGCGTGTCTAGAAGCTGGGAGCTGTGGTGTGGCTTGTGAGGCAGACCTGCCCTTCGGCAAGTGTTGGGATGGATCCATGCAGCTGTGCTGCTTTCCACCTGGACTGGGCCAACCACACTGCCTTTGTGGAGCTCTGAAACTTCACTGGAAGGGCCTTGAAATCACCTTAGGACTGTCAGGGGTTGGGTTATCTCATCAGAGTCTGAGGGAGAACCTTCGTGTCTAGAGCCCAGCCCTACTCTTGTGTACTGGGACTTGGGACTCCGTGGCCCCTGGTTGTAGAGAGGAGGGGATGCGTGGCTCGTGGTGATGAGTGTTTTCTAGGCTAGCCTCTGCAGTGCCTGTGGTCAGGCCTCACCCCACAGCTCTGCTCTAGAGCCTCCCTGTGGTGGTGAGCAGCTACTCCTCAACTCGCTTCTTTTCCAGGTCTTACTGTGCTGAGATCGCCCACAATGTTTCCTCCAAGAACCGAAAAGCCATCGTGGAACGAGCAGCCCAGCTGGCCATCAGAGTCACCAATCCCAATGCCAGGCTGCGCAGTGAAGAAAACGAGTAGATGGCTCACATACATCTTTTATTTGTGCTTAAATAAAC